GCTGCTGTTAATTATTGTTTTTTCATTGTGTAATTTAATTAACCTGTTTACGTCGGATATCAAATACTGATACGAAAACTCTGATCCTAAATTGGCGGGTAGCTCAGAAGACGCCCGGTGGTTGTTGTTGTGTTTATTACCCCTGATGAGTTTAAAGTCTATGTCGTAAAAAAACACCTTTCCTGTATCCAGTCGAAGTTGCTTTGAGAAAACAGGCGATGGAAAGTTGATTTTGACAGTGTCCCTGACTGACTTTTCCATCCATTTATCAAACATCTATCACACTAGAGAACAAAACAGAGCTTTCTTTTGTCTTATACCTCAGATGTCACCGGCTACTAAATGAGCAACAAAACTGCAAGTTGGAGGATATTTTGACATTTTTTAGGGTGGAAAGCACAGATGTCAAAGCTGTTTCAGGCTCTGCGTATTTGTTTCGTATCTAAAGTCGAACTTTTGTGTCTTTTAGGTCCAGTTGGATAGAAAAAAACCTTTGTCAAAGTTACTGGCGGTACTTGTTTTGGACTTGCCCAAAGCTTTTCTTAGATATTAGATAAGACGCTTTAGGCTTTTCTTTGTATTGAACTATTTGGTGCTAAAAAGTATGAGACAAAAACAGTAAATATTATGAATATTGTCAGTATAACAAGAAAACTGATGACTGGACCACCAACTCAAACTTGGTGGAGTATATTCTATCATATAGTAGACCTAAACTTGACTATATTTGGGTTTATTTGAACACCTGAGTTCTTGGATGTGCAGATTATTAGTCATTCAAAAAGGTTTCTGAAATCTTTTTTAGTGTCTTTGTTGAAATTACATGTTTTTGTTTGACCCTGCTTTCTCTCTTAAATGCATCGATTGATTCCAACAAACTCAGTCATCATTGATCGACATAAAGCAAATGTCTTTAGCCATAAATTACTGAAGCAGGACCTTACAGGATTACAAAACCAGGAAGAATACTCCAAGCTGCACTCCCTTCTTATCTGTCTCATCACGTCCTGTTCACACCGGCAGGACACTCCGTGTCTTTGTGCTGATGTTCAGTGTCGTTGTGTTTTTGGCTGTTGTTTGTACAGTACATTTTCTCCTGCCTGAAAAATTAAAAGTTAACAAATGGACAGGTTGAGTCATTCTGGTTGATCCACTTCAGGACAAGCTATGTGTTCGAAGAGAAAAGGTGACACAAAAATCTTTTAACATCAGCCAAATGTTTTTGTCGATATTGGATGATAACAGCTGTAAAAGACACTGAAGGTCTGCAAACAGTGTAATAAACTTGATAAAGAAACAGCAAAGGGAGCCTACTGTAGTAGATCCGCTTAATGGTGACCTCATAGTAACTTTATTTAAAGGGTATTAACACAGTTAATACAGCTGAAGATGTTCATCTACTCTGTGTTAATTGAATTGTTCGTTAAGCAGAGAACTAGCAGAGCACAGGTGATGTGGATTTGTTGGAAAAGTGAGATTTAACATGATGCTATCCTGGTGGAAATGACTCGAGACTTTATACCTTTCCTACAGTTTCCAAAGTTACAAACAGGGATTCACAGATTGCAAATAATGAACCTAAAACAGTGAAAGTACAACATATCAAGAATTCTGAAACTGACAAATTTACTCCCTTTCCAACTTTGATGCCAGAAAAATCTGTTTCCATTAGTATCCCTGTGATTTTACTAATGGGGTTGTCCTAATGTCAGATGTTAAACTGTGGTAATAATTCCCAGTCAATGTTCTACTCAGTTCTTCAAAACAAATTAGTCAATAAAATTATTAGATTGGAAAATTACTGACAATCTCTTGGCCTATAAAATAATACAAAAACACCACGACAGGCGGCGAGCCAGCTGATCAGATAGGCCAATGATTACAGCTTATCCTGAAGCAGATAACATGATTTATTACTCTGCTCCAGTTGTGACACAAAGTGATAAACGTTCATAAAAGTAGAGTGCCTTTCCAAGAGCGGCTTATTCAATATACAAAGAAATCCAAGCCGAGCTAGACCATCAATCTTAGACTCAAACTGGTCAAACTGGGCTGAAAGATGAATACTGGCACAAAAACCAAACTGGGGTCCAGCTAATTTTGTTTCCAGTTCCACTTTAGACCAGAAGTGCCAGTTTTTGTTTCCCTGATTTGTCAAGTACGTAACAGTGTGAGACAGGTGCCAATTACTGAAGAAGCAATTAAACAAACCAATAAAATTAAGACTATGCAAACCAAAGAGGAGGGGGGCGAATGAAAGTTAAGAAAGCTAATGAATACTAAGGGTTGATGAGTAGACGTATTTAAGGGTGTTGGAATAAGGGATGAACAGGTGTGGAGCGATCAGTTCTAGATGAATTGCATGAATGAGGACCAAATGTTGTTGTGGTTGGTGGTATTATCTTTTCTGGTGAATGTATGTTTTTCTGTTTTGTTAGCACGTTATATGTTGTAGTGATAGTTTTGTTCCAATTGAGTCAAATTAAATGGATGTACATTTGAAGATTAAGACCTTTGACCAAAACCTTCTAACTGGGCGGCAGTACCAGAATGGATGGGAGTAATTATCTGTAATGGTTGGATAGTGTATACAGGTGTTGGTCAGGTGCATTTTATGGGTGGTGATGTGTGTTCTATGTAGTATTTTGTCTTGAATTAGCTGTATGTTAGAGGTGGATGACATGTTGAATGTGTGTTGGTGGTAAAGTTGTGCTGGGAAAGTAGTTTCTTTGATTCGAAAAAGTTTATTGATTTATGAGGGGTCGGTTTGTGAGAATTGTGGATGTTTATAACGTTTTTTTAAGGTCTCTTTTAGCTTTATTATTGGAATTGACAGTTTTGTGACAGGCTGTTTCAGAAGGTAGAAGATCATGAGAGAGACATCACTGAGAAGGTCCCCTTGACCAAGTAGGTTTGGATGTGTTGGCTGGAAACTGTGCCTGAACTGGATTGCTACCATTAAACTCAAATTGAGCAGGTGAAATATCAAGATAATCTGCCTCATATGGTTTGAAGAAGCTCATTCTGTCACTTACCAGAGCATGAAGTAGCATTAAAGCAGCGTAACCTGACCATTGAAGGACATTCAAGTACCTGCGTTATAGACTGGAGCTTAAAATTAGCTGTCAAAACCTCTGTATTAAACTGATTTATTGATCTTCGATATGAGTCAGCTACCCTTGGATAACATTTTTATGATTGTAACACGATATGCCAGAGTGTGTTACGTATGTGGACACATTCGATACTGTTGCAGAGAGCAGACGCCTCTTGCACGTGCCCACACACCATGAGCATGTTTCTTCACTTCGCCTTTAATTAATGGAAATAAATCTAGACAGAGTATAAATTGGCTGACCTTGACTTAATCAACAATAGATCAGTCCTTCCAGCATTCATCTGGTATTAATCATTAAGGCAGAACAAAGGCTGGCAGACACCACCTTACCAAGGCCGTACAATTCAACCACGCCGATCTACAAAAGTCAGTTTTTTCCATCCAGAGTCTCTGTTCCTGTGTGGTTCAGCCCAAAAGCTTACACCCATAATAAAAACACTAAATACATAAAAACTGAGTATCTGTCTACATTTCTACTTCATCAGAAGTTCCAGTTTGATTGCTCTCTCTGTCCTTAGTACAAAAAACCATGTTCGTACTACAGGCCAACCTGAGGTTTGAGTCTATGCCTCCTGGATTTCGGCGAATTACACTCGCTCTGTTGCCTTTTTTGATGCGGTCACCCTCCAACATCAGCCTGATGACCTGCATCTGTATGCTTGAAGATCTAGGTGGACAACATTTTACCCTCCTTTGACCTTTCACTAGAAATTCTAGAGGTGATTGAAATCTCAGTAAACTGTTGGGGTTGGAAACACTAGCGGCCCCACGATATGATATTATCACGATACTTGGGCCACGATATGATATTATTGCAATTTTTAACATTTTGCAATACAGTAAGTATTGCAATACTATATATTGTGATTTATACAATTTTTCAGTTTAGTGAATTTAGCATTTAGCTCTCCTTTTTGTTTACATTATACTTTATTTTCATGTTGCACATCTTACAAACCTTATACACAAATTTGTTGTACTAACTTTCTCCTGCTCTCTGATGTCACCTCTGCCAGCCTCACTAGACAAACTGTTAATTTTATTTTTTTCCATTATCATAAATTTGATTTCATATTAGCAATTAATTAGAAAAATTGATACTTGGTAAATGAGACGATACGATATATCGCCAGACAAAATATCGCGATATGATGATGTATCTCCTACCCCTAGTAAATTGAGTTTTTGAAAAAATCAGACCAAGAAATATTCCGCATTCAAGGTCACTTTAATCACTTTTACACCTTAATGCACTGAGCTGCAGCCATCTGAGTGCAAGTGTTTGCATTAACGATCAGTGTAACAGGTGTTGTGGTTGGTGAGTATAAGTTGTCATTTTGAGTTGAAATAGCTACAAAGGTTTGCACGTGCACTCCCCCCTGTTGTATTCTTTGTGCACACACAGACATTTCCCATAAACCCGTCCTGACCCTGCACAAACAGAGGGTGGGAGGTATCACTTCCACTTAATCCTGGGCAGACACCTCGATAAGATTGCACTGAAACCTGTGAGCTAACTAGTGAAACCTCTCCTCACACACAGCTTTCCCTGCTGCAGGCTCGGCTCTTTCTTATCAGTTGTTTTGTGCAGCTTTAAATTTGACTAAGCTTCCTTCCTGCCAGCTTTCTTTTCCTCCCTTTTGTGTTTGAAAAACACTAAAAGTAGGCCAATTTTCAAGATTTCTTGTGAGTTTTACTTTCATGCCAGATTTACAGTGTTATCTGATGATTGTTAAACACTTTCTGCAGGTTTTTCTTAAAGCAAGCTTTCCTCCTGCAAACTATTTTTACCTTTGACTCCTGACGCCGGCCTTTAGCGGTGTTTCCCTGAAAAGCTACTTGGTTTCCACTTTATAACAATGACCTGCCCTGTCTGTCCTGTCCACATCCTCCCTGTCCTGCCCATCGGTACAGTATATTCCAAATGCTTCATGGGGGCGGAAAAGCCTCCAGTGAATGTTGCAGGTTAAAGATATCAGACAGAACAATGGTCAAGGATAAGGCAGGCATCCAGCGGCTGTGTGAAACAGGGACTTTATCATAATTGCTGTTAATAATTACAGTCGTGATAGGAGGCAGAGGTGGTGTTTATTGATGGAAAAGTTGTTTGGGGTCTCAGTTGGTCTTCAGGAGCTGGATGAGGAGGGAGAGAGAGTGAAGAGTCTGGATTAAAAGCAGATAAGGACGCAGTCAGGTAGGTGGGATGAGCTGCTATAAGAAGAAAAAGACTTTTTTTTAATCTTTGGTGAGCCTGTGCACCGCGTAGTTACTGAAAAGTTATCCCATCAGATAATCAAACATCATATCAGATCAAATCTTGGAAATGTGTCAAACAAGATGCAGAAATTAAATCAAATCAGACGGTCTGGCTTTTGCTTTTGTTTGGATGAAACTTTGGGTCTTTGTTGCAAACTTTTTAGTTGAATCTGATCATGAGATTTGGATCAATCAGATCCTAGAAGGGGTTTGGATCGCAGGAACGAGTCAAGTAAAGGAAACTTTTCAACTGGAGAACAATTCAACAGTTTTCAGTTCACTTTTTAGAAATGTTTGCACTTGGATTTTGTTGCATTTCTGCAGGGACGGAGCAGATAGGACAGACTTTAGGGATATAAACTGAAAAATAGATTCAGTCTACACTTAAAACAAAACTGGCAGAGTAGCTGCTAAACAATATTTTACTTTAAGCATCTATTCGGGGTTATACTTTGTGCAAATTTTGAGAGCACTAACAGTAATCCTGATTTAGTGATCCTGAAAAGTCACCAAGTAACTCGAGTTAATTTCGTTTTTGCTGCCCTGTCAAGGCCCTGTTTTCTAAAGGGTTTAATCTGGATTAAATTGTGCAAATTCAAAGATTAGGTATTCAGATGCAGTTTAGTGCTTTTCATGCACAGTCTGCACTCCAAATAACTCATATCTTCTGCTGTTTTTGTCTAATTCTAGTCCACAAATATCTCCTTAAGCTTGGCTGTAACTTAAAGAGTTTAAAACTCTTAACAAATTTGGGAAAAGAAGCGATCAAACACATGAAAACAAACACGTAACAGTTTTGTTTTTAGTGTTTGGACAGATTCATTCACCAACAACCAGAGTCCACACTCTGTATACTGGAAATCCTCCAAAACATCCAACGCAGTTGAACGTGACTTTGGAGTAAACAAACATGGAGGTCAGGCGAATGCTGCTCGCTGCTTCGCGACCTGTTACATCCATTATTGGGGTCACTTCTGCTCAACGTCTCTTCCTGTTATTTTGTGTGTTTTGAACACTTCTGTTGTCGCTGCAGACCAACAATCACAGTCCTCCATTTCTGTAGTCCATGCCTGTTTATGATTGTCTCCTGCGTGGATTACGAGCAGTAAAATTACTCCACACCTCTGGAAAATCTGGCAAGATAATCTTGAGAAACATCAGATAATCAGGACTTTGCTGATTTCTTCACACGGCGAATCAGACCGTAAATTGGTGCAGTTATCTTGTGGTGTGAACTCTTTACTCCCTGATTATGCTAAAGTCACTGCAAGTCCAAATATGACAGTATTTTCAGGTTTTTGAAGTGAGTGGGTATTTAAAGTGGAAACTAAAGAGAAGGAGAGCGGTTGTGTTTGATTGAGAAACTTGGCAAATGGAGGATCATATTTCTCTTGCTTTTGGTCCTCGAAGGCCACTGTTGCTTCATTGTAAGGAGGAGTGAGAAAGGAGGTTGAAATCTCCCTAGATATTATCTGCTAGGATTAGGATTCTCCAGATTTCTGTAAATCTCTGGTGTGAATCTGTCTGCAGACCTCAGGTAGAGTCCAGCAGCTCCTGACCTGGCTGCTGTTCCCTGTTTTTGTTTGGGGGTCTGGATCTTTGTAGTCTGCCGTTAATGTTCTTTGATAGGTCATGTTCAAAGCTGGCGCAGGATCCTCTCTCTAACTTAATGTGATTACTGGAACTCAGAGCCACATAGAGAGGAAGCAGCGGCCCTCAGAGCACAGAGCAGAGATGATGCGAGCAGGAGCGAGGCAGTACGTGGTGGCCCGGCCGCTGTTCTCGGAGGAATCCTTCGCTGAGGAGCACCAGAAGGTCTACAGGCACCGCAAGAGCATGCTGGACCACGTCAAACAGTACTTCACGTAAGTAGCATGTACAGCTTTTTTAGGGTTCCTGTTTTATTCTCCAGAGCAGAAAATTTAGTAATGAAGAAAGTCAGAGTCGCAAATAAACAATAAAGTCAGAATTGCATAAGAGGTCGTAGCTGATTAAAATTGTTCATACTAAAGGTAAAAAGTCAAATTTTTACTTGTAATTTATTGTGTTAATTTTATTCTTTTTTTAATTCTTTTTATTTTTTATTTATTAGTTTATTTAATTTATTGTTAACTTTTGTTTAATTATATATTTTCTATTGTCAAGTTTCTTTTTAAATTTATTTTATTTATTTATTTATTCTTTTATGGTCAAAAGTTTGTAGGACTGAAGTTGTAGGTAAACAAAAATGTCATAACTTTACAAAATTTGAGTTGTAAGTTCACGAGAGAAACATTTCGAGTGAAAAAAACAGAATATTATTTGATTCGTCTCTTTAACCGCGTATGTGTCTGTGTTTGTCCTGCAGATGTGATGCCAAACGAGTCAAAAATGCAGCTCTCTCTCTTCTGCCCATTATTGGATGGATGAAAATTTACAGAATCAAAGAGTGGTTGCCCAGCGACATCATGTCCGGCGTCAGTACTGGACTGGTTGCTGTCCTGCAAGGTAAACAGAAAGTTCATCACTTTCCAAAAATTGGTCCAGAGAGGGCACTTCAGATATTCAGATGGTGTTTAATATTACAGGCAAATGGGATTGTTGTTGCTGTTGTCTGTCAAGAAAGCTGGCCGAAGCAGAGGTGATTCCTGACATCTCTCTCTTCAGCAGAAACTCCCTTTAATTCAGTCAGCGTAGAGGAATTTGTGTGGGATACTGTGATACTCCCACAGTCCAGGTGAAGTTCACCTTCATCATGTTTCAAAGAGATCTGTCTGCAGAGACCTAAGAGCCAAGACCAAACTCTGCGTTTATCAGTCGCTTCATTCTTGCTGCATGACCAAACAGACAGCTGCAGACAAATGCTTTTTAAAACACCCAGTCTAATCAGACTCCCAGATTCTCCTGAACAGTTCACACATTATGCAAAGACGTGTTTCTTTCTAATCTGATTTCAACAGTGATGATAATGATGGTTGTGTTTGCTTTTGAAGGCCATGAAGAAGCTTAATTTTTCATTTTTAGTCTGATGCATAACCAGCTAAAAACTCCACACAGCTGCTTTTATTGTGGGCATATTTGCTCTTTTTCAACTTTATCAGCAGCAGCTAGTTTAACTTCACACAATCCAAGGTGTTATTTCTGGATTTTAAGGTGAATACGACTTGTTGAGACATTTGCACATAAAACTCTTGATGGTACTAACATTAGCTGTCAGTTGCAAAACAATGCTAGCTGTTAATTTCCACCGCATCCGGAATGGCTCCGATCCAGAACAGCAGCTATTTTCTCTGTTCGCCAATTCCTACCGGATCTGTTTGTGAGGCAAATTTCATGGTGGATTATGGACAGCAGGAATCGTGAGAACTCACAAGAACCCGCGGATTCATAAGCAATTGTATGATAATGAGTTGTCTCTATAGCAGCTTAACCAAATAAGCAGTGATGTTGCGATCAGCTCATACAGCTTTTTCGTAGCCGTTCCGGATGCGGTGGAAATCAGGGTTACACGAGGCGAGCCATTCAAACGCATGCAGTGTTGTGCTCTGCTGGATTTAGAATAACATATATAAAATGTCAAAATAATTGACTTTCTGTTGATTTTATGATATGATAGATAAACTTACCAAATCTCGTACGAAAAGATTAAATCATTTAAAAAAAAATGTGTTGGGGGCGCCATTGAGCCACATCACTGGCAAACCCATATCCTTCATCTTATTTCTCCTCTGGGCTCACATATACCAAATTTATGACTGTATGAGTTTACTGAGACTACAAAAAAATGACTTCCTGTTTCATAGAGAAGAATGCGTTGCCCAGGCAACAACATTTGCGAGAGACTCATAAGCATCCCAGTTTTAGTCTTGGGAAAGAATAACTTGTGATGTGATTTTGTTGATGTGGATTCAATGTGTGTCATCTTGGGTCTCAGGTCTGGCTTACTGCTTGCTGGCCTCTCTGCCCCCCTGGTACGGACTCTTCTCCGCCTTCTTCCCCGTCATCATTTACTTCTTTCTGGGGACCTCCAGACACATCTCAGTGGGTAAGGCCTGATCCCAACACCGGTCATACACAAGAACCGCTCCAACAGACCCCCAAACGAAGTCCTCTCTCTTTTATTTCACAGGTCCGTTCCCGGTTTTGTGTTTGATGATCGGTGCCGTGGTCACCAGGCTGGTTCCAGATGAGGGTCCACCTGCGAACATTACCGGGTTTGAAGGTCTGAGCAGAGACGAGCAGAGAGTCCTGGTGGCGTCCTCCATTTCTTTTCTTGTTGGTATCATGCAGGTAAAATTAAATGAGTATTTTGGGCCAATTAGTCTGCACAATTCCTTCATTAATGATCCGATTTGAGGTCCTAAAGGTTTAAGTATTTGACAAAACCTCCAGTTGGTGACACGATCCTTCTGTCTCCTCCAGCTGGCGATGGGCGTCCTACAGGTGGGCTTTGTAACCATGTACCTGTCCGACACCCTGGTTTCTGGCTTCACCACAGCAGCTGCCGTCCACATCCTGGTATCCCAGCTCAAGTTTGTGTTAGGGCTGCAGGTCCCGGGCATCAGCGGACCGCTGTCTCTCATTTATGTAAGTCCAGCGCTGTGTGAGGCGTTTTAAAGTTTGAGCTGTGAAAAAGAGGCTCAGTCCCTCGGTCATGTTATGATCTTACTTCCTCTCTTTTCAGACTCTGGAGATCATCTTCAAAAAGATCTCCTCCACCAACGTGTGCGCCGTGGTGACCTCTGTGGTGATCATGGTGGTGGTGTTCATCGTGAAGGAGCTGAACGAAAGATATAAGTCGAAGCTGCCCGTCCCCATCCCTATAGAGGTCATCATGGTGAGAGACACTGAACAGGATGATTGTTCGCCACATAATCAGTAATAAGGATCATGTTTATTTTAACTGTGACTGGATGAGATAGACGTGCAGCATGGACCAATCATTGGGGTGTTTTATGGGGTCATTAAAGTCTCGGTCAGGTGAGGGAAACAGGTCACAAGATGATCTCACAAGTCAGACCTGACAGCTTCTGCTTTCTCCTCTGCAGACCGTCATCGTGTGCGGACTTTCCTACGCTTTCAACTTTAACGAACGATTTGGTGCCGACATTGTCGGCCAAATTCCTAAAGGGTGAGTTATTCTGCACAAGAGCCAAATGCATAGGTGTTTTTTTTTTGGCATCGTGCACAGCCAAAGAAAAAGCAAAATATGTGCAACACAATAAAATTTAGGGGAATAAAAAAGACCATCCCACCCCTGTTGCAGCGCTTGCAGATTAAAGGAATTACAATTTCTTTTTTTCCATTGAGAAGAACCAGTTTTGGTGGAGGTGGTTAGAGCGTTTGATGAGGTTTGATAAGGAGACCCAAAGGTAGACTTAGAGGTTTTCAGAGGGGTCATAAAGCCCTCATGACGTGGGATTGCCTCCTGGGAAACATTGCTAAAATGATTGATGTCTGATCCTGCTTGTTTGCATAATCTGACGTCAAACAATCTAGAAAAAAATGAATGAGTAGATTATTGGATGGGTTGACGGACATTGGCAGCATTAGTCGATGCCGTTTGAGTTTATTTCAGGTGAGTCGAGAGTTTACGAGTTCCTTAAAACAGATTCATTCACAGAATCACAGAGTAAAGATAACGAGCGCACAACAATACAACAATACATCCATAAACCTTTACCTTAGGTTACACCTATCAGTGTCAGACAGGAAAATGGTGTTTTATAGACTCTGTAGCTCGGCTGTAAACACCTATAAATAATAAATATGTCATTGTGTCATTGATTATCCTTTATGCTCTGTGCAGGCTGTATGAGTGCAAAAATCACCACACTGGGCTTTATTTTCAGTCACTCAAAGAGACAAAATAAGTGCTCATTACATGAAAAGGTCGACTTTTGTTTGATTTTAATACCTAGAGGACTTATACCTACAGTTCTCCGTCCTCAGGTATGAGCATCCGATTGCCCCAAACCTTCAAATCTTCCAGGAAACAGCAGTCGAAGCGTTTCCCATGGCCATCGTGGGTTTTGCCGTCGCCTTCTCTGTGGCTAAAGTCTATTCTGTCAAACACGATTACAGCATCGATGGAAACCAGGTACGATCTACAATCATGACAGTTTAGAGCTTTAAAACTTTGGTTGATCAGGTTTTAAATATCTGATGTTTGTCGCCACAGGAGCTGATAGCTTTTGGCGTCAGCAACATCTTCGGGGCCTCGTTCAAGTCGTTCGCTGCGAGTACAGCTCTGAGCAGGAGTGCAGTTCAGGAGAGCACAGGTGGAAAAACTCAGGTGAACTAACACTTCTTATTTACTCAGTTTCTGTGCTGCATTTGAAATAAGTTTCTGTGGTTTTATTTGATGTTTGTAGTCAAACATACCTGTTCATGCTTTTGCAGATAGCCGGTCTGCTGTCAGCCATCATGGTGATGATCGTCACCTTGGCCCTTGGATTTCTCCTGCAGCCGCTCCCTAAGGTAAAAATCAGCACACCTGTGAACTCTTCTCATGTGAGGGTGAAGTTTTGGAGGTGACCTGTGATCCGTCATCTTCTCAGTCTGTCCTGGGCGCTGTGATCATCGTCAACCTAAAAGGGATGCTGATGCAGGTCAGAGACGTCCCATACCTGTGGAGGAGAGACAGAGCCGACTGTGTAAGCTCTCACATTTATAAAAGACGCACAATAAAAGATTTAAAAATCAAAAATGTAAAGTTTAAAGTCTCTTTAATGTCTGTTCAGGTGGTGTGGATAACTACCTGTACTGCAGCCACATTACTGGGGCTGGATCTTGGACTGGCTGTAGGCCTCGGTGTGGAGCTGATCAGTGTTGTCCTCAGGGTTCAGTTGTGAGTATTTGCTCTTGACCATAGACTGTATGTAGAGAATGGACGCCGTCTGCCTCCTCGCTGGGTGAAGTCATTAAGAGAACAGCACCCTCTGGTGATGGGCTGCAGCATAGGTCATAAATCCCTCCTGGTTTTGATGTTGACATGTAGTTATTGTAAGACTGGTTTGTGCTCAAGTCAAAGTACCAAAGTAGGTAAAGTTATTAGGTGGTTCATGTTTTCTGTGATTGACACCTGATACAGCCTATGGGCGTTCAGGAATTGCGTAGATTGCTTGGAGGATACGGTGATTGAGCCGAGCATCATCTCAGTGACTCTTCCATCGAATGTGTACAACGCTACTGCGCAAGAGGTGGTTCCAGGAAGTGGAGAAAATCCCAGAAATTCTGAGAGCAATTTGGCCTCAAATCCGTATACTGGAGGAAGGCAGAGCCAAGTTGTCCATAGTATATACAGTCAATGCTCTTGCCCGCTTATTTAACATACTTGTCCCTGAACTCGAATTTAATCAAATTTTAGATCCACTGTCATTAAACTATGTGCAGATATTTACACAAATATTCATGTTTGAATGACAACCAGAAAGTTTCCGGACAAATTTCCTGCGAAATAAAATATATACTCCATTCCAAAATCATCGGAAAATCAGGATGCAGTTTGTCATAATTTTGCAATTTTAAAAAAATTTTTTTTGGTCTCCATTTCTTTCAGCCCTCGCTGCAGCGTGCTCGCCAACATCCAGGGAACTGATATCTACAAAGACAGGAAGGACTACATCAGTGTAAGCGGATCTCACTGTGTTCGTCATTTTCTGACTCTTAGATTAATAGAGATCCATGAAAACATGTTCACCTGCTGCTGACAGGTGTCACCTTAAAGAGATAGATTATGTTTTGGCACTTTCTGATGGATTAGCCAGAATAAGAAAGATCCAACCTGATACAAGAAAACCTGTTTTTAATGAGCTTTAATGTCCTACATAAAGATCATGCTGTATCTTTATAATATTTACAGGAACTGGAGAGGTGATTACAAAAACATCCCTGCTTCTTCCTCCTTCCTCATGTCATGTTGCGTGCATGGTTTTGTGTATAATCTGGCTGTAATCTAGGAATAAACCCGATCAATCTCTTCAGATATACGAGCCTGAGGGGGTGAAGATCTTCAGGATACCTTCACCTATCTTCTTTGCAAACATCGAGTTCTTCAAAAGCAAGCTGATAGAAGCCGTGAGTAAAACGCTGACCATCACATTCAAACAAAACGTTGTAATTTGTCTTTTTTAGTCGCAGAAGTCCCACTTTTAACTTGACCACCTCTTCAGGTTGGATTCAACCCTTTGAGAGTGTTGAGGAAGAGAAACATAGCCCTGAGAAAGATTCGGAAACTTCTACAGAAAGGGGACCTGCAGTGGACATCGGTGAGTGATGACTTTGACCCTCATTGAGAGACAAAAACACTGACACACTTTCATTATAAACACGGTCAGTAAGTCATAAAACGTGCCAACTGTCTTTAATTGTCTCTCTTCCTGAAATGCCGCAGGCTGTGATGGTATTCCCTCAGCAGATGGTACAAGGTTCACCTCCACTTATCTTAGATTGAAGTCAATATGAGCGCATATGGATTAAAAGGCCTGTGATGTGTCAGGAAGATGAGGCCCGGATGTTTTACAGCATGTCAATAATGTCAACACGCTGACCCACTTTACTGTTTTACTATCAGACGCACCAAAGGTGACAAACACGTGTTGACGAAATACTCTCCCAAAATGCTTCTTTAGCACTTGGACCATTGACGATGGACTGAAGTTAAAGGGATAGTTCACTATTTTTGGAGTAAGTTTGTAGGACTTGCATGAGTGGACCATGGACCAGGACCAGGATGAGTTCTTATCCGTTTTTCTGCCGTAGCTGCTCTTGTTGGCTCTCTGTGTTGTGGGGCGCTCACAACAAAGTATTAACTCGCTTCACTCGCACGTCAACAGTAGTTTCAATGGTAATCCCTGCCAATTCAACCGGCGGGATCAAGTGATAGACGAAGGTTTTTTTTACAATTCATCAGGTAATCCGACTTCCTCACTCAGTTTCCACCAGACGAGCTCCTGTTTATTACAGTTTTGGTATTTAAAAGAAAAAATATCATATAATTCGGAGCACCCACACACCGACACGATCAGTTTGTCCTCCATTTTAAATACCAGTGAACAACTGTCTGTTTTCATACATCACCTAGCAACCTTCGTGTTGATTAGTTATCGCAACCCGAATAACCACAAGTTGATACATTTTCAGCTCCCGCCCAATTCGTGTCATTCGCCCCGCCAGAGTAGAAGGAGTGTCTTTGCATTGTCTTAACACATGATTCATGCGAATGAATTTACTCGCACTTGGTGTGTGGAAACAGTAAAAGATGCTTTGTTATCATGTAGTACCCTGACATGATCAACTGATCACCTGATGTAAACACCGTCAGGATAGTGTGGTTCATTTTCTCAACTAGGCACAACTATTCCTGTTTCTATCAGTGGTTGTTATCCGTTATTGTTAAATTCACTCCTCAGAGGTCAGTGGAGTTTCAAGGACGTGATCCCAATCAGTTGTAGGTCAGGTTTGAATGAATTTGTTTCATGACATTCATCAGAATTTGAGGTCTGACTTTTATTACGGTCTGCTCGACATAATCTCGCCTCTAAAAGCACACATAGATTCCTCATATGAATCTGTGTTCAGCAGATAAAGAGTTGGTCTAGTTTCAAAGACATGGTGCAAGTAAAGATGAATCAGAGGAGTTAGAAAGGTGAAACGTTTTCAAGCTTTTCATACGACCTCTGTTCTCCTATTACAGAAAGGCTTCTTAAACACCTCCTGTGGACCCCTCAGCGAACCAGAAGATGAGAGTAACGTGGAGGAGCTGGACCTACCCACAGACTTTAAGGACCTTCCTGCACGGATCGACTGGAACGCCGAGCTCCCCGCCAACATCATCGTCCCCAGAGTGGACATCCACAGTCTGATCCTGGACTTTTCTGCCGTCTCCTTCCTGGACATCTCCGCTCTGAAGGGGCTCAAAACGGTCGGTTGTTTATTCAAAGCAGCATGAGGAGTTTTATTTACGGAGGTTTTTCTCTTATAATCTTAAATCGTCACACAGGCGCTGAAAGAGCTGATCCGGGTAGAAGTGGAGGTCTACATCGTGGCTTGTGATTGTGAGTTATAAACACGATTACAGTCCGCTCCTTTCCGTCTTTATTCAATCCTTCTTAGATAGTCCAACTCGTGCTTTGTCCTCACCTGCAGCTTTCATCCTGGAGAAACTGCACAACTGCTGCTTTTTCGACGATGAAGTTCAGCCCACCATGTTTTACCTGACGCTGCACGACGCCATGCTGCACATCCTCGAGAAACATCCAGAGACCACCGAAAAGAAATCGAACCTTGACAGGGTTTGTCAGACAGACTTACAGCATCTATGCTGACAGATAAAACAAGCTGTGTGCTCGACGTGAATCCCTTTACGCTCCTTTTTTTGTTGCAGATTATAACCACAGTCACAGTGCACCACTCTGGAGGCAGTTTAAGAGGCAGAGACCGAAATGTAAGTATCCGTTTTTAGTTTCAAACAGCATCCACGTTTTTCATCTCATTTACCGCAGCCGTGTCCTGTACTCAAAGTTATTTGTTTCAGGACAAAGCACTTTTGATCCACAGTCAAAAGAAACAGTGTGTTTGTCTCTCTTTAAATGTAATGACTCAGAGGGGAATTCGGATATTTTTAAACCTGGGCTCCTGTATTTTTCTGGGAGGTCTGAATGACTTTTAAAAACAGAAGATGTTGGATTTACTCCAGTAGATTGTTTGATCCTGCAGCGGCGATAAGATCTGCCGTAAAGTCTTTATTTAAAGGATCAAAGTCGCTCTGCTGAGAGTTTACAGACAGGATTCATGCAAATAAAAACCTTTCAGTTAAAAGAAGAGGGTTTTAATTCTGTAAAAAAGTGTTGAACCTCTAGATTTACACATCTCTTCTTCATCCAACAGGCTCTGGATCCAGAAACCAAATTTTGACACCTGCTGTCGAAGATAAAAACCACCTTAAAAAGAGTAAATAGTTTACTGATCATGCTGTTGAATACTCTAATATCATGAACGACAAGAAACTCTGTTCAACTTTTGACAATCTAAGTTTACGTGTTCACTTTTAAGAAGATAAATTCATGTTTTTTTATACTGTATATAGTGAGTTTGTAGAAATGTTAGCCACAGTATATTTTACATTTTGTATTTTCATGACAATGTTAATAAACGCACTTTTGGCACTCAGTTCCTATAAGGTAGAGGTGTCTGGGACAAAAGCAATGTTTGAAAGACTGACTGACTGAAACGTCGTAATAAATATTTTACACAAACAGTTACATTTTATTCTCCTGTTGTATTAATTTAGTTTAAAAACAGCAAAATAAGAGTTTATATTAGCACAGAGGCTGCGAGCAGACAGATGGTACAGTCTTATTAAGCTTTTCGAAGGTTAAGCAGATGCTGAAGTGCTAAAGAGCTGAAATATTTTGATGTCCAGCAGGGGGCGACTCTGACGGTTGCTCATCAGGAGTCTACGAGGACACAATCCTACTTCCTGGATGATTTATTGCTTCAGTAAATATTTCTAATGGTTTCGACCTGAAGTTTGGATCTTCTGTAACTCAGGATTTTATATTTTTTTAAAATTGAACAATATGCATTAAAGAACATTTACATGTAAATGCATGGGATTATAGCCAAGCGGCTAATTTCCATCCCAAATCCCATTAGCAGGTTGGTGTCAATATACGATGTTGTATTAAAAATCTGCAGAATATGTGGCCCAAATATGGTCTTTCCTGGTTGCAGTCTCACCCAGGATTTCCACCGCATCCTGAATGGCTCCTATCCAGAACGGCAGCGATTTACGCTGTACGCCAATTCCTACCGGCTCTGTTGGTGAGGCGAATTTCGTGGCGGTTTACAGTCTACTTCTAGACTTCTAGAATCAGCATCTCCTCATCCATGGTGTCAGCGGGGTGAAATGACGTCTAAATACCTTTACTTGTTTGTCCCCATCTGTTTCCATGCTGTGAAATACGATCCTCTTGAAACAAAGAGTGTTTTATTTTGAAAAGAAGCCACACGTTTTATTTTGTGTCTGTGCTCGACTTCCTTTCCAGCACGGGTTAATCTGTGCTGAATTTATCTGGCATGTTCCGGCATCCAGAAAAAATAGAACTCTTGCGATCAGCTGAGGAGTCCAGCGATCTGGAACGGAAAGAAGCCGGTGGAAATTGACACGTTAACTTGAATGGTTGCGATCAGCAGATACGGCCTTTTCTTAGCTGCTCTGGATGCGATGAAAACTGCCAGTCAGACTTGAGATTCTTAAAAAAAAAGAGTGGTGCCATCCCGCTGGTTTGTGGTTTATTTTGGTAAAGATTCAGGGGGGATCTTCTCATTGATGCAGTAAATCAATAATCTTTTATCACTGAACTTTGTTCCTGTTTGCGAAAGTTGAATGTCCTCGAACTCTTAAACTTACCTACACGATCAACTTCTCTGACGCTTGTGTCTGAAGGAATCCTGTAAAAATCTTATGAATGACAACTTCCTTTTTCAACACAGTAAATTATCCTTTTTACATTTATGGATATTCACAGTGTCCTCGTCTGTCAGGTCTTTACAATCAGGTCATATATTTCCATCCAAACTGCACTTACTGAGAGACTCTCTCTGCCAAGAGCATCAGAAACAGACAGGACTCTGAAGTGGAAGTCACTGCATAGGCTCAACATCACTTCAAAAAAACAAATGTCTGAACAAAGTTTGTTGCAGCAACCAAAAATGCAGGTTAAAGTTTCACGGTGTCGGAAAATCGATACTAGCACAATCCGGGAGAGCGTGGAGGACACGTGTGCAGCTTCTCTATACCTGACTTTCTAACATTTGAGACGATGTGCAAAAAATCAAAATATGTTTTTAATTAACATTTATTAGCTTTCTAAGATTAAAGGAACTTGAGTTGTGATTTCCTTTTAAACAAACTTTCTAAACACTGGAATTCACCATCTCAAATTTAACCCTTTATGGATCTGACCCAAATAAAGTCTGTCCTTGTTCCCTTAGAGGAATAAAAGAGAAGGAAATGAAATGTCCCGTCAATACCATGAATCATAAATCTGCTCGTTAATGATTGAACAGAGTTCACACAAAACGGACACAGGGATGAGATTGATTCACAGTTTGGATGAAAACAAACTGAACACACGGCAGCTCACAGGAGAGTAGCAGGGAGAGATTTGTTTTTTTATCATCTACAGTATATTTTAAATATTTTAGATCAGATTTTTCTCATACCTGAAGAGAGACGATGTTGACTTTGAGGAGACAATACACCGTAGTCAGGCCGCAGTACTCTGAGGACACCTTTGCTGAGGATCATGAGAAAGTCTCCAGGCTGCACAAAACCCCCCTGGACCATGTGAAGGAGTATTCGACGTACGTGGAGCGAATCTTCATTGTAGAACTTTATCCGTCTTGATGAGTTACACTCTTAAAACTTAAGCAAATCAAGCGTCTGATCATGTTGGAAACTTGATCAAATGAAATTAGATGAAAATTTCTGTTTTTTGTTAAATCCAGCTGTAACTCGAAACGCGCCAAGAACGTGGCGCTCTCTCTTCTGCCCATCATCGGTTGGATGAGGATCTACAGGATCAGAGAGTGGCTGCTTGGTGATGTGGTCTCCGGGATCAGCACTGGACTGGTGGCCATCATGCAAGGTGAGGCCTGAGAGTGAAGAAAAACGATGTACATGTCACTGAAGTGAATGGAAGTAGTTTTTTTAACACTAATAAGAATCACGTGAAGTCACAGTCCTCTCTTCATCTGCATTTAGCTGAATATTGTGCATGCAACTCGCTCACTGTGTGTTTCCATATGAAGTGCATGCAATAATATCATCCTGACCTACACACAGGATAGTCTATGATAGTCTCAGACTGTGAATTGTCACTTTTGAGCTTGTAAACCACGTCTGCGCAGAGAGAAAAGTCAAACTCAAAGCTGTTTATCGGCTGTCATTTTAATCACAGGTGTAAATATATTCAACATTTAATGTTAAGGCTAATATTGTTTTCTTCATGTTGAATAAAACATATTTATACCCAACTAAAAATAATAATATTGATTCTAACAATTTAGATTTACCTCTCTACGTTCAGAATCTGTTTTTTGCCGAACGTTTTTACAGATACAAAGAATGTTTGTCTTTTGTTGCTAAAATGATAAGCACACAATAACAATAGTATAAAAATAAACGTATATATACAACGTAAGTAAACGTAAGTATAAAGAGCTTTTTACAGCAGTACCTTTGATCTTTAATAGAAAATGCAAGTATTTAAAAATGAAAACTATATAAACACAATCTGGATAAAATCTACACTAAACTGAGCTGCAGGAGGTGTAAACTTTAGATTTAACAGCAACATTATCTTTAAGATTCACGAATAATTCTCTGAATGTGATAAAAAAAAAAATCACTTGAAATTTAAAACCCTTTTTAAGTGTTTTAGGATCAAATGTGGAGAAATGTTTGCTATTTTCAGAGCTGCAACTTCACAATTAATAAGTCTGACTTTTCTTTGAACGCCAACTTCAACACTGTTCGCAAGCAAGAGACCGACTATTTAAAGTCTGACAATTAAAAGGTTTTAAATGATTTTTATTTTAAAATGTGTGTCTCTTATTTTTCCCCCAAAGTGGATCTCTATTTCAGCTTTCCTTCTCTTCGCTTTCAGTTTAAAATTTTTTTTTAAATTTTTTATTTGATATTTACCCAACAATAAATCCTGACAATATGCGGTCCTAAAGTTAGAATTCATGTTCCCATAAAGTCATAAAAATCTTCCTAAAACTTTTAAGAGTTTTTCAGCGTCAGAGTTCAGCCAAACTTCTGAAGTTTATAGTCATCACAAGACACGTTTTTGACACAGACTGAGGGCACATTCAGATTTTAAGAGCCGCAGTGAACACAAAGTGAGCGTCTCTTTATTCATTTTTACCATAAAATCTCTTTTTATTTGATCAACTTTTGGATTTTTTATTTGCAGTTTGAAACAGAAAAGTTTGATAGGAAAGCTCAACATTCAGCTCAGCCTTTAACCTTCTTTTTATGAACTCTTAGATCACAAGATTTGCATGACCTCCATTATTGCCTTACACTATAAAAAGGTGATTCATAGCTTGTAAAAGCAGTCATCAAATCTGCATTTTAAAGTACCGCTGGATCACAGTGACATTTTGCACTTTTTTGATATTGTCCCTCCTGCTACAGCTTAGAAAAAAAAAGCTTAAATAAACTGCAAAGTTCTGAGGGATTTTGGAGCATCAAATAGAGAATTTGAGAGTTCATGTCAATATATTCGGTGTCAAAAAAATAAATCAAAGTTGGTTTTGGATGTGTGTAGGTAGGCTGTGGTAGCATGTCCCTTTAAGACACTGTCCTATGTCAGAGAAGTGACTCCATCCCATCCAGTCCGTAACAAAGAGGGAAAGACAGGTGAGGAGATGGAGGACGGAGAGAAAGTTGTAGCGGCTGAAGTAAACGAAGTTAATGTGGGAGGGGGTGAGCAGCTTGTGGAGTAGTTATAGTCCATTTATCGTTATCAAGGGGAACTGATCAATACATCGTGATATTGATTTGAGGCCATATCGTCCAGCCCTAGCTCCAAATACAGACAATACATTTACTACTAACAGCATCGTACCCTCAAAGAAAGCTTTTTTAAAGTTTGTTCTGATTTAACTTATTGAGTTTGTGGGTTAACTTTTAGAAACTTTTGTTTTGTTCATATGTTGCTTGGTAACATATATAATAGGCCTCTCAAAAATCCAAAACACACAGTCCAACTTTTAAGATAAGATAAAACAAGATAAATTTACTGTGTCTGTCCCAATGGAGGACCAATACGTATAATTTCATGCCAAGAAGTTTGGGATTTAAGGAGGCAGCTTATCAATAAGGGTCATGAAAATACATAAATACTAATGTTTGGGCCAATATAGGAGACTGTGCCGAGTGTCAAATCTGTCACCAGATTTCTATCATCTATAAAATCCTCTTTCACTGTGCCTCCCCTCAGGACTTGCCTTCTCTCTGCTGGCCTCGCTGCCTCCGAGCTATGGCCTCTTCACGGCCTTCTTCCCCGTACTGACATACTTCTTTCTCGGTACTTCCAGACACATCTCTGTCGGTAAGTCCCAGAATGCTCTGTTAATCTTCATTTATCAGCTGGATGGTAAAGGATGTGATTTTACTTTCACTTTCTATATCAGGATCCTTCCCAGTCCTCAGCCTGATGGTGGGGGCAGTCGTGACCCGTCTGGTCCCAGAGGACGGACCATCAGCCAACATCACCGCCTTTGAAAATCTGACCCTGGATGAGAAGAGGGTCGTGGTGGCCTCCTCTCTGACCTTCCTCATGGGGATTTTCCAGGTTGATGAAGAACTAGACTACATCATATCTAGGCCTGGACGATATAGAAAAAAAGCATATCGATAAAAAATAAATCATATTGATCGATATCGATAATTATCGATATAATTATTATAGTTATTTAACATATATTTTAATTGCAGCCCTGGATGTTTTATGCTATTGCTTAATGACCTACTTTTAATAAAGAACACACAAGCACTGAATTCAAATTCAAACCTTTATTCAACCACCTTTTTTATTTTACCACAACTGAAAGTTTTTTAAAAAAGAACTAAAAAAAAAAAGAAATCAACTTAAGGGGCCTGAGTGACGTCAGTAAATACTGACAAACATAAAGACTAAAGTGACCAGAAAATCTGATAAATAAATATTTAAATAGTCTTTTGATGAAAATAAACAAAACAAACAAATATATAAATAAACAGAATAGCTTTAGGTGGGAATAGCATACTACCAGTTTTAACTGTGTGAGAAACTGCCCACAGCCTGGTGTCTGAACACTGAAATATTTCTCCCGGGGCCGGGAGATTTATTTTTTTAATTATCATGTGATTGACTTGATACGCAAACTGAGCACGAGAAGCAGGACTTATCCACGCCGGTGTTGTGTCGTAGAATGCACCCCTGCCGAATGCACCCCCTGCTAGTAGCCATGATCCAAATACTCGCGTCTTTGTAAAATATGAGCTCATTTTCTTCCACTTTAAGAAGCTAATGAGTGGACGGGATGCATTCTTCTCACCTTTTCAACCCCTGACCCATTTTCATGCCTGAAGCGCTGTGTTTGAGAAATACTTGCGGCCGGGCACTTCATATCGCGGGTCGAGAGTGGCTAGAAGCTGGTCGAAGCCAGGCTTTTCAACGGTAGTTATTGGCAGTATGTCCCTCGCTATGAAGCATGTTACTGCATGGGTGATGTCCTTATGCCGCTCGGACGCTTTGTCGTATTTTGGCAAGAAACGAAGTCCAGTTTGGTCTGCTTCACATGCTTTGTGCTGGTGCTGGCAGCGGTTCCAGAGGATTCCTCCTCCGACGACGTGGAGCCGCGGCGCGGCCGACACAGCTCGTACTCCTGCGGGTGCGACCGGTTTAGATGGTAAAACAAGTTGGTTGTGTTACCAGACTTGGTTTTTACCAATTCTCTGCAAATTTTGCAAACGACCGCTGTTCGCTTTTTGTCAGACTTCTAAAAACCAAAACATTGCCATGCTGGTGAACTACTGACAATGTCCTCCGCTTCTCCTTGCTGTATCATTTTTTCTAATACACGTGCTGTCTGTTGTGGTTTGATAGGGGCTGGGCTTGGTGCCGTAGCGTACCTGGGTCTGCGTTTGTGATTGGTTGGGAGGAAGTAATGACTGTAGTAAAAGCTACATGATAGGCTATGATGAAAAAGAAAGGGAAACTGTGTTTTTCTATCGAACTTTTTATCGACCCGTTTTTTTTCTATCGCAGCACACGTCTATCGATCGATATATATTGTTATCGAAGAACTAGACTACATCATATCATTCTAAACCACAAGAACAGGTTTTCAAACTTCTTTTCCTCTCCATGTTCCAGCTTGCCATGGGTCTCCTGCAGGTGGGCTTCATTGTGGTTTACCTGTCCGACACTCTGGTCTCCGGCTTCACCACAGCAGCAGCTGTCCATATTCTGGTGTCTCAGCTCAAGTTTGTGTTGGGGTTGGAGGTTCCAGGAATCAGCGGTCCCCTCTCCATCATATATGTACGTACAGCATGTCCACTTGGTCAGGCTTGGAACTCATGGATTCAGCGTCCATGAAGTCTGACATGTCTGGGTCATGTTTATTAACAGTTTCTTCTTTGTTTGGTACATTTTAAGTGTGTTTTCGCAGATACAGCGACAAACTTTGGTCACAGACAGTTTATGGAGGTGATTTTCAGCCCATGCGGTGACCTCCACTATAGAGTCATGTCTGTTTTTAATGCCAGTCTTGGTTTTGGTCCTTGTCAAGGAAAGAGGATTAGGGCCACAAGAAAAGAAAAAAACAACTACAGAATAGAATTTCAATTTCAAGATCAAAGTCGAAATTTTAAAAGTCAAAATGTCGACTTTAGGTCTCAAAATTTTGACTCAAATCTCAAAATTTCAACATTATTCATGACATTTTGTAATCTCAAAATTTCTACTTTAATCTTTAATCACGAAATTTTAACTAAGACAAAATTTTGACTTTTTTATCTCAAAATTTAGACTTGAATCTCCTCCCTGAAATTATTTTTTTCCCTCCATGTGGCCCTAATCCACTTTCATGCTTGTCTCTTCTGTTTGGCGTTTTTTGTAATCTGTTTTGTCCACCGGCCGACATCAAATTCAAGATAAAAAATATAGTGGTTATATGATTTGAAAACCACCATCTTACTCTGTTTTTAAACAGTTTTTACAACATCCAAACTTCTTGTTGTTGTGGTTTTATAACTTGTTATCATGCGTGAAATCAAAAAGCCTAACTGAATGTGTCACACTAAGCAATTACATTTTATTTTATGGTCTTTTTATTTTTTCCGTATCAACGTAACGTGATCATCTTGGAGTTTTGCCGTTTTGAAGTGTGACTGGATCAGACTCGCTGATGAAGTTGTGTTTGTGTCCTCTGTACAGACTCTGGAGAAGAACTTTGTCCAGATCTCCTCCACCAACATCTGTGACCTGGTGATGTCCATTATCATCATGGTGGTGGTGTTCATCGTGAAGGAGCTGAACGACAGATATAAAGCCAGACTGCCTGTTCCTATTCCTATAGAGGTCGTCATGGTGAGAGAAACAATCAGATGATGTTCCTCCTGTCCAATATACCTACTTTATATTTACTCTGGACACCTAAAAAAACAATAAAGAAGTGGTTTTTTTGTTATGGTGAGTTTCCTTTAAATAAAAATCACCAAACAAGCTCCTGTTGCATTGTCCCAGACTGAACACAGGAGAAACAGTTAGCATCATGCATGGCTCTGTTTTATTATTAGTGCGTGTATGTCCTCAGTGTTAATCTGCATCGAGCACATTTAAGTTTAAACTAAAATAGATAAAAATAAAAATGAACACTAAAAGCAGGTTTAATAACTTGAATATGTCTGTTTTTTATTACAGACTATCATTGCGTGTGGAGTGTCGTACGGTTTCAACTTTGAGGAGAGATTTGGAGTTGAGATCGTCGGTAAAATGGTTAGCGGGTAAGTTTCTCAGCAGGTAAAAAACAAATAATCAATATGAATATTGTATTTAACACAAGAAGAATGAGAGAGAGAAACATGCTGATATTTTTACAGAAAAGCGATTAAAGCTGACTCATTTACCGTCTTGTTGCACAACAAGCCCTTAAATGAGCTACACCTTTGTTTCTAGCCAGCCTTTAACTTGAGCCTGAGCTGTAAAAGACTTTATAAGCAGAGTTTATATGATTTCAGTTGGTTATGTGTCAGAGTTTATGGAAAAATCTTATCATGTGTTTTCAAATACAAACTTAACATGAAAAGCTGCAGTTAAATCAGCTGTCTTGTAAATTTAGAGGAGGAAGTGACAGTGCAAAATTCCAGGGAAGTCAAGCGAAAGTGCCTTAGAATCCCATTATACCCATTATAATCCAGTATACTCTGTGATTATCTCCTAAGCGTTGATTAGCTATCACTTTATAAGCAGAGTTTATATGATTTCAGTTGGTTATGTGTCAGAGTTTATGGAAAAATCTTATGTGTTTTCAAATACAAACTTAACATGAAAAGCTGCAGTTAAATCAGCTGTCTTGTAAATTTAGAGGAGGAAGTGACAGTGCAAAATTCCAGTGAAGTCAAGCGAAAGTGCCTTAGAATCTCATTATAATCCAGTATACTCAGTGATTATCTCCTAAGCGTTGATTAGCTATTTGTTTCAGTGAAAAACTCTTTCTACTACTCAGGCGCTTTATCTAAGCTGGAAGATTTCTCTGCCTCCAGCCACGTTTACATCTGCAAAGGTTGTACTGTGCCTGCAGATGTGACATCATTACGCTGTACCGACCTCGATAAATAAACCAAAGGCTTAAGAGCGAAGATTGAGTCAGGTTAGAGAGTCACGATCAGAATAAGTGTCTACATCGACATGTTTCGGAATAAAGATCAGAAGCATTTGTACATGTGCAATTTCTCTCCAATTGAGCCAAATTGGATCAGAGTTGTATTTACACCGACATGTTTATATGGCTGATTTTTATTCCGATTGCACCTTTATTCCAATTTTTTGTGCCCATGTAAACGCAGCTTCTGCCTTGCGAATACCATCAAACTTCCAGGCCCCGCACCCACCTGCAGCTTTTACTTAAAACTGCTCAATTTAACCCAATTATCTCGCAGGTACGAGTCTCCCATAGCGCCCAGTGTCGAGGTCTTTCAAGAGGGTGCAGTGGAGGCCTTCCCCATAGCGATTGTCGGCTTTGCTGTCGCCTTCTCTGTGGCCAAAGTCTACTCCATCAAACATGATTACACCATCGATGGAAACCAGGTGAGTTATAGACTTTTTATTTTCACCCTCTCCAACCCTGACTGTCTACAATAAAAGAATGAGAGTTTTAAAATAAAGGTATAAAGTTTAATTCCTCATTGCTTTTATCTCAAAGCTGCACGTGAACGTTCATGTGAGGAAAACATGAATCAAGTCTTTTGTTGCAGTAAAAGGAAACATGATTTTTTTATTTGTACCTTAGGAACTGATCGCATTTGGAGTCAGCAACATGTTTGGTGCAACCTTTAGGTCGTTTGCAGCCAGCACAGCTCTCTCCAGGTCGGCCGTGCAGGAGAGCTCAGGGGGGAGGACACAGGTGGGTCTCTCCTAAACACATTCAAACAGATTTACAGTCAAGTTATTTTACAGTCTGCTGAAATCAAACATTAACCTCTTATATGAACGCAGATTGCAGGGTTGATCTCCGCTTTAATGGCGATGATCGTAACTTTGGCGCTCGGATTCCTGTTGGAGCCGCTTCCCAGGGTGAGATCTTTATTGTTTGCTCTTTATACAGAGAGAAATACACTTCATACTGACAGATAAAGCCAAGCATGGTTTGGTTTACAGCAGGGATGGGCGACTGGAGACCAGTTGGCTGCATGTGCCCCCTACAGTTACAGTTTGACCCTCTGAAAATGTGGTCTACTTGGTCTCCTAAATCACCCATCTTTGGTCTACGAACATGTCTACTCATTCATGCCTTTTATTCATCATCTCAGTCCGTCCTGGGTGCTCTGGTCATCGTCAACCTGAAAGGCATGCTGATGCAGTTCAGAGAGATCCCGTACCTGTGGAAGAGAGACAAAACCGAATGTGTAGGTGGTCTAGACTTCTTCTTGTTCACCGCCTGGACTTAGATCTGTCAGTTCTCGCTCAGAGATTGATCCCAGGTGTTTGTCTGCAGGTGGTCTGGTTGGGAACCTGTATCAGTGCCATCTTTCTGGGACTGGATCTCGGTCTGGCGGTAGGCTTGGGGATCGAGCTGCTCACCGTGGTCTTCAGGACTCAATTGTAAAGTCACAGTTCCTCCCATGTCCTCTCAATCCTGAATACTGATTTTAAAAGTTGTGATGATTTTAGTGATTAGTCAGATGGATTAAAAGGTCATGCCTCAATATCAGAGTCTTCCTCTCACACACATCATCATCCACATCATCCTTGTCTCTGTAGCCCTCGCTGTTCAGTCCTGGGCAACATCTCAGGGACGGACCTCTACAGAGACCGCAAAGACTATGTCGACGTGAGTGCGCCCTCTTTCAGAGTGGTGTACAGATTACCGCCTGAGTCACATTGATCCTTACATTGTGTTTTTCTTCTCAGCTGTATGAGCCACAGGGAGTGAAAATCTTCAGGATACCATCGCCTATCTTCTTCGCTAACATTGATTTCTTCAAGGACAAGCTTATAGAAGCTGTATGTACGACAACAGACAGTTTTCTTCTTTAGTTTGACTATTTTAGACGATAAATGTGCCTGAAAATCATGAAAACACTCGCTCATCACAGGTTGGCTTTAATCCTCTGAGAGTTTTACGGAAAAGGAACAAAGCTCTCAGGAAAATCCGGGCCTTGCTGCAGAATAGGGACGTGGACAGTACGGAGGTGAGACTTTGAGAGAATGAGCTCCATCAGTTTATGATTTAGAGTCTTCAAATCTTAACTCTTGTTTTCCTGAATCCCTCAATCAGAAAGGTCTGGAGGATTTGTTTCCCCACATGACCAGCGAGTCTCACACGAATGAGATGAATCTGCCCTCCGACCTCAAAGACCTGCCCTTGAAAATTTGCTGGAGATCTGCAGAGCTTCCCTCAAACATCAGTGTTCCCAGGGTGGACATCCACAGCCTGATCCTGGACTTCTCTGCCGTCTCCTTCCTGGACATCTCGGCTCTGAAGGGACTTAAAACGGTAAAAATCACTTCAGCTTCACACAGAAGAAGAACTTGTAAGTGACAGTCAGTATTCTGGTACAATGTAAACCAGAAAGCCTCCTTCGATCAGCTGTAATGACACCTCGTTATCAACTTTGTTTCAAGAAAATTGACCAATCAAAAGCAAATAAAAACTTTTTTTTCCGCAGATGCTCAAAGAGTTCATCCATGTTGACGTGGACGTTTACATCGCCTCCTGTGACCGTGAGTTTCATCAGTTTGGTTACACCGGACATCTTTTGTGTAATGATGGAAAACCTTCATAACACGCTCCTCTTGTGCTTACAGCATATATCCAGGAGAAACTACACAGCTGTATGTTCTTCGACGAAGAGATTCAGACCTCCATGTTTTTCCCAACTATTCATGACACGATGCTACACGTGCTGGAGAAACACAACGGCGTAGATAAAGGACTTGTGGTAAGACCGTTGCCTCTCAACTCCACACCCATCTGACCCACAATAGCCTCTACGAACAGTTCCAGTCCGATTTCCGTCCCCTCCATAGCACTGAAACAGCCCTCATCAAGATCATCAACGACCTCCTCATGGCGGCTGACTCCGGTTTAATCTCCATCCTCATCCTCCTTGATCTGAGTGCGGCCTTTGATACCATCTCTCATCCCATCCTCCTCCATAGGCATCTCTCACACCCCCCTTCTCTGGTTTCACTCATACCTCACTGGCCGCACTCAGTTCATCCAACTCAAATCCTTCACCTCACAGCCCTCCCCCGTCACTTCAGGTGTGCCCCAGGGTTCTGTCCTCAGGCCCCTCCTCTTCATTATCTATCTCCTTCCCCTTGGCAGCATCTTCCGCAAATTTGGTATCCACTTTCATTGCTTCGCGGATGACACCCAGCTCTACCTCTCCAGTAAGCCCGATGCCTCTCTTCCACCCTCCTCCCTCACCCACTGCCTCTCAAAAATTAAATCCTGGTTCGCATCAAACTTCCTCAAACTCAGCTCCGATAAAACAGAACTCCTCCTGGTAGGTACCAAGTCCACTCTCTCCAAAACTGACAGTTTCTCCCTCACCATAGACAACTCCACAGTGTCCCCTTCCCCTCAGGTTAAGAGTCTGGGTGTCATCCTCGACAGCTCACTATCTTTCCACTCCCACATCAGTAACATCACCCGGTCTGCATACTTCCACCTACGAAACATCAACCGTCTCCGCCCATCACTCACTCCTCACACCACAGCTATCCTAGTCCACAGTCTTGACAGTGACAGTCACAGTCACCTCCCTTATTGATTATTGCAACTCACTCCTCCTCGGTGCCCCTCACAAATCCCTCCATAAACTTCAACTTGTCCAAAACTCTGCAGCCCGTATCATCATCAGAACCCTCTCCTTTCACCACATCACCCCTGTCCTTCAGCAGCTTCACTGGCTTCCTATCCGGTCCAGAATCCACGACAAAATCATACTGTACACTTTCAAGGCCATTCATAACCTTGCCCCCCCTTACCTCTCCGATCTCCTCCACGTCGCCACCCCCTCACGCTCCCTCAGATCCTCCTCCTCCCTCCACCTTTCTGTCCCCTCTGCCCGGCTCAGCACCATGGGGAGCAGGGCTTTCAGTCGCTCTGCCCCCAAACTCTGGAACTCTCTCCCCCCGGATCTCAGAAACATGGACTCAAAACACATCTATTCCAAATTGCATATTCCCTTTAACTGTCCATCTTAATACCTGTATGTTGTTTTTATTTATTTTAACTGTGTTTTAACTGTGTTCTTAATGCCCTGTACAGTGTCCTTGGGTGTCCAGAAAGGTGCTTTTAAATAAAATGTATTATTATTAAGACCAGAATCTTTTTATACCAGGCGTCTCCTGGTACCAGTGCACGCTTTGTGAGACTAATGTGCTCTTCTTTATGTACGTTTATCTTGTTCCATCCACATGATTTCCAAACTGTTTGGTTTGTTAAAAATATCTAAAATGGCAACATGAGGCAGAAATTTATACTGAAAATAAATATTTACATATGTTATTGCTATTATAGTTAGCCCTATAATAGAAATATTACTAATAAAACGTACATGGAATGATTAATGTTTTATATAAATGATTTAATATAACTGCCTATTGCTCTACCTATCTGCTTAATGGTTATTTATGAAAATCCATGGTTAAGATTATTCTTGAGTTTGCAGGAACATAACTAAAGCTCTGAAGTTTGTTACAAACCAAATCGTTTGAAAATCGGTTTAAATTAATTAATCAATCAACTTTACTTCTATATCACATTTAGAAGAACAATGGGGGTGGCCAAAGTGCTGTACATTGCGACATAAAAACAAGTAAAACAAGCAAAGAACAAGATAAAGCGAGCAAAAATACATAAAGGCAATAAATAAATATATGAATAAGCAGGCTCACGGCAAGTGCTAAGCTGATAACAAACAAAATAACACTAAAATGTATTAAAGCCAAGGAATAAAGGTGCGTTATCAACGGTTATTTAAATGCTACATGCACCATAGACTGTAATGTCAGGAGTGGGCGAGCGTCCCGTAGCAAAATGGCCGCCATGCGCGGACGTCGATCTCCGAATATATCTATGGCGACAGCACCCACTTGTCAGGGGTGGTGGTCGCTGCACCCAAAAAGTACAAACCTACCCACGAGAAAAGAAAGGAAAACCTCCCCGACTATGAGCTCAGCGGTAAACTAAAGGTGAACCAGTATCGGCGGTGCTTACCGTCTTCTAGCCCGTTCTTCGGCTCGCATGAGCCGCCAGCTCCGTCCGGTGATTCCGTTCAGGGTTTTAAGGTGGTGGCGGAGAGGTGGTGTGAACGATTGTGGATAAATAAAAACACGCGGGCACATCTCTAGTATACTCTCCTTTGGTTATTTTAGGCGTCCATTTAATGTGCTAGCAAAAATTCGTCTTCTCGGCGTCTCCGTCATTAACTCCACAGATACGAAGTTCCCGCTCTCTGTGTTCAGGTATTCCCAATGACAGGAAATGGCGTCTCCTCGTCGACCTGTGTCGCTGGGATTTGTAGTCCTTATTACCCCAGTGGTTCACCCGTCAGCTGACAAATGTATATTTTACAGCACCGCTGCTGCGCCAGCTCATAGTAAGATAGAAAAGATCCTAAATCTATCCGTGACAGGAAGATTACACCCCTAGCTTGATATTTTATTTTGGGGGTCAGAGTTTTATCCTCTGAGGAGCAAAAATTCATTACAATTTTGCGACGTTTTATAGATTATGACTCTGATTAATAGACATCTGTGATAAGATGCTGCATATGTTTCATCAGTCTGTGGTGTCTAGGGTGTTCGGTTCTATGCTGAAGTCTCTTTGGGAGGCAGTTTAATAAACAAGGTGATTAAAAAAGCTGAAGAACATGGATCATCCATTTTATAACACCTTGATGGACGTCCAATGGTCTCACTTCAGAAGAGCTTTTGTACCCACAGCCATCAGACTTAATAATTCTTCTGTAAATAGTAGATGACTTTTTGAGACATGACAAAAAAGACTACAGACATTTGAATCAATAAAATTCTTCTTCTACTTTGTAAGGTTAGGTCATGACATTTGTACCATTACTGTGCAGCTGATCAGAGTAATAGAAGAAGAACAGGGTTGAGCAGTGGACTCATCTCGTGCTCCACAGTAGTCACCATACTTTGATTCTTTAACAGCTCTAACATTCATTTATTTTTATGTCGTTTCTTTGCAGTTGTCAGATACACCGCTCTAGATGAGGAACAGCTTCTGGGAAAGACGACTCCATCCGTTAAATATTCTGTAATATAAACCACTATTTTCACCTGCAGCATGATATTTTGTACTTTTTTAAAGTTTTCAGTTCTGTCAATGAAGGTTATGATCTGTATGGATGATTGAGTCTGTTGTTACACTTTACTATAGAACCAGTTTGCACTGTTTTATAATTCATACAATATTCTGTATTTGAATTAAAATGCTTATTTTTGATGTGACAAACTGTGCGTCATTTCTTCAACCCAAAACAACCATAAAAAAAAACATTTTAAATCATGTGAAAACCTGTGGCTTGCGGCTTCTGCAGGTTTTTTAAATGCAACTTTTTAAAAATGCTGCAAAAAGTTAAAACTGGAAAAGCTGAGTATCCAAAATTCAACTGTGGAGGTGAAAGATTTAAAGTCATAATACACTTCTCTTTAGTTCTGTCCAAACCAAACAGTGTGAAAATTTGACATTTGTAAGTTAGCTCAGTGGCGCCCCCTATATTTTCAAACATATTCCTGTTTGTCATGGTGATCAAAGATGAGATGCAGAGCTGCTGTTAAAAATTTATTGAGACAGAGTTATCGTCTTTCCATGTACAGTACATATGCGTGTGATCAGCTGACATATATACAGAGATATTTACCATACGCTATTAAAAAAGGGAACATTCCTGATCTTCTCTGAGTCTATTTGAATGTCAGCAGGAAGTTCAGTACACTTAACTAAATGTGCAGCACAGACACATTTACTTTGGGGCAGTTTTATCAAAATTAAAGTCCTACATCCTGTAACCCTGAGGTTTGCTATCACATTATTTCAGACGAGTGGTGTGAAACTGAATGAAACAGACTGCTGCCCTTCAGTCAGTTGGCAGTTTACTGATAATAAGGCCGATAGCGGCCCTGATCTGGGTGGTGGGGTCCAGGCATCTGGCCCTGTGGAGGAGGACCCTGCATTCTTGGAGGTGGGGGCCCTCTTGGAGCCGGCCACATCCCAGGGCTGAGCCCCCCTGGCTGGCTGAAAGGGGGGCTGAGGGTGCCCTGGTCTTCAGGGAACTGCTGCATGGAGTTAGGGTTATAGTGATGGGGTGGAGGGGCATTGACAGGGGGGCCACTGTGTTGGGGTGGAGGTCCTGGGGGCGGGTGGTTCATATAAGGGGGCATCTGACCCATGATGTGCCCTGGTGGAGGGGTGATTGGTGGGGGAGCTGTGGACATGGGAGGAGGAGGAGCCTGGTTGTACACCATGTGTGGCGTCCCAGAGCCCTGAGGAGGATGCTGCATGGGGTGGCTGATGGGTGGAGGAGGGGGAGGTGGGGGGCCAAAGTGCTGCTGTGGTGGCGCCATCATGTGGTGAGAGTGGGTCACTACAGGGGGCTGGCCAGGATAGTCCCCTGGGTGGTGGTGGGGAGGCTGACCAGGGCCTGGTCCAGAATGTGGCTCCCGAGTGGAGGAGTCGTCTTGAATGGGCACAGTGATGAGGTTACTGTGTTTACGAGTTGTTACTGTGGCGATGCGGAATGTCTCTGGACCAAGACCAGAGTTTGGGGGCGGGGCATCATGAGCGGAGGGAGGGGGCGGCTGACTGTAGGGGTCGTGGCCGCCGTGCTGGAGCGGGTTGGGGAGGTGAACGTGGTTCTTGGGTAGGTGAGGCGGAGGCACACGGAACCTTTCAGGGACCTCGGATGAAGGGGGAAGATGGACCGGCTCCTGGCGGTTTCCGGACTTAGCGGCCCTCATGTGGCGATGGTTGACGTGCGCCTGCAGGTCGCGTTGGGACAGGTAGGTTCGTTTACATCCGGGCACGATGCTGCACATGTAGAGGGAACCGCGCTGGCACTGCTCGATGCGCTGCACGGGGTCTGTGCAGTTATACAGGGTGAGGCTGAACACACAGGGACAGAAGTCAAACAGCGGAACACCTTCCCTGCAGATCTATGTCAGATCTATGTCAGCTGTTAGAACTATTACAACACTCAAAAATACAACACTCACCCAGGGCACATCTTGTCTCCCTTCTTTTCATGTAGCAAAGCACAGTCGTAACAGAAAACATGTTTACAGGGAATCTGAGGAGGTAGACAGAAACAGTTAATAAACCCGTAAATTGGTGACTGGCAGTAAAGGAATGCCAGTTTAATGAAACACATACCATCCGTCCGTAGAGCTGGATAGGAAGACCACATTTATCACAGAAGTGAATCGGTACCTCGTCCTTTTCTCCGATCAAATTCAACTGTCATGAAGAAGAGAAAGAGGTTAAAATCACAGGCGGCTAACACAAGGATACAATTACGTGGATTTCCTTGATTTATTCCTGCTTTTTACTCTTTGAAATAGAAATATTCTCCGGTCCCAAATTTTTAAAAAAGTAGGAGTATAAATAGTTCAAACCAGTCTGACCAGAGAAGAGACACCCTGTGTTAAACACCAGATATAGTTGATCGAATGTCTGTCATGAATATCAAATTAAAAATCTGCACATGTTGTTAAGGAGATTCAGCTCCAACAGGTTATGTACCTTGTAGTCCCAAAACAGCTGTTGAGGGAAACGCCTCTGACTTGCAAACACGTCACCAGCTTTCGCGCCGCAGTCAAACCTCTCCTCTGGTTTGAAGATAAAGTTATCTGCAGACACACGAGACGAGTACTGAGATTTATTCAGAAAAATTAGGACAGTCCTGAGAAAAAGACACCTTGACAATTTTATTGATGGTTATATTATTACTTTGTTTCTTCCTTTAAGGATACATAATCTAGTTTTAAGTGTTATCAGTGTTACACAGGCTGCTCTAAACGTTTCTCTAATTCAGAAAGAGGTCAACTTAGTGCTCTGACAAGTCACGAACAGACTTACAGTCACCGTGTTTAATTCACTGGCACTCTCTTGTGGTGCAAAAGAAAACTGCATGATCCACACAATGAGGCAAAAACACCCATATTAATAAGCATTTGTGCTTCTCATTGTAAAACCAGAAGAGTTGGACCCAATGCTTGTAAAAGAACCACTTGAGATGCAATGGTCCTTTAAGTTATTGTATAAGAGAATAAGTGAATGCTCAGTTTTTAGAATAACCATAAAGTTGTCTGCCCACTATTTAAGCAAACTGCTCCCAGAGGTTTTTTAGGGGTGTTGGGCAAAGTGCTCCAGTCCAGGTCCTCACCAAACTGGGTTTAACTTACTCTTTATGGGCCTTTCTTTAAAATTCTCCTACAAAACCACTTTGTAAAACGAGATTCAGCTGCAGAGATGTGAATAAGCCCTGCACTCACTCTGCTTTTGTACTTTTATGTTAAACCCCGGTACAGTTTGCTATCGCTGTCCAAGTGTGTGACTGCAGAAGCTTGAAGGCCAGATAGGTAAGTAGGTGGTGTAAGATTCACAAACACAACACTATTCTGCCCTGCTTTTCCCCCTTTGTCACAACTTCTCATGCCAGTTCAGTAGCAGGGCAGCTTGACCCCATCATTACACCTTTGTGATATTAACATTTGTGGAAGAGTTTAATGGGGGCCTAACACAACCAACAAGACCAGACAATCCAAAACAGGTTTGGGATGGAAGTAAGCATCTGACTAACATTTCACCAGCCTTGAAACCAAAAGCGGACCCTTCACATGAACTGAACTAAGCTTCGTCACTGCAATGTTGGAGATTTGCAACGATGGAACTGCTCAAATTTATGGTACGTCCTACTCTGTGTGGTGGACTGCGGTCTGATATAATCAGGCAAATCCAGATTTCTTCAACAGACAGCCAGACTTTTTTTTCACCGAATCGGACTTCTCTCCTTGTCTGTGTAAAAATGCAGTGAAGAAAATCAAATTATTGACGTGAACATGTCCTCCTCCCCAAAACTATATTGGTCTATTCAGCCGCGCTGTTTCCAGAACTTTTTTAAAGATGTCTCCAGTCTTCATTTTGCGACCATCCATATACTTTAAAAATGTCCATTTCTGTCAGGACGGAAAGCATCACGGCGCTCTCCTCGTCGTTCCAAAAGTGGACAATCTTTCATGCCTCAGCCATGTTGCAGTTGCTTCTGAGTCCAAAGTTCTTTAAAATGATGGTGCCGCTTCTTCTCTGGCGTTTTTGTTCCGGGGTTGTGTGGCGCACGTGCACATGCATTGGCCAATCATACTCCGACTACACTGATAACACGGTAATCGGGGTTCTCCAACTATAATTGCAGTTCTCAACCTCTGATTATAGTCGGACTAAGGTGTTTACATGCACTTCAGTTGTCCGGTCTTAATCGCAGTAAGGCAATAATTCGGTTTTCTCGAGTGTCACGTAAACATACTGACTGAAGCATGATAGATCAATCTAAAGCAAAGGATTTGAAATGCCCTGCAGTGCAGCTTAAGCATGTTGTGCAATGTTCTCACCCTTCCTTCCCGTTGACCAATGCGATATCAGGTTTTGTGTGCAGCTGTTATGTCATGGAAACCTATGAAGCTCCTGGTGCTGACTGAGTTCATGAACTGATGTTACTCAAAGAGGTCAATAAGGTCTCTGGAGAAAGTTTAACAGGTCTCTGCAATATTCTTTTTTTTCCTACTAGTGAACCTCTTTAACTCGGTTCAACTGAGGAGAAATGGTAGTGCAGAGTGAAATCTAACAAACCAACAGGTGGCGACTCAGTCACTGATCTCTTTCAGATCCGAGTTGTTCTTGGCATGATGAACTGCAGGCTTAGCTTACCGTCCTCTCCTGTCTCACTTTTACATGGCCTGCTGCTGGGTCTCTGGGCGCGGGGCGGGGGTTTGCTCCTTAGAGGCTGCTTAGAAATGAGTTTGATGGGGATTCTTCGCCGGACATCTGGGCCTCCCAAACTCCCAGAGCCATCGCTGCCTTGAAGATCATTGTCTGCAGGGTCAAAAGCAAGAGAAAAATCTATTCACTATCTATCTGATTTGTTTACAAATTTATGTTATTTTAAACACCTGCATTACACATTTGTTTACATGTTGTTGTATTGTTTGTTGTAGATAGTCATGTTGGTCTGTTTTATATTTGTAAGAGTCGATCTTTTTGAGCACTGAAGATTCTTACAATTTACACAATAAGGAATGTCATTTTATTAAAATTTCATTTATTTGTTATTATATTCATGTTTATGCCACTGGCACATTACTTTGTACTTTGTTATTACTAGTACTAGTGTTGATGACCTCTGACTCTTCTAAGGCCCCATATCGTTACATCCCTGATAAATTCCAGACTTTTCGTGGGAATGTTCGTACGCACTTATAATGCACTCATTACGCACACATCTGTACGTACGCACGGTTCATAAATGAGGCCCCTGGACCTTATCCAAGGGTACAAAACAGTAAAATAAAGTCAGAAAAACTTTGGTTCCAAACTTCAGAAAAAGTGTTGTCGAAATCTCAATCGGGCTGTTTTTGCACTAGTTTAATTCCATCAAACACATTTGTTATTAGTGAGTTTTACACGAAATCCCATCTTTTTTATTATTAAAGATGTGCACTGTTGGTCAGTGTTGTTCTTTTTGCTTTTTTTAAACAAACTCCACCTCAAATATGAGCATTTTCCTTCAGTTACTCAGTGTTTTACTATCGTCCATTAACGTCTCGTCATTGAAGGAGACTCCTTCGTTTATTTCTTTAAATCCTGAAGACACCTAAAGTTGTCTGAGCGCTCTAGCTTGATTAAAAAGTGAAGATAAAGATGAATAAATTCAGACTTTCAGTGAATAACTGATGACAGCCTTCGGTTGCGGTTTGTTAGCCCTGTTAGCATCATGCTAACCTTAGCCAGGTAGCCTTCGCGCCCCAACTAAAGAGAGCAGTTTATAAACAGATTAGAAGTGAGTGCTTTAAATATGTGTTATTTATTCCAGAGACTGTTTAGGCACGATAACAAGAATGTAAGCGGTCTTGTGGTAACGCTCAGAACTTGATGCTAACTTTTGAGGATCACCGCCTCTCCATGAAAGCCTAGCATTAGCCTGAACCATGCTAGCTCAAAAAGATGTTTGTAGAGTGAAGCAGACGCCGCAGCGAAGACCCTAAAGGTGAACGGAAGGCTTTTATATACGGTGCAGCTCACTAACAATAACAGCGCAGTGAGAAATGTGGACATTAACACAGTTCCGTGGAGTGGGCCCGGTTTGGATTTTCACTTACCGCTTTGGTCCATGATCCAACGAGTGAACGCAGTGCATTGTGGGACCGAGCGGAGGAGAAGGAGAGGTGAAGGAAAGGAGAGGAAGGAAGGAAAGGAGAGGAGGGAAGGAAAGGAAATATGGAAGTATGAAGGGGGGGAATAAGTTAGAGATGTTTTAGATTCATAAAGAAGGAAGTCAGGAAAAAGAGAAGGACAAAAAAAAAAACAATAAACCAAGGATGATACCACTTACAGATGTCTCATAATTCAGATTATAATCAGAGACAGGGGGCCTTTAGTGCTACGGTGCCTGAGAACCGCCAATGCTGCAAATAAAAAAGAATGCAAAAAAAAAGGAAGTCATAACATAAGTTACCAATGCAAAAAAGAAACTGAAGCCCACTGCAAATTAAAAAAGACACAATATAGATTATAAAAAAAGTTAATAAATGCAAAATAAAAAGTGGTGATGCAAAAAAAAAGTTACTTTCGGCGAAAATTAAAGAATGCAAAAAAGAAAAAAAGCCACAATGGAGGTGAGCTGCCGGGACCAATAATGATGATGTACCAATGTTTTACAATCTAAGCACAGAAGACAATGGTGAGAAGATGATCAAAGTAATAATTAGAAAGGTTATTGTTTAAATTCGCTTTGTAAACTTTTTAAAGTGACAATTGGTTAGGCCATGTAGCGCCTGAGTCAATATGAAGTTGAACTGAAGCTAACACTACATCGGTATATTTGATTTGAATTTGATTTGATATCATTAAGTTCAACTTCATATCGACTCAGGCACTACATGGTCAAACCACATGACACGATGAAAAGTTTACAAAGTGAAATTAAACAATAACCTTTCCACTAACTTCTTTGCTCATGTTCTTGACGTCGTCTTCTGTGCCTAGATCGTAAAACATCGGTACATCATCATTATTGGTCCCTGACAGCTCACTTCTGTTGTGGCTTTTTTTTTTTTTTTGCATCGGTAACTTCTGTTGTGGCTTCTTTTATTGCATTCTTTTTTATTTGCAACAGTGGTGGTTCTCAACCACTGTACTTTAGGACTAATGCAATGTTCCTAGATTCTGACTGATTATTATTAGGCTACTTTAAAAAAAAGTTTAAAACATAAAAGCCCCAAATGTGTGCCAAATGTTTACATATCTCTTTGTTTGAGAAACATATATTGAAGTACATTTTTATGAAATACTCCATGGCTCTTATTTCAACAGCTGTCATCTAAAACAACAGGTTAGATTGTAAGGACTTCATTCTGACTTTACTCTTGTAAGTAATTACTTTACTATGACTTTATTCTCATAAATAATGATTTTATTACGACTTTATTCTCATTAGCAGTTACCTTATTAAACGTTTTTCTTGTAATTACTTTACTACAACTTCACTCTTGTAAGTAATGATTTTATTATGACTTTATACTCATAAGTAATTACTTTATTGACTTTATTCTCGTTTGTAATTACTTTACTATGACTTAATTATTGTAAGTAACTACTTAATTACTTCATTCTCGTAAGAAATGATTTTATTACGACACTATTCTTGTATGCAATTACTTTATTACGACTTGATTCTCATTAGTTATAATTTTAATCTCGAAGTCTTAATTTTTTTTTCTTAATGTGGCCCTAATGCTCCGTCGTAAAAACAAAATCAATTAAGATAAGAAAAAAACTAACACTAAATAAGGTGTTTAAATGCATGTCCTTTTCGGGCTTCCATACTATTGAGTAAATCTGTCAGTGTTTTAAGATTAAACCAGAATAATAGTGAAGGTCGCTCAGCATCTCACACAGAGAAGTCCCTGTACATGTCTTTCTGTTCATTCTGCATTATTTAACCGTAAGTTTCCTGAATAAACATAGATTATTACAGTGTCGCATCATTCAGCGATCATCAGTCCGCTCAGGTCAGTCCGCTGCCTAAAGCCCGCGTGAACGCGCACCGTGTCGCTCTCCTGCGCGCTCTCGTACCATGTCGCCATTTTGATTCGAAAAATATGACTGAGTTTTTCCTGCTTTGCTTGCTAAACTTAGCCCCGCGTTTGAATTATTTTGTCCGTGAGTACGAATCACACACTCTCGTTTGAAATAACAGGTAATCCCGTCGCTTTCGAGTACCTACCGCCGCCGGAGGAGTGTTCATTTGATTGACTTTAAAGCCAGATTTTGACTAACGTTAGCTAAGTTGAGCTAGCTAACTGTAGCCTGACCCCTTCTTCAAAACAAATCACTAAAGCTGATGTGGGTTAGCTGGTTAGCTTAGAGAGCTGGAGACTTAGCAGCAGTGTGAAAAACTCCCAACAATCTGATTCAGACGGAAGGAAAAGCAGCGGATTTGAGTCAAAGGTGAGTTTTTGCGGAGACGGATGGTTGTGAGTTTGGACACATGGCTAACGTTAACTCTGCTGCTGCTGCTGCTACTGCAGGGACAAAAGTTGAACTAAGTTGTTTAAGTTTGCTAACTGAGGACACGATAATTAGCTGTGTGCTAATCAGAGCAAAGGAGGAACTAATGGGAACGCCAGCTAAAGCGATGCTAACTTTACAACTTAAGTGTTTAAATCAAATGTTAAAGCGTTGAAGTTTAGTTTGAGGTTCCTGTTTAGTTGTATTGGACTTAAATCTGATGAACGCTAACTACTGATTTTAACTCCTGTTTTATTAGCTGCCATCGAGATCAGCCGAGTTTAATTTGTATCCAGAGTATGTTACTCTTTAAAAGATCACATCTATATTTAAGATTTCTTCATATCACTGTTTCAATAGATAAGGTAATGTACTCGGTGAAGTCTGAGGCCAACAGCGAAGAAACCTCCATAATGACTAAAATCAGCGTTGAACTCTGTCCAGGTCGACTCGATCAAACCGCTTTATTTAAGGAAAAACAAGGATAAATAATCAAGAAGACTGCAGTCCGAATCTGTCTGCTTCATTTATCTTGTATAATTTGGTGCTGGTGTCTCCACTGGAGTTGAAGTAAACAGAAATCTGAGCTCCAGCCGCAGGTCAGTTGATGTTCACTTCATGCCAAGGCTACAGCGGCTCAGTTTACATTTCTTAAGCTACACACCAGTCTGCCTCTTTATTGTTTTACCATCTTAGCAAATAGACACCTTTTTATTTCCATGTTTTGTTCATTTATTCACTTACATAACCGCCGAGTGTGGGTACTGAACAGCAGCCATCAGCAAATAATTTGGCACTCAGTAAAAGCAGAAGCTGATCTAACATCAACCAGCTCCAACATTTTGACCACATGTAATCGAATGCGATTCAATTCAACAACTATACCTTAAATTCTTCTTCCAGGAAGTTTATAACTTTGAGTCTATTTTTGGTTATGATCAGACAGGTGACTGTCATACTTAATATTTATTATTAAAGGCACAGTGGGAGGTGGTGGAGTACTGCTGGGAGCAATATATTAGGAACACCTCTCATTATAATACACTCTAAACCCCCACAACAACTCCCGACGATTCATTTAAAGGATGATTATCACCTGGTAAGTTTGTTTTGTTTCAGGTCAATGAAAGCAGAGTTTGGATTTGTGGATGTGAAATTAACCCCAGATTATAAAAGGCTGGATTATATATTTGATATTAACATTCACCCCTTTGAATAACAGACACTGTAATTACATTAAATGCATTAATTTGTACATTAATAAAATTAATACTCATATTGTAATTTATAACAAAACTTTCATATCTGTTTATAATAAGCTTGAATGTTTAAAATGCACCAGTAAGCCTTATAAAAAGAGCTGAATAAAGCCTTATGTGGCTGTTTATTATTTATGTTATCGTTTTTTTTTAAGTCACTGACTCTCTGAGATATGTGCAGTCATGTCAACAGTAACACAACAGGATTTATGTTTCTAAAAGTTAAGGTTTTGGAGGGCAGTGAAATGTAAAACAGACTGAGGCTTGTGAAGATTTAAGGGGTTAAATAAGGGTTGATTGAAGTCATTGGCCCAGATTAATAACTATAAGTTTGTTGATTATAATAACAAATAATAATAACAAATATAATAACAAATGTTAATTATAAGTTCTTTCTTTGTAAATTGATTTCTGGGGGTAAAGGGGCAGATAAAATAGGATTAGTCTTCTTTCTGCTTCCTTTTATTCCAGATAGAACGTTTGTATTTAAATTAAATTGTTTATTTTTATTTTTAAAGGAATGAAATAAAGAATAAATTAAATGAAATGGAATAACAAAAATAAGATGAGCGCCAGTCAGTCAGTATTTTCAGTAAAACTTTACAAACAGGGGACGCCGGTCTCTTCTATTTCTTGATCTTTCTTCCCAGCACATGTCGAGTCTCACATGTTCAAAGTCTGAAAGAACTGCCTCTCTTGATAGTTTGGGACATTTTTATCCATAAACATCAAACTTCATCCATTAGCCTGGTGGTATCAGCTGAGCAGCAAACACTGTGGACAGATATCGTCACTTTATAAAAGTGTAAATAAGCAGCAGCAAGCTGAGCCACACTGTGGATTTGTTTTGTTATCTGAAGTGAACTTTTGCAGATTGTTTGAACGTCTGGTCGGACATGTTGTGCTCAGTATCTAGTATAACATAGCACAACACATAAACATCTGACTTACCACCAGTTTTCATTTAGAGAGAGGGCTGAGGTGAAGAGCAGGTGGGGTTCCCCTCTGAACTGACTTAATTACAGACAACTGTTGGCGCTCTACATCCACACATCTATGCCCTTTACGTGTGCCATTGTTCCCCTTTTCATAGTTTATGAGCCAGGAGACGGTTTTTTGTTGAGGTTGCCTCTGGTGGGTTCTATTTTGGATGTAAAGTCAAGCATTTGCTTTCCTGCTCTGTGTCCACAGGGAGCGTTCAGCGGGGTTATTATTGCACTTGTGTACTCTGTAAATGTATGCCAGATGGACACTGCTGCTGCTGCTGCTGCTGCATGTACAGAGAGGGGTCCTCCTCAGGAAAAAAAAAAAAAAAAAAACGAAAAGAGAAAAGGAGGAAGCACTTTAATTTCCTCCTTCAGTTTTACTTCCACCACCAACAGTTGGTAGCATGTTGCTAAGAGGGACGCATTAGCGCTGTCAGAGCCGGCCGATGTAAATGTGATTTGTCACTGCTGCTGTGTTAGGTTGTCTGGATTAGCTGCCACAGTAACCACAGGAGGGAAAACAAACCCAGCACAGTTGTGTAGTCACAAAAGCATTAAACACTGAATTATTTTGGTGGTATTCTCGATGCACCACGCTCTGACGGCAAGCGTTTAAAGCCCCTCGTATCAGATAGGTTTTGGTTTGACCTTGTGCATCACTTAGAGACTGTCCTAAGTCTCTAATTGTGTGTATTACAGTGAAACCTTGAGATGACATTAGGCTTGACAGTAACCTTTGTTAGGAGCCTATAGAATTTCCCATAATGCCTTTACATGCAGTGAAGGTGGTTCATCAAAAAGTAATGCAATACCTGAGGGATGCATTTCCCTCTTCGCTTTTAAAGCCATGAGCGATGGTAGTTTCTGCTGAATATTCCCTTCGGGGTGAGATAGTAACCTCATTTATGTGCAGACGGATCATGAAACACTTTTGGGTTTTTGTTTGAAGAGAAGTAAGTTCAGCTGCCACTGAAACGATTCTTTATAAGTAATATGATGATGATAATAATCGGAGAAAACAAATATTTTTGATCCTTTTGTAAATTTTCATATTTAGTAGAGTTTGTTGTCGACACAGTTGTCAGTCTTTCTCTCTGAGCCATGCAGAGCCGCTCATATTCGGCAGCTTTATCCTTCTCTAAGTATGAAACAGGTCCACGTCTCTACCTTTGGTTGCTGAAGCTGTTTTCTTGCCATGTTTACATTTGTCTTTGTCTTGTGAAATGTGTTCAGAGGAGGGACATTTTTCTTTGGTTTCTTTAGTTTTTGATATCACGAGTGTACACGCTGTGGTGTGTTTGTAAGTGGAGGTATTTATTCTTTATATTTTCTGATCAAAGTCATAAAGAGCTGTCCTACTTTAAGTAATATTATTAACATGGCCTGGAGCTGTATAGGTCAGGAATTGTTTTTAGTTTGTACCCTGAAACATGCAATTAAAAGTTTGATTCTTAGCCTGTGATTGATGAAAGACAGTGAATCTGCCTCAGTGACTAAGGTGGAGAGGAAGCGGTGTCCTGTTACTGTTGCTGATTAAACCGAACCTGCGTTAGAAACAGACTAAGGTAACAGTACATCCCTGTCCTCTCTAACATCAGTATCATCAGCTGTCAGTTAGAAAGGCACCAAGGCCACAACCTCATGACTAACAGGAACAGTCGACCAACAGATCTTGTTTTGATGTGCAAAAACAGGTGAATTTTGAACATGGTATTTGCATTGAGTTATACATTAACAACACTATACTGCCAGAGTCGCTAGCAACCGCTAAATCCTCACGTTTCTCTGTATGAGGTTTCATTCCCGCCTGTGTACATTGGTTTTAGGATAGAAGAGGAGGAGAGCAGAGTTTCTCTCACAGATATACACGACTCTCTTTGTCGTTGGTACCTGTTCAATCATCGATATCTATGAATAAGAAACCTCACAATCACAATTTTCTGACATTACCTGAGTCTTTAGTCAGAAGAGTTTTGGTCGATTTGTCATCTGTGTGTTTTCTCCTTGTCGTGCAGGTTATGGTGAGCCTCTCAGTGTCCCATCTCCTACAGAGGCCTGCGTTTTAAAAGGAGACCCATGCTGATAAATGCCAGGCCTCGCCACACTCTCTGTCGTCTGCACAAACACAAATGCCTGCCTGCCCGTGGGGGAGGTCTGATTAAAGATATCCACATTTCATCCACTGGTATGTGCGAGGACTTTACTGTGTGGCATTTCTACCTTTTTGTATTTGTGTAAATCACGTCTGCTTTTACCTGAACCACACTTATCCAGATATTCTCAAAGAATAAACAGAAGTATTTTGATCTCACGCTGCTCCACCACTCCCGTGTGTGTCTCCTCTCACCTTCCCTCATCATCCCTCTTCCGTCCCTCTGACTCCAGGGCTGTGTCCCCCGTCCCAGCGGCCACCATGTTTTGGAAGTTCGACCTGCACACCACCTCCCACATCGACCAGCTGCTGGACAGGGAGGACGTGACGCTGAGAGAGCTGATGGAGGAGGATGATGTCCTCCAGGAGTGCAAGGCCCAGAACCGCCGGCTGCTCCTGTTCCTCTCCCAGGACCACTGTATGCAGGAGCTGGTCAGCCTCATCACCACAGAGCCGCCCGCTGACCTGGAGGAGAGGAGTCGCTTCAAGTGAGTGTTTGAGGATGTTCACACGGACTCTGGTGGATTTACTCATTGATTGATGATTGATTGATTGATTCCTTCTCATTGCCACTGTGTGTTTCTCTAAAGGTTTCCCAACATCGCTTGTGAGCTCCTCACATCAGACGTGTCACTAATAAACGACAAACTGGGTGGAGATGAGTCTCTCCTCGAGATGCTTTATCACTTTCTGGAGCAGGACCCACCACTTAACCCTCTCTTGGCCAGCTTCTTCAGCAAAACCATCGGCAATCTCATCGCCAGAAAAACTGAACAGGTACGCTGGAGAAGCTCATGTCTGCGGCAGGTGTGCGGCTCCTGTCTGTCCTGCTGTCTGAAAACTAAAAGTATGAACGCTGTCTTTGTTTGTCAGGTGATCACCTTCCTAAAGAAGAAGGAGGGGTTCATCGGTTTGGTGCTGAAACACATTGACGCCTCCGCCATGATGGACTTGCTGCTTCGCCTCATCAGCTGTGTGGAGCCTGCCCCCTTGAGGCAGGAGGTCCTTCATGTAAGATCTCTTGTTAAGCACTTAAATGAACATATATAAATCGGTCTCTGACGTGTCTAACTGATCATTTTTTCCTCCTCAAGTGGCTAAACGAGGAGAAGTTGGTACAGAGACTCACAGAGCTCATCCACACAGGCAAAGATGAGGAGGTGAGGATCAGACCCACCGTAAAGGTTCTGGTTGTAACTGATGGAGGAGCGTGGAATCTGCGCATGACTGACAATTCTTCATTCCATTTCAGAGACAATCAAATGCATCCCAAACACTTTGTGACATCATCCGCCTTAGTCGAGACCAGGCCAATCAGATGCAGGAGAATATGGAGGCCGACCCACTATTGGCTGTACTAGAGTCGTAAGTTTATTCTTTCCTTGTGATGTGATCTGAACCATCGTGTCGATTAAAGCCCAAATTTTTCACACAGATGAATTTATCCACCAGCTCAACGACAACAAAGACAACACAACCACACGCACGTTCTTATATCAGAGACCATCTGCTGTTTTTAGCTGCAAACAAAACCACAACGTCGTCCGTATAGATGTTAGTGAATCATGTGATCGAGGGTTATGATGTTTGTTAATTTTTGGCGTCAAAGACCTAAACTTGTCTGCTTCTTCTCTACACTGATAAACAATGAAGGCTCTTTTTCATTTTGGACTGGTGCATCATGTTACTTCAGGGCGGTGGGAAATTCTGACGAGCGTTTCCTGTAGTCTCCTCATGAATCTTGTTGTCATCGTCCTGTAATTGACGTGCTCCTTATATTTCCTTCTCTTTTCTTTTTGAACCCCGGGCTCAGTAAAGTTGTTTTAAGATGCGTGTCCTCACACGCTCACACAGGCAGAGATGATCGTAAACAAACCGACACTGCTACGTGACCTCGCTCTTCATGTGTGGCAAATTTCCATATTCCAATGAAAGAGTTTTCCAGGAACCCCTCAGGTTTGCTGGCAGAGCCTGTTAAACGACAGCGTTTGATTTTAGGGCGAGTTCGAGTTGGTGTCCTTAATTGTGCTTCCTCAGAGGTTTTAGGAAATAACTCGAGGACTTCTTCGACCTCTTTGTTTCTCAGGCAGGAAAGTGTAGCGGGGCTCCTCAAGAACATGTTTGAGGGGGAGAGGAACGAGGCCTCCATCGTTAACGGAACTCAAGTGCTACTTACCTTACTGGAGACCAGGAGGTCTGGGTGAGTCCTCGTAAAACAGTAGATTAGTATCATCTTCTCAAAGGTATCAGAAAATGAACCTTCCCTCCTGCTTTCGTCTCCCAGGTTGGAAGGGCTGATGGATCTGTATTCTCAGGGTTTTGAAAGGTCTTACACTGTCAACAGCAGTATTTTAAATGCCATTGAGCCCCATTTAAAGGACTTCCAGCAGCTTCTTCTGGATCCCCCCAAGGTAAAACCACAAAGCAGTGCCAAGTCACGAAGCAGAGAACTTTTTCAGTGTTTCATTTTACTTTTTGATTCCTTTAAAAGTTTAATATTGAGCCTCCATGGATCGAACCTTCCTTTAAAAACCCTCTCAATGGCCTCCTTCTATTTTACTTTTTTATTTCCGACATTGAAGGTTTTGTCTTCCCTCAACAGAAAAGTGCAATATTGACAACCGTTGGCGTTCTGGAGCAGCCACTGGGGAACGCCCGCCTTCACGTGGCCCGCCTGGTGGCCGCTCTGCTGCAGACCAATGCCCCCAGTATCTGCCAGGAGCTCTGCAATCTTGCCACCATGGACCTACTACTGGTGAGTCAAAACTGCCTTCACACTTTAACTCTGCAGCTTTAGGTTTTCATTTGATGCAGTTTGAAATCATGTTTTCACAAAGTCCGTTACAAGGCCATGACGCTCTGGTTGAGTATGACACCATCTGATCAAAGGGCACTGATGGTGACTCATGTGGAGCAGGTCCATATCTGATCCTTTATTTGCCCTGAGTGAACATCAGAGCAGCTCTGGAGGAGACTTTATAACCTTACAGTCCGGTCAGAGTGCATCAGCTCGTCATTGTTGTGCTCACAGATCTCTCTCTCTTTCTCTCTCTGAACAGGATCTGTTCTTCAAATACTCCTGGAATAACTTTTTGCACTTCCAAGTGGAGCTCTGTGTGGCGGCTATCCTGAACCATCCATCCTCAGAGGAGCGGCCCAGCCCAGGCCTCCAAAACCACGATGGGAAGTCTGCAGCAACCAACTCTGAGGTGCCAGGGGAGGTCGGGGAGACAGGCCGGACCAGTGACCCACAGACCTCCATCCACAACGCCCTCGTGGCACATGTATGTTTTATCCCCTACTCTCTTCTGCTCTTCTTCTGAGCTCCCCTCTGAGTTTTTTCTCATTTCTCATCTGTCTTTGTTTCCGTTAAACTCACAGCTCTTCCAGAAGTGTCACCTGGTTCAGAGGATCCTGGATGCTTGGGAGGAGAATGATAAAATCCAGTAAGAACTTCAAATTCAAATTTTTCTCTCCTTAAACTTCACCTCTGCGGCTGCAGTTTTCTGCTGTGGGCTTAAATGTTTATCTCGTATCTTTGCATTTTCAGTTTTGTGCTCCGAGAAAACTTGAGAAGTTTCTGATCTTGAGAGTTTCCTTCTTACTCCTCAGAGACTTCTCTAGAAATGCGTTGTGCTCGTTGTGTTTGTGTTAATTTGCCGTTTGGAGGTAAACTGAATTGTGTCCCCATCAATCTCAGGGCTGAGGGTGGCACCAGGAGAGGCAACATGGGTCACCTGACAAGAATCTCCAACATGGTGGTCCAGAACCTGGAGAAAGGGCCGGTACAGGCTCAGATATCTGACCTCATCAAAGGTACCGCAGTTACTCTGATACCTGAAAAGTCACTACGAGAAAAAAATTCAAGGTAAAAACAAACTAATGTGATTTTTCAGAGCTTCCAGAGGACTGCAGAGGACGCTGGGAGAGCTTCGTAGACGAGACCCTGAGAGAGACCAACAGGAGGAACACGGTGGAGCTGGTGAGCGTCCTTCAGGAACACTCAGGACCTCCTACACGAAAAGATTTCCTTTCACTTCCTCTTCTTCTCTCCAGGTTTCAGTCATTGATGTTTAGAGCAGTCAGTCAGCCAGTCAGGACAGGAGCGAGCAGGCCAGCATGTCAGACCAGAGAGATCACCTCCATTCCTGTTATTATTAATAAAGGAAAATCTAAACAAAGAGTGGAAGTGTGGTTTTGATGATGACAGCAGGAGAAGTCGCTGTAGGGTGATAGTTCATGATGTCTCAGCAAAAACAGCAACAGTTTTGGAGAGAGTTTATCTTCAGCATAAATAAATAAAGATGTTTCACATGAGTCTGTCTGTGAGCCGATAAACGCTGTAAAGAATCACCAAACTTCTTTTCTGTGGTTTGCAGGTGAGCACCCACAACATGCACTCGTCCAGCGAGGACGACGACATGGAGAGCCCCTTCCCCAACGACCTGTCCCTCCAGCAGGTAGGAAAGACGCTTTCGTACAACAACAAACGGACCTCTGTGTCTCCAGTTTTCAGACAGGAATCAGCTGTAACACTCGCTCAATCTGAAGTTCAACATCTTCTTTGAATGTTCCTCCTCCAGGCTTTCTCGGACTATCAGATCCAACAGATGACCGCCAACTTCGTGGATCAGTTTGGGTTCAACGACGAGGAGTTCAGCGAGCATGATGAAAACATCAAGTAAGTATTCGAAAGCCTTGACGCGTCACGTTTCCTGGATTTTCTGACTCTGCTGCTCGTCTTACTTTAATACCGAAAAACTTCAGAGTGCTGATTTTTTTATCAAACTTCTGTTCTCTGTCTTTAGCGCCACATTCGACCGAATTGCCGAAATCAACTTCAATCTAGATGCTGATGATAATAGTGTAAGTGTTTGTGTCGGAGTTTGTTCGTTCACAGAAATATGATCCACTCAGTCTGCAGTTTTACCAAAGACAGTTATGTTTTTTTAAAGAACTTTTATATTTATGTAAGAAATTAGAGACTTCATTAACTGAAGTGTTTGCTCTCAGGCCAACGCGGCTGCTTTTGAAGCCTGCTGTAAAGAGAGAATACGCCAGTTTGACGACGCCGAAGAAGAGGAGGACATTTGGGAGGAGAAGGAGATGAACTATGCAACACAAGTCAAATCCAGAACACGGTAAACCTCCTGGTAAACCTTGTTGAATTTGAGGATCCGCTGATTCGTCCGCTTTTTCTAAAACTTCCATCCCGTCACTCTGTTTCAGGTTTGGTGTCACCCAAACCTCAGAGGGGAGCTCCAGAGGCAGCTTGGAGAACGGAGGCAGGGAGCGAGACCACGGATCTGAATCTGATGAGGACGAGGACTGTGAGCAGAACCCATCCGATTCAGGTGAACGAGGAACGCAGAGAAATGTGAAGTTAACCTTCACAGTAGACTCCTTACTTAATTAGGGGTCATGTTTTGCTTTCAGGTCCTGGTTGGACGGCTAACTTCAGGGACTCTAGAGGGACGGCAGCATCTCAGACCCCAGCAGGATGGGAGAGCTCGGCTGGAGGCGCAGCAGACACACAGGGAACCGGCTGGGCCAACTTCACTGAGTTCCAGCCTTTCTCCGGGTGAGGATAAGCTCAAGTCCCTGGAATCCTGAGGCTGGAATCCTCATCTGTGTCAGGACTGCAGGTTCTGACCTTCTCCTCCCTCTTTTTCAGTACGGAGACTGAGCCCAGGTGCAGCTCTCCTGTGGAATCTGGCGGCAGTGTCGCTGATAAACAAGCCAAACAAAACCACGAAAAGAGCGGTGAGTTTTGACCTGGACCCTCTGAACTCCACTTCACTTTAAAATACGATTTGAAGAACAAAAAAATAAAGTTTTTGTGTCTTTCTGTGTCAGCGGACGTAAGTGCCTCCTCTGGCACTTGGCCAGTCGGTGAGGGGAGGAAGGCTCCCCTCGTGGCCTCAGACAGCAGCTCCTCCGGGGGGTCTGACAGCGAGGAGGAGAGAGGGGAAGATAAAAACGCTGCCGCTCCTCACGTCGCAGCTATCGCCTCTGAAACCCCCGTCGCCCCCGCCAACAAGACAGCTGACCTCAAAAGGTTTGCATCTCAAAGTCTAAATTCCCTCTGCAGCCTGTCACAGAGAGTCCATGTGTGTTTCTAAGCATCTATATTTAAAACATAACGACCACATTGAGATAATTATAGAGCAGAGCAGGATGGGAAATTACTGCATTCGTGTATTTCAAGTATGATGAGGAGCTTCTCTGGAGCGAAATAAGAGTTTCAAACTAGGTTCACAGATGGAGAAAAAACTTCAGGTCACAGTGTTGTTGCTGATCCAGACCACCAGTCCAGAGAGTCGAACACTAGAACCCCCGACACCAACTGGATGTGACGTTTTCTGAGTGAATGTGGGCTCAGTCGTCACGAGCGCCCTCCTCCTGACCTCCTGGAGAAAAGCTGAATGAGCTCGTTTGTAAAACTTCACATATTCAAAGATCGCAGATGACGCCCTGCAGAGCGCCCTGTTTGTCCAGCTTAAAATAGAGCAGGCTGTTTTCTGTTGCTTTTGCTGTGAGGTTAAAGGTCAACCCCAGAACAAAGAGACGACGACAAGGGGAGAGGGTGTTTACTCAAACCTGCATACACTCTGAGAAAGAAGCCAGGCGACGAGGGATGAATTTTAAAAGTCTAATTTAGTCGCATTTATTCGATATATCTGATTTATAACAACATGGTGTAAATGAATCTGTGTGTGTGTGTTTGTGTGTCCCACAGTGAGGAGAGTCCGGTGTCTCTGGAGAAACTGTCTCTGTCAGATCCTCCGAAAGCGTCAGAGCAGCCGCCCTCTGACGACTCACCTGTAGCTACACAGACTGACAGGAAGTAAGTGCTGCAGTTTAAGTTTCAATGACTTACCCCGAATTTCCACCACTTCCGGAACGGCCGTGATTTTCGCCGTCTGCCAATTCCTACCAGATCCATTTTTGTGGCAGATTACAGACAGCAGGAATCGAGAGAACTCACAAGAACCCACAAATTCACATGCAATCGCACAATAACAAGTTGTCTCTGTAGAAACAGCCACATAGACATATAAGCAGTAGATTATGTCCTTCCAGAGGAGGAAATCTACTTCTAGACTTCTAGAATCAGCATCTCCTCATCCATGGTGTCATCAGGATGAAATGACGTCTAAAAACCTTTCCCTTGTTTGTGTGAAATACAATCTGCTTGAAACCTGGAGTGTTTTATTTTGAAAAGAAGCCGGATGTTTTATTTTGTGTCTGTGCCGACTTCCTTTCCAGCACAGGTTAATCTGTGCTGAATTCATCCGACATGCTGCGGGGTCCGGAAAAAAATAAAACTCTTGTGATCAGCTGTGGAGTCTGGCGATCCGCAGAGGAACGGAAAGAAGTCGGTGGAAATTGACACGTTAACTTGAATGGTTACGATCAGCTACGATCGGAGGAGATGACCTTTTCATAGCTGTTCGGATGCGGTGGAAAATGGGGGTTAACTGTCTGTTTGTTTGTAAAGTTGTGTATTCACTTTCTTCAGAGTAAGATAGTCGAGGTAAGAGCCTCCTGTCGGGTTTTCTGGTTGTGTGATTGTGTCCTCTTGTCACGCTCACAGAGAGGAGACGCCCCCGCCCCAGGAAGTGTCAGTGAACGGGCCGGTCTGAGCGCGTGCAGACTGCTCACATCCATCTGTGACGGTGCAGCGGACTGTCAGCCTCCTCCAGAGTGACTCCTCTAAAACCACCTCACTGCAACTACGGCGTTTTTTTACTGAATCACTCTGCCATGTTATTGGACCTGGACACTGCCAATCAACACCAATAATGAGGCGGCGGGACGTGTAAAAAAAAAAAGAAAAAAAACGAAAAACAAAAACAAGAATTAAATAATGAGAAACCAATAAACCCAACAGCCGGAGCGGAGGAGTGCAGAGGGCGGGAGGAGTCGTGGTCAAAGCCTTTTTTTCCGATGTTGCACATGATCATGTGCGGTTTTAATGTAGCAGCGACAGAATCCGAGGGGTAACATCGTCATCGTTATTTTTTTATGTCAACCTGAAAGATTTCTCTCCTACCTGTTCGAAGCTGTTGGAATCCCGTTGTTTGGGATTTTTTTTACATCCTCACCCCTGAATGGATAGCACAGGCTAACTTTTAATGATGCCTCAACAATAAATACCTTTTTTTGACCGCATTTTTTTCTTCAAGCTTAAAGAAAAAGCACTTATGCAGCCATTTACTGTACATTATAGCACAATGTAAGTGTTCGACCCTCATCTCTGCTGGCTGTCTTCTCTGTCCTCTCACCCACATCGAGGTTTTGATCCATCGTTTCCGTTTTTTTTTTTTTCTCCTTTCTTTCTTTGGTTGCTGTTGATGAAACATCTCGTTGTCACCAGGTTTCTGAATGTCTGAAGTGCTTCAGGAGGGTCCGAGTAGGAGGAGGAGGAGGTAGAGGAACAGAGCTCTAATAGTATTACTGTCTTTTTGCTCATGTGCAATAATGTCAATTAGCCATTTTTATTTAAAAGATGAATTTCAACATTTATTTCTTTTTTTTAAAAGAATCAATCTAGCGTCACATTCGGTCGTAGGTTCGGGAAAACAAATTTGGATCTAATCTCCTCTGATTTTAAATTTTTATCTCCTTTTTTTGTTTGTTTGTTTTCTTTTTAGTGCATGTATAACCGGTTCTCTGTTGACCTAGCTAGTGAGCTAAGACCTTCTGATTGTAATGACTTTAAGTTCTTATTGCTATTCCCCTTAAATCAACCAAACATTATCTACCTATATACAAATATTATCTACATTTAAAAGTAATTTTACAAGCAATCTTGAGATTACTCTTGTCGTCTGTTCCTTTTTTCTCTCTCTCCACTGAGCACTTACTCACAGGGCGAGAGCGGCATCTGCTAGAGTGACGCTGTATGTTTTTTTTTTTTTTTTTTTTTTAAGTTTTATTTTGTTTCTTCTCTGAGCAGCAGGATTTGAACGAGGGCAGGTCTGGGTTCTGCAGAGCTCCAGGCCTCTTTGGTGTACTTACTTAAATCATTTGACAGCGATCAGGTTCTACGATCATTGTTAAACAAAAAAATTGAAATTAAAAGTGTCTGGTTGACCACATTAATACCAAAACTTGGACTTTGCCTTCTTGTTGTCGTCTTTGTCCTGCTGTGAAGATCCAGCTGTTGGTTCACGATGACGAACACCTTTAGACTCTTGGAAAGACGGTAAAGAGGAAGATTTTCTCTCTCTGGCAGGAAAGTGAGGCAGATGTCAGTCCACCAAAGATCCTCAGAGGAAGAACAGGTCCAGACTGAAGTCAGGGTCAGCTAGAGAGCGGAGGTCCAGGGGGCAGGATTTTTTTCCCCAGGATGGTAGGGGAAGGTTCCGCCCTCCTTTGCCTCTGATTAGCGAGAAGTGCTGGGCTCCAATTGGTTATTTCTTATGGCTGCGAAACATCATCGTTTTACAGGTTAGGATTAGGATTATGCTGTGTTCGAGTTACCTCAGATGTCGGAGCTGAAAATGACGCGACACCCAAGTTCCCAGCGTTTCAGTTACCAAGTCAGAAAAAGCAAAATTGGAGGCCTGAAACAAGATGGGTACACCTACGTACGTTATTTTTATTATTACAAGATTAATAAAATCGAAAATTGAGTTTCTGCTAAAGTAGAAATTTCAAAATTAAAAATGAGATTTCGAGAGAATAGTCAAAATTTCAAGATTAACAAAGTGAAATTATGTCAATAAAGTCGAAATTTCGAAATCAAAATTGAGATTTTGAGACTGAAGTTGAAATTTCAAGATTACAAAATGTGGAAATGTCTTGAATGTCAGAATTTCGAGATTCAAAAAAGTCAAATCTTGACATTAAAGTCAAAATGGAGATTTAAAAAAATCTCCCTTCTGTAATTATTTTTTTCTCTTCTTGTGGCCCCAATCCTCCTTCATAAGAAACACTTCTGTTACACTTGGTTTACTTTATTGAAGCGGTTTACCTGTCCAGCAGAAAGGTTAGAGCCAAGATCCTGAAGCGTCCCCCTTCGTTCATGCTAGCTTCATTGACGTTGACCCGGCTTTTTAGCTCTTGTCCGGTCTACCTCCGTTTTAAGCGCCCGTTATTCCTCCAGAGTCTCCGGTATTTACTTTGTTTTCTTGCTTGTGTCGGCAGTCGTGGTTAAAGGAGGATTCAGACAATTTTCCGAACTTTCTGGTTGGCTTCTACTGTCCGATATTGTAGCACGCTAACTTTGTTGGGCTCGTGAACGTAATTCGTGGAGCGTGCCTCACAGCACGAGGGAGCAGCGTCTGCCTCACAACCAATGAGGTTCGGGGAGGCGGAGTCAGAAAGAGCGGACCGTTAAAAATTTAAATGTCGACGACACAGACATAAGAGAACACAGCGATATCGTTATATTACCAAACGCCATCAATAACTAATAACTATAGACTGATATTAAAGCTTTTTTGTATAGGGGAGACTGGGGTAAGTTGATCCACCCTCTGTTGTCTGGAAATGGTAAAAGAAATTGATCATGTGAGCAAATCTTTAGGAGATGGGCATCAATTCATGGAGTCTGTGAAAGTTAGAAGGACATGGGTGAAGGGGTTAGACATTTATTTCCACCCTTGAAAGTGAATTTAGTCTGTCATCAGTTTGATTAGAATTGTGTTCAGACCAAAAGATATAATTTTAAATTTGTTTTATACATCAACTGTGGTATCTATGAGGCATGAAAGTCCACCATTTTATCTTGGAGGACTCATAAAGTCATCATAGTAGTTCAGGAGTAACTGAGAAAGTAAAGGAGTCTGATGAGAGGATCAGAGTTTACCTTCAGATTGTTGAAATGTTTGACTTTTTCTTTTAAAAAATACAGATCTGTGAATGTTCTGAATCACTTAAAGACATTCTCATGTTAAAATGACTTTTTAATAAAAAGCTTTTTAGCAGTTATATGCAATAATAATAATAAAGAGTTATTGTACCAGTTAAATAGTGTATAATAGATAAAAATACACATGAATGTGAAGAAGTGACTGTTATTTAGGGAGAGTTGACCATAGGAGACCACTTTTTTGTCCTGCTATATTATCAAGATTACAGTTCTGTTTACACTCATTCTGTTGGTTTGCAGGGATGAACAACATCCTGAAATATCTGCAGATACACTAATTTGAGACAAAACTACGACTGACTTGATGTAGTGATCTGAAATATGAAAAATGGCTCATCTTACCCCACCTTTAATGAACTGGATCTTTATACTTCTCAGAGTCAGAACAGTCCTGACCTGACTCCAGTCGTCCTCTGAAGGTAAAGCTGTGCTGTTACTAAGTCGTCCTGGGAGCCTTCATGGACTACGTTTTTGAGCACATCCCACACATACTCGATCGGATTCAGATCTTAGGAAACTGAAGTCGACACTCTGGACTCATGAGGCGCTTTTCAACAGCAGGAACTGTCCCCTGTAACTAGGACTTACCCCAGAACTGTGCGCATGTCCACGTTAATCTAGTGGTTCCTTAAACTATAATCCAGGGTCTGCTCTGATGAAATGAGTCCAAATCAAACAGGACACAGATTTCCACATTTAAACCCACAGTTTTTATTTGGATCTAAAAACTATATCGACATGATTGACAACATAACCCGGCTCAGAAAAATCATTTCTAATAAAAAAAAAAAGACCAAAAATAAATAAACAGGATTATGTCTTATTGTTGTGGTTAATGAATCTGTTTTAGAGCGTTACCACGGCGAGATGAGTAAACGAGTGAGAAGACGAGCTGGGTCCGACCGGATGTGGACTACAGTCACAAATTCAAAGACACGTGGCGAGGCTGATCGCAGGGGTCTGAGTGTCGGTCTGTTTATGATGGCAGTGAAAACAGGAAGATCCAAACTCTGAACTGGATCCTTTTCTGCAGGTTTTTAGGGGGGTCTACATGACTTCAGGTGTGTTCTGTTACTGCATCTTACTGCCTGCAGAGTAAATCAAGAGTTAAAGTGACTGTTTTACCTCCAACAGGTTGTGATTGTTTATTATTTAGGAAAGATCTGCACAGAGACACAGATGTTTTTTTCGTTTCTATGGAAAAAAAGGAAAGTCAGCACTCTGTGAACATGGAGAAGTTAATTTATAAATCTTATTTCTTTCTTTTTTGTCTAATTTATAACTTCAAAGAAACACCTGACATAATTTTGAGTCTTTACAGAAATTATACTGTTATTATTATTTATTCTACTTGCTTTTAGATTTCAATTTAATGGTCTAAATGTTTAAAACAGATCAACAAATGAAGGATAACTTTGTGAAACACAGGAAGAGAAGTAGTTTCGCCAAGTTTGATGATCAAGAAAGTGACTTTGCAGGAAGAAGTTTCTGCTAAGAGTTTTAGTTTGAAACTCCAAGTTGAAAATAGTTGAACAATTATTGTATTAGATTAAATTAACCCTTTAAAACACAAGTAAAAAAAGGTCAGTGATAGACCGGTAAATCCTGTCTTCTGCTAGTTTTGAATTCTGTTTCTGGTTTTAGGAAATTCTCTCTGTGATTGTTAAATATCATCAGTAAATTAGATAACCTGTCGGGGGTAAAAACAGACTCTTCGGCTCCTGTACCTGTCAGGCCGGGCGAATGGAGGCTGACTCTGACCTGATTGGCTGAATTTCAGTCCAAACTGCTTCACTTTCTGTCTCAGTGTACGAGGAGTCTGTTTCTCTCAGTGGGTTGGATGAATTTCTGACACGTCAGAAACTCTGCGCCTCTGAATGAATCCTCTGGCGCAGTGACAGGTGAACGACTGAAATGCACATATTATCGATCTAATACTTGAAACTATACTTCTGCAAAACCTGGGCAGTTTCTGATTTGGTGCGTGGGAAGTTTTAAAGCTACAACACGAGCCCCCAGAACCCGTCCTGTTAGAATAAGCCTTCATACTCGCAGCAGGAAAACTTGAGGTGTCCGACTTTTATTGTGACTGTAATCTTCATCCAGAACATCCCACCGCTGTGGGTGAGTAACACAGTAAAATCCAACCAGCCTTTAAAAATCAGCCCGCAGGCGTCAGCTCCCACTAACACAGCGTCTCCACTCCTGCACGAACGGTCGGTTGGTGATGAGCAAAAGACGACGTTTACAAAAAAAAAAAAAAAAAGACATTGAGGGTTTTAAAAAAAAAAAGCATTAGTCACATTAATACAGAAATAATAAACAAATGGCACATTGAATTCCTAATTCAAAATAAAGTGGTGCTTGAGGAACTTTCTTACTGAGGAGACAAGTTAAATAAATTACTACCATAAACGTTACATACAAATCTGGAGTAGTATATACAAAGGAGTTATTAGACACAAAAAAAATCTACAATTTCAAATTTTATGTTCAACAAAGACAGCAGTAGAACTTTATTTTACATAGCAGGGTTTGTGTTAACACGTGTAGGTCTGAGTGGTTCGTTTTTGTGTATGTGGAGGGGGGGGGTGAATAGATGTGTTTGTGCGGGGAGGGGGGGGGGCAGTTTGACAAACAACCGTCAAAAGAGTTTTAAAAAAAAGTGACGTGATTTTTGAAACCTTCCTGGTAAACGTGCTGTTTTCTCCGTAACTCTCTGTAACTTGGTGTCGACACGGGTGGACTCGTGACGCGTCGCCGACAGGTACGCCGAGTCTGAGCTGCGTCAGACTGACACCCGGAGTTCAAGAGGAGGTGATGAGACCTCTGACGGAGCGGAGGAAAAGTCTGGTCGCTCTGCCGACTGGAGGGTCCTGCTACGTTTGCACTCGGGGGGCCGACTTCACTGACAAAAATGGTCCAGTGGGACTTTTTAATGTACGAAACAAAAAGTTATAAACCAGATTCACTCAGAGGCCGGTTCTCTCACGATGAAATATTGTTTGCTGCTCCTACTTCAGTATTTTGGACTTTTATTTGATCGTAAACTTTGCTGCTATTAAGATTATTTACTTTTACGAATTTAAAGCTCCTGTGAGGTAGAAACTGCGTCTCATCTGGCGCCCCCTTGAGGACAAAACTATTAATTCTATCATGGGATGTGCATATTCAGTCAACTAAACAGTCAAACATCATAACCCTCTTTAGTCAGCACCAGAATCGGCAAGTTAAGCTGATTTTATTTGCTCTAAAGCTCGACCACCGGGATGTAAACAAGCTCAGGTGTTTATGTTTTAGAGCGGCGTGGGTTTTCAGTCTTTTAGTCTAAAAAAATGGAGTCTGTGCGGAGAGGTGGACATAAAAACACTGGACTGGAGAAATGTGAAACTAGTGCAGTCATGTGGACGTGGAAAAATCCTCACAGTAGCTTTAATGTCATGTTTTTCTTAGTGATAGTGAGTGAAAATCCAATATTAAGTAATCAGTTTTGAACTTTTTTTTAGCCTAACTTGACTGAGTTTTTCTTTCTACTATTTTTTTAGTTGCAGATCAATTGAAAAGTGATAAACTGATCATGTTTTGTCAGGTTCTCCGTGTTAAAATGACCTAAAAGCCTCGTGTCAGGGTGAACCGACCCCTGCGTGAATCTGGTGAGTAACTCAGAGATAATTCTGCCTCAGCTTAAATATTGATCAGCACAAATCAGCCTCTCAAACTACAAGAATTGACCAGATTGTGATTCAGGAGGAGCAGACCGAGGTTAAAAAAGGAGGTTTTTCAGGGCGAAAACTCTGACTCTGTCCTCAGGTGTGCGCTCTTTCATATCTGTGAGCCCGTTTTAAAAATAAAGGTGAGGGAGTGAAGGAGAAAAAAGCAAACCTTTCTTTTCCAGCTAACTCTCTGTCGAGGGTTTATTTCCGTTTATTAAAACTCCGATTTAAGAGAAGAGCTCCTGAGTGCAAATGTCGCAGAGCCCGCAGTCACAAAACAACCAGATCTTTCCTCTCCAAACTCTCGGCGCCCCACAGCGAGTCGACGTCCACCTCTTAAAAATCTGTACTCACTCTAAAGCGTCTCGTAATATCACTCTGTTCATAAGTTTCTCTCCTCTTCATCGTCCGCCTTCCAGATCTCCTTCTTTTAAATTTGTTTTTGAAGAAACGGCTACAGAATAAATCCCTCCTTTTTCCTTCAGCGTCCCTTAAAATACTCTGAATGTTCCTAGTGGTTGAAGAGGAGCAGAGTTTTTTTTAGCTTAGTGAGGGAAGTTTCTGTCTGCTTTGTAAACACTCTCAGTCAAAGCCCACCGACTCACTCAGAATACCTGACAGACAGACCGTCCCCCTCCCACCGGCTCTCCTGCTTTGATCGACTGATTCATGGCTTTCACAGTATCCACCATCGCGGCCCGCTGAAGGCCGTGACGAGCGTTGATCTCTTTCTGATATCGGTTTGAGATTTTTGGAAAAGAAAAAAAAAAAAAAAGGAAATCCTTCATGAACCGTTAAGGAGCCCCCCCCCACACTTCCTCCTCTTCCTGCGCGAGGGCGACATCAGGCAGCGAGGGTCGTTTTTGGTCCGTCAATCCACCAGTCGATCTTTTAGATCCATCTCTGAAAAAAGTCTAACTCGTCTGTTTGCCGACTGCAGCTCCTCCGTCATTCCTCCTGGAGTGTCTTCGAGGGTGGGCGGGGTTAGTAGAAGGAGAGGTTACGGGTGGAGGTTCTGGAAAGATCTTCATGCTGCTCCGAGCTGCAGAAATGCATCGGCGTGTTTCTGTCGCACAAACGAGAGGCTGCAGCTACGTGTGAGACGACAGCGAGTGGTTCTTCTTCTTCTTTAGGGGAAAGTTTTTTCTTTTTTTTGTCTTTTTTTCTCCTTTTTGTAACAAAAACACTGAAACATCGTGACGCAAAAGGTTATTAGTTCAATACTAGCAAACAGAGGCGAGCAGAGCGGAGGGTGTGAAAGGCCTCGTCCTCTCTCTCTCTCTTTCTCTCTGCTGTCCGTCATTGGCTCTTTAAAGAGTCCCGCCCCCTCTCTTTAGGCGTCTGACAGGCAGTTCTGAACGCTGTCCATCCACAGCTGAGCGTTGTGGCTGTCCTGGGCGCAGAAGTTGTACACTCGTTTTGTCGTCTTCAGCTGAAAGAGAACAAAGAAGTTTATTTTAGTTTCATACGTTCGTTTTTCATTTTCATACTTTAATATTTAAAACATTCAATAAAAAGAAGGAAAAATCTCAAACATGTGAATGAAAAGGAGCAGAAAGAAGAGTCTGCCCCTCTTTGATAAGATATTTATGAACTAAACACATAAAGAAAATAAACAAGAGCTGCAGACCAACACGCCTTTTACAGTTCAATATTTCTTATTTTCAAAAACAAACAGAATCACATTTTTTTTAAAACAAACAGACCAAGACTTCGATTATGAAAATTTTTTTGACACTTTTTTAAAAGATAAAATTTGATTTCTCTTCTTTAGTTTCTTTGTTCAGATTATTCCACAAACTTATTCCTCACACTGTAACACGGCGCTCTTTTAGTTTAGGTCTGAATCTTTGCTTTTTAAATATTTCAAATCCTTTTAAATTATAACAACTTTCTCTTTTTTCACATCAGCTCTGGGTGTTGACTGGTAAAAGTTTCCTATGAGCTTTATACATCATCTGCAACAAACTGAAATCTACTAATTCACTGAATTTCTACAAATAATCTCTGTATTGACTTCCTCTAATAATTCTTGTTGCTCATTTTTGTAAAATGAAAGTTTTAAATGAACTTCAACACAGCAGGTCAGATATGGAACAATAATCCAATTATACAAAGAGGTACAAAGCTTTATTATCATCGTCATCTATTTTTCATTCTTAGCGCTGAATCAACCCTGAACTCACGTCAAAGAAGGCTTTCTCCTCGATGTTTTTCGGCGCCCCCATGGCGGGCGTTCCTGGAATGACAGACTCGACGTCGGCCAGCTCGATCACTCCTTTACACTCCTTGTCCTGCCGGGTCTCGTAGTATCTCAGCTGCAGAGTTCACAGAAAGGTCGTTAATGAAAAACTCGTTTGTATAAAAACACTCGTCGTGACTCTGCGACCCCCTCACCTGATGTTTGGTCTTGTCCAGGACGAACCATCGTGGTTTCCAGGGTTTCAACAGCGCCCCCTTCTTGAAGAGGATTCCTTCGAAGCTCCTGAAGAGACACACGTTTGATTTGAGTCATTTCTCTCTCTCTGACGTTGAACTCTGACGGCTCTAAAGTCACGATACAGACCTGTTCTCGCTCTCAGAGCTCTGGAACTGGCTGTACAGCGTGCTGGTGCTGGGCCGGCCCGCCACGGGGGTGGAGGTGGCGCTGGCCTCACAGTCCAGAGCCAGGTTGATGGAGGAGCCCACTCCGCTCTCCTGCAGGTAGACGCCCTGAGAGCGCCGCTGGTGGCTCAGGTTGGATGACATCAGCAAAGAGCTGGAGAACGACGGCTGAGGAGGGAAGAGGAGACGGTGAAGGAGACGAGGAAGCTGAGACACCACATGACCTTGACCTCGTTCCATTAAATGTTTCTGTTTCAACGTGATCTGTCTTATTTATGCCACACATGAACCTCCACTGAGCGGACCGTTACACTTTTCCACCACAAGATGTCAGTAGAGACGTCAAACATCTGTCCTCGTCTTTGCATCTGTTTTCTGTCTTGGTGTTTGAAATATTTGGAAGAATAAACGAGTAAAAATAAGTTTTCTGAGTAAATCTGAGTTTCTAAAAACCCTCAGTTCTCGTTAATTTGAAGCTCCATCCAGCCGACTTTGTCCCCAAAACAAACATGCAGAAAAGTGTTCATAAAATAATCATTTTTAAACATTTTTAAAAACTTTTTTTGACTCATATCTCTTAAACAACTTCAGCCCTGATCATTAAAAAATAATAAATACAAAATTTCGAAGTATTACTCTTTTTATGTCAGTTTTTGTTCACCATGTCATATTTATTGATTAAGTGTTTGTTCTAATCAGCCGAGTCTATTGGAGCGGAAAAACTCGCCATTTCCACCTCCTTTTCTCGAGCCTCGTCTTCTACCAAATCAAATGTGATCAAATTCATTTGTTCATATTAAATTAATTTTATATATAGTCATATAAAATCAGAAGATATATGTAAGATAGGAATCATTTATAAGTGTTTATCCTCCTCTAACCAAAATATGACTGTGATTACTCTGATATAAAAATAACTGCATATTTGAGACGTGATATCTTCTCATCTAATGATCTGAAGGACCTGTTCATCCTCATGCATGTCTATTCAAAGTGAGGTCAAAGTTGAAATTGTCCAAATGTCCCCCTCTCTTTGTCCCACACTGCAGAACTTGGACGTCAGATTCTCGACTGCAAAAACTCACGTCATGCTCGATTATAAACATGGATGCAGATTCTCACCCGTGCACACACGCAGGAGCACACAGACTTCTCCTTCCACACATATCCCACTCTTAGACATCCATATCTAGTGTCATGTAAAGTTTCCTTCATTTCTGAGGATGTTTAGTGGATGAATCTTCAAACTCTCTCAGTCCATGAATGAAGACTTGAAGAATTAAAATGATGTGCGGCTCAGTCTGTTGTCTCACTGTGGGAAAGTCAAATTTAGAGCCCTGCTGATCGACTGACTGCAAGAAGAAGGTTGTAATATGTTGTTATGGAGCCGTAAACACGCTCAAAAAACGTGATTTTAATGGAAGTCTATTGGCCGATTTGTGGACTAAGGAGGGTGGGTGGAGCTAAAATGCGGCGACAGAGAACTACAGGTGACAGAGTTTTTTTTTTTGTTAATATGAAGACAAACGTCCTCATAACAGACAGAGGAGGAACCGAGGGTTAAGACCTTGTCAGGATAAAAACTGATCTTCAAAAGGAGACCGTGTCCCTCACCTTGCTCTCCAGTTTGGTCTCGGTCCTCTGCGTTGTCTTGATCTTGTCCCACGTGTCCTTCCACTTCTCCGACGTCTGTCCCAGCTCCGCCTCCAGACTCTGCAGGTCCTGCAGCAGCTTGGTGATGGCGTCGGGCACCACCTTGCTGAGGCTGTCGTAACACGGCCAGACGACGTGCCGCTGCGATTTGGGCCCGCTGCTGTCGGGTTTCTCGGGCGTCTCCTCTGCGACGCGCTCCTGCCGGCCCCTCAGCTCCCAGTCGTAGGAGGGGCCCTCTGACAGGGTCTCCTCCATGTAGAAGTCCCAGACCTTCAGGTTGGAGATGAAGGTGTACGGCCGCAGAACCTGGAGCGGAGAAGAACCCGTTAAAACGTTTTCTTTTGTTTTTAAATTTCAGGGAATCAAACGTGGAGCGGAGAGCGTCCGCCTCACCTCGTCATCCTCAGGAGAAAACATGTAGTTGTAGAAGATCGGCGTTTTCTTGTGCAGCCTGTCGATGTAGTCCCACACAGACTTGCACACCTGCGGGCTTTTCCTCTCACCTTTCTCCTCGTACAGCACACCTGAACACAAACACAGAGTTACTATCAGGGACACAGACGTTAACTACGAGCTCCGTCTGCTGTTACAAAACCAAAGTTACCCAGCTCGATGCGCTCGTAGTCAGAGTCCAGCAGGAAGGTGCGGAAGCGGTTGGACACGTAGTGGTAGGCCAGGAACTTCAGGTAGTACTGACTGAACTCAAACTCCATGGGGAACTGCAGGTGGATCTGAGAGAGGGAGGGAGAGAGAGAGAGAGAGAGGGGGTCAAAGGTCAGGATCAAACTCTCAAAGAGGAGCTGGATGATCGCACAGTTTAAACTCTGAGCAGAAATCAAGTTTAAATTCTTAAAGTCTTCATGTTTAGTTTGTCCTGTCCTCGGTCTAAAGCGACACCTGAAGTCGAATAAAACCAACTTCCTGTGTTTGATAAAGAGACGGGTCCCAACAGGAAACACAATCAGACGGCAACTTAAAGATACAGAGGAGGAGAGTTTGGACAACACTCGGTACGTTTACACGACACTTGAGAAAACCGAATTATTGCCTTCGTCCAGTTAAGACCGGACAACTGAAGTGCCTGTAAACACTTTAATCAGAGTTTGAGAACTCCAATTAAGACACTCAGATAATGTGATCAGAATTCCATTTTCTCTACCATGTAACGTAGTCGGAGTATGATCGGACAATGCATGTGCACGTGCACCACGCCTCCGTAACCCTGTGAGGAGTGGAACCATCATCTAAAGAACTTTCAGCTCAGAAGCAACTGCAACATGGATGAAGCACGAACGAACGTCCACTTTTGGAACGACGAAGAGAGCGCCGTTACGCTTTCCATCCTGACAGAAATGGACGTTTTAAACTACATGGACGGTCGCAAAACGAGGAACAGAGACGTCTTTTAAAAAAATTCTGGAAACAGCCCTGCTGAAAAGACCCACATCGCCCCCTAGTTTTGGGGAGGAGGACATGTTCACATCCATAATTTAATTTTCTCAGCTGCATGTAAACGAGGACGAGAAGAGAAGTCTGATTCTGAGAAAAAAAAACAAATTATGAGTTTAGTCCGATTAAACTGTGCATGTAAACGCTCTGAGTGTAATCTACTGGAGCTCAGGTCAGGATGGTAAATGTGTCATCTTGTGATAAACCTGCTGATTCAGACTCTAACCCCCTATTTCCATCACATCTGGAACAGCTGCGAAAAGGCCGTATCCTCCGATCGTAGCTGATCGTAACCATTCAAGTTAACGTGTCAATTTACACCGACTTCTTTCCGTTCCTCTGCGGATCGCCGGACTCCTCAGCTGATCACAAGAGTTCTATAATTTCTGGACGCCGGAGCATGGCGGATAAATTCAGCACAGATTACCCCGTGCTGGAAAGGAAGTCGGGCACAGACACAAAATAAAACATCCGGCTTCTTTTCAAAATAAAACACTCCGTGTTTCAGGAGGATCGTATTTCACACCATGCAAACGGGCGGAGACGAACAAGTGAAAGTGAAAGGAAATCCCGGGTAAGACCTGAAGAATAAAGTCCGTCCTGCTGCTGAGGAAGTTTTCATGACAGTAAACATTTCTCAGCAGCCTCCTCACTTCAGCGTCTCCTTAAATAAAAAAAAACTCTTTGACAGAATTTTCTAGATTGAAGTGGATTTCTTTGACCCCGCAGACCCACCTGATGCACACAGTCCAGGAACTGCAGGAAGACCGGGGTGAACCCACTGCTCTGACTCCCCAGCGTCTGAGCTCCACGGTGGCTGAACCTGTGTCCGAACGACAGCCACTCCTTCTCCACCAGCAGCCGGAAACCGTCAAAGGTCCTGTAGTACGGGTCGGAGAGCAGCTGCACCAGAGACACCACCTGAAGGGGGCGGGGGCGTGTTAAAGTCAGCGCTCGCTCAGAGGACGGCGACAGAAATGAGGTTTGAAGGTTTAGGGCTTACCTGTGTGGTGACGTCCCAGCCGTCCTCCAAGCTGACCATGACGGACGAACCCGTGTCCAGGAGCTCCACCACCAGGACGGACACCTGCAGCACTCGATGCAGCTACACACACACACAAACACACACACACAAACACACACAGGATCAGTAAAAACACTGAACAGTCCAGACTGATCGAAGAGAAGAAGAAGAAGAAGAAGAGGAGCGCCAACCAGAGCCATCCACTCAGAGTCCTCCAGGCAGCGCAGGAAGCTCATGTTGGGGTCAGAGGTCGAGGAGCTCGGCACGCAGGCCTTCATCAGCTTCTTGAAGCTGTTCTTCACCTGCCGCACGTCACACACCTCGATGGGAACCACCTCCCACTGCTGGAACGAGTCCTGCTTCCCGCCCTGAAGACAACATGTCCGCTCCGTCACTTCAAACCGACTCTGACGTTTGGTTTCAAAAACGATTCGTTGGAATATTCAGATCTGCTCACCTTGAGCTGGGCTTTGTCCCCGATGATGTACAGGTAGGCCTTCTGCTGGCGGAGGAACAGCGCCTCACTGGGTCCTCCGTTGGGCTGGGGGGACTCCTTCCCCGCCAGACGCGTCCCCACGTCCGGGTTGTAGGCACTTAGACGCCCGCTGCCTCGAATGCTGCCCCATTTACCTGAGACAAACACACACAGACGGAGACGAGTCTTCAACACGGATCATCCAAACTCACCAAGACGTCAAAACCTCTGAGGAGTCACTCCGCCGTCCGTTAAAAACACATCAGCAGAAACGGACGGCCATGCTAGTAAACAAGGCAGACTCCAGTTCGCTACAGCTAGAAGGACGAACGCTACGTGACGACCAAACTCTGAGTGACAGGAGAAGAAGAAGAATCAAACAGAAACCATCAAACAGGACGTCAGGACGACAGCTGCAGCATGCACACACACACACACACACAGCAGCTCTCCCATCAACAAGCAGCACCAGACCGTTAGTCCGCAGAGACAGCACACTAATCAGGAACCACGGCAACAACACACTGACGCTACAGGGAAAGAGATCTGATTGGTTAGACAGGAGTGTGAAGGGCGAGGAGGGGGCGTGGCCTACTGTACCTCTAGGAGGGTTCCTGGCCTTGCCAGACACTTTGGGCTGAGAGAGGGAGATGACTTTCGCCCTTTGACCCAGAGCTGAGGTCAAATGACAGAGACGGCGAGTTAAACAAGAACGCCACACAGTGGAGGATGGTTTCAAACAAAGTCCTGGTCCAGTCCCAGATTAAGAAACACTTTTAAAGGAGGAGTCTGGTGTTTTAAAACCCGGGACCTAGTTTTAGTACAACCCTGAGTCTGTGAGAGAGGGAGAGGACGCTGAGTGGAAAATTGATGAAAATAAAAATTAAAAATAATTAAATAATTTATTTATTTAAATTTAAATTTTATTTAAATTTATTTAAATAATAATACATTTAATAATTAAAAATAAAAAAGTTTAATCGTTTGGAGTCATGATGTGTCAAAACGAAGAATCTGGACTACAGGGAGGCGGGTTCAGCAATTGAGAAAGTCTTTGTCTGGATGGACGTAGATGTTGCTCCTAAACCTCGAGATATTGGTTACGAGTAAGGATGCAGCATCTATGTTTTCTAATTCTTCGTTGAAAGAATAAGAACTCCAAAAGAGTGTCAGACTTCGATTCATAAGACTCCGACTACAGAGTCCTTCTGCTCCTAAATCTGTAGATATTGCTCAGCATTCATGGAGCCTTCACAGAAGCCATGGACTCTGATGATTACTGGTCCACCTGCTTTAATTATTCCGTGTGTTTAGTCTTCTTTTAGGTCCTCTCTGTCCTCTAAAAGTAGGCCCCAGGTTTGTAAAAAAAGGGGAATCGTCCTTTAATGAACAAGTCTCTCGCTTTTGTTTTGAAACCAGGGCTGAAATGGACCGACTGGGACTAACAGAACCTACAGGAGCAGCATCAGGACACACGGACGCGTCTCACCTCCTCGGCTAAAGGTTCCAGGTACGTCCTCTTTCGCCCCCATCACCTGCTTCATCAGAGCGCCGATCTTCGGCTGCCTCAGCTTATCGGACGAGTCTGAGACGGACAGAGAGACGATTTAGCTCTGCGATCTCTGAGACGGAAACACGTCACACACATATACGGGTTTGTCATCCTCACCTGAGGTGCTCATGTGTGTGGAGGTGAAGCCGCTGAGTGTGTTCCTGCCGCTGCTCTCGCTGTACGACGGCATGGAGCTGATGATGGCCTGCAGGTACTTCTCCTGCTCCAGGCTGGTGGAGTCCGCCTGAGAGGGCACTGCAGAGAGACGAGGACATGCATGAAGGAAACAAACTCACTCTGAGTGATCGTCTCGAAACATGAAGAAGAATCGTGTTTTACCTGCAGAGGGGGCATTCGGAGACTTGAAGAAGCCCACCACCCCCTTGGCGTGGAGTCCTGCAGACCTCAGCAGGACGGCTTTTGTTCTCGAATTTCTCCAGCAGACGACGGGGAAGCGATTCTGCCGATAGCAGCGACAGATCCTCTGGATGGTCGAGTCCGGGATGCTCTGAGGCACGATCAGCAGGCCGGGGTAACTGTGACACACGAAGAAGAGTTTTAGTAAACACACTCAACACCTCTCACTTTCCTGTGTGTGTGTGTGTGTGTGTGACCTCTGACCTCCTGCAGACGGTGTACATGCGGTTGACGGTTGAGATCCTGAAGGGCTCGTTCTTAGAGCGCGTCAGGCTGTTACTGAGCGTGCCCAGGCCGAGCCTCTGGTAGTCACGACAACAAGCCCGCTCCACGACGTTGCTCATGGTCTGCCTGTCGGATGAGCGGATGGTGGAGGAGAGGGTGAGGGAGCTCTGGTCCACCTCCTCTGAAACTGTTAAAGGAACACAGGAGAGATTCGTTTCAGGGTCGACTCGAACTTTTGATATTTTTATCCAATCATCCACTCATGTAGGGCTGGGCGATAAACCGAAAATTTACAGAAACCGAAATTTACGACAATAACCAACGTCATTTTGCCGGTATCGGTGTATTAGTAGGGCTTGGATGATATGGTTTTCTCCTGATTCGATTCTTCTACGATTTTTTTTGGATGCCGATTTGATTTAAATTGCGATTCTACGATATTGTTGATTTTTAGATTTTAAGTCTGCATTTTTAACACCAGTGAAACAGTTGAATGATTATGATTGTCTACTGACTATTTCAGGAACCATTCACATCACATGTAAGTCTGTTTTTAAGATTTATTCTTAAATTAAAAAAAAAAAAAAGATCTTTGGACATAAAAATCGATTTAAAAATTGTAAAACAAAAAAATCGCAATACTTATGTGAATCGATTTTTTCTCCCGCCCCTACATATTAGGTGTCAACAAATTAAATAATAAAAGCCTTAGTTGTAATTTATCTCCTATTAGAGGCGGAGTTTCTTAGGACGTTCCATTGAGGAACAGGAAGTGATGTAAGAGACCGCAAGGACAAATTAGGGCTGGGCAATAAACCGAAAATTTACCAAACTGAATTTTACGACAATAACCAACGTCATTTTGCCCGTATCAGTATATTAGTAGGGCTGGGATGACATGGTTTTCTCCTGATTTGATTTTTTTTGGATGCCGATTCGATCAAAATTGCGATTCTACGATATTGTTGATTTTTAGATTTTTCGTCTGCATTTTTAACATGGAACAGTTGAATGATTATGATTGTCTACTGACTATTTCAGGAACCATACACATCACATGTAAGTCTGTTTTTAAGATTTATTCTTAAATTAAAAAAAAAAAAAAGATCTTTGAACATAAAAACCGATTTAAAAATTGTAAAACAAAAAATCGCAATACTTATGTGAATCGATTTTTTCTCCCGCCCCTACATATTAGGTGTCAACAAATTAAATAATTAAAGCCTTAGTTGTAATTTATCTCCTATCAGAGGCAGAGGAACAGGAAGTGATGTAAGAGACCGCAAGGACAAATTAGGGCTGGGCGATAAACCGAAAGGCAAGGAACGACAGGTGAGGAGATGGAGGACGGAGAGAAAGTTGTAGCAGCTGAAGTAGACAAAGTTAATGTGGGAGGAGGTGAGCAGCTTATGGAGAAGTTATCGTCCATTTATCGACATCTTGGTGAACTGATCAATATACCGTATTTTTCGCACTATAGGGCACACTTAAAATCCTTTCGGCTTGTCGGAGCACTGCAGCTACCGTAGCCTCGTGGAGTTATTGAATGAGTTAAATAAAGTTTGACTTATCTTTTGTTTGGCTTAATGCGCTTTATAATCCGGTGCGCTTTATAGTGTGAAAAATACAGTACCGTGATATTGATTTGAGGCCGTATCGCCCAGCCCTACTCCTACTCTCACGGTTTAATTTGATAAAACTGTGATCACCTGAGATCTCATCCTCGTCCAGCTCTGACTGGAAGCTGCTCCTGTTCTCCCAGGTGGGCGGAGAATACTTCTTCCTGGTCACATACTGGCGCCCGATCGTCCTCTTTGCGCTCTTCACCAAGTTTTTAGAAAGCGTCCTGCAGAAAGAGACAAAGATGAAGACAGAGAGATGGAGATTTATTCACTTAAAGGTGCATCTACTCAAGCTGACGAGGAGATGAATTAGACATTAAGTCACTGGTGTGTTCCTGATTTGGCCTGAGTGTGTATTAATACACGCGCACACACACTCATGGAAACAACAGAGCCGATAAAACGACGACCACATTTTCCGCTGATGAATAATTCAGGAGCTTCTCTCATGCTCCTTCAATCTGCGGGGAAGAAAGAGAGAAGTGTGTGGTCTGGGGTTGGGTGGATAAAGAGGGGATGTATTCCCATCTGAGGCGACATAAAGACCCTTTAAGTTTCTATTTTTATGTTTTTTGGCTCAAATGATGGTTTTAAAACAAAGAAAAGAAGCAGATGAAGTGAAATTAAACTGAATTTGTGCAGCATGGATGACACACACGTCCAGAACTCAGAGCTGAAAGTGTCAAAATGAATCCAGCGGGATTTAGACGCGACTCCTTCCTCCTCCTCTCTGCAGACCTGAGAGCGTTTCTTCACTCTCACTCTTGTGTCGTGACAGAGGGGACTCTCTACATGCGTGCACATGAATCCTTTAACATGCAAAGCTTCAGGAGAAATGAACTCCACACGTAGATGAACCTGTTTGTTTCTCCCACGCTCCTGCAGCCAAATCACTCGAGAGCAAAGGTTCGTTTGACAGACTACAGCGGCTTGTGTTTGTGCGGGTCTGCAGGAGGATCAGTGAATGTGCAGAGTGGAACTTTCACTTTTTTGGGACGCTCTAGTTTTAAACTACACGTCTGCAAGCGCCGGGTGTCTCCCAGGCCGGTTACACAACACTGAAACGACATCTGACCCGACGCCGTGAAATATGGAGAGAAAATTCTTTGGGGCAAAAACGGGAACGAGGTCTGGGGCAGATCTGGATTTATGGACCTGAACAGAAAGTTACAGATGTGAGGCAGCGCTCGTGTCACTCTCTGAGTTACTGCACCTTAACGGACGAGGCCAAAGTGACTGTGAGTGATTTAACAGCCCGCCTGTCCCTCCGAGGGTTAGTGCGACTGCAGGTCTTTAGTTTCTCTTGCGTAACTCTTGAACGTTTTAACAAACCGTGTTTTTACCTGCAGAGAAACATTTAAAACATCGACTAAAACTTTCAGGAAGAACTCGAGATTTAAGCTTTTATGGTTCTCTGTCCTGACGCCGAATTCACTCTTTCTGCAGAGGCGGCTCCTTACTTGAGAGACTGGTTCTTGTCCTTGGTCTTGTGCTCCACCACCAGCTTCCCGCTCTGACCCACAGTGAAGGCGAAGGTTCCCTGGACGTGCTGAGGATAGCGCAGTTTGTGCATGTGCTTCCGGAAAACCTCGGCCAGGTCGGACGCCACCTCCTCGTCGAACGCGATCTTTATCAGCTGTGAGACAAATCGGCACAAGAGTTTTAGATATTTATAAACCCCAAATAAAGAATTTAGCTGTGATGTGAGTTTAAAAGACTGATTCGGAGACATTTCCTGCTCCTTTCTTGATCCGATCTACCTGGAAGGTGCAGGAGCGCAGCTGTAGCCCCTCCTGGACGAACTGGTCCATGGGTAAATTGACCGAGATCCTCTTCTCCTTGGTCAGAGAGGCGATGGGGAAGGAGCGGGTCACCACCTGCTCACCCACTGCAAGAGGAGGTCACACGAGGGTTTAGAGGATCCGCACCCACCATGAGGACGCAGAGAGGGGGTTAGTTTTATAAAACTCACCCAGTGGGTCTGTAGGCGTCCCCCTGAAGATGAGCCTGTAGGTGGTGAGGAAGATGGCGCCCTCAGCAGGTAGAAGAGGCGGACCTCCCATCAGCCCCGTGGCCTCCTCGCGACCGTCAGGGATCAGGTGGACCCGCATGGCGTCCATCACCAGCTCCTCGCCGGGCAGGAGGGTCGGCCTCAGCAGCTTGGGCTGAACGGAGACAGAAAGAGAGGAAGGAGGAGAAGGTTAAAGATGGAGCAGAGAGAGAGGAGCGATGGCGCAGGATTCAGTTAGGAGAGGATGGGAGACTAAGAGACCGGAAACTCTGGAAGTCGTCATCACTGAGTTAACGACTTGTTTCATTACGATGAATTTTGAGCTTCATGTTTCGGAGCTGAAGTCTCCAAACTCTTTCAAAGTTCTGTATCAAAGTCACTTTTCCTGGTTTAATCAAATCTGACATGCTTTTAGAACACGAGTAACTCAGGACCGGACCACAGCACTCAGAGTCAGAGTCTCATGCTTTCACATCCATGCTGAGGTTCCTCTGCTGCTGATTTAGGTCATGAGGACAGAAGGTCACGATGAGGGATCAGATCTACTGTCTCAGGACGTCCCGCTCCAAATTCTGAGAAGTCAAAGATTTAAAACACGTTTCAGAGGATCCGGTCCTCCTAACAACCCTCTGACACAGAATTTCTCCTAGGGCTGGGCGATACGGCCTCAAATCAATATCATGATATATTGATCAGTTCACCTCGAAAATGATAAATGGACGATAACTTCTTCACAAGCTGCTCACCCCCTCCCACATTAACTTCGTCTACAACTTTCTCTCCGTCCTCCATCTCCTCTCTTGTCTCTCCTTGCCTTTTGGTTTATCGCCCAGCCCTAATTTGTCCTTTCGGTCTCTTACATCACTTCCTGTTCCTCAGTGGAGCTTCCTAAGAAACTCCGCCTCTGATAGGAGACGAATTTTAACTCCTGTTTCATAATTTGTTGCACAACATTGAATCACACGTGTGTTCTGGTTCCAGCTGTGGTCACAGACCGACTCAGACCGCCGAGACCTCACGGATCTGAAGCTGCACCTTTAGGACTAAAACGCCGTGGTAAGCGGTCAGCTGAGCGGTGAACCGTTCCAACACCAGGGGTTTGAGGAAATGACAAAACACGCCACGTCATGCTCAGCGTCGCCGCCCCCCTCCTGCACACTGCACGCAAACGCCACACTGAAGACACTCAGGAGGGAGAGCAGTCACCCAGCATGCACTGCTCAGGCGTGCAGTGAGTGAGTCACACACTTCTGTCTCTGAGTGGGGGGGACAGACGTACCTGCTGTGACACTGTGAGCCTGAACTGTAGGGATTGGCGGAGAGGGGAGTGGGCGGGGCTTGCAGGGGTTGAGCGTGGTCTTTGTCCAGCGGGATGTAAAAATAGGATTTGTTTACCTTTTGGATCGGAGGCAGTCTCTTACTCTCCCGGTGGACTGCGTCTAACGTCTCGATGTGCATCTGAACGATATCTGCAGAAGAAGAAGAAGAGGAGATGGGCGGAGCTTACAGCTTTGATCTGAGGCTCTCCCAGAGTCCTGCGAGTGTGCGGGATGTCTCGGCGCGTGTTTACCTGGTATCATGGTGTGGAGCGCCTTCAGGTGCTCGTTGGTGACCCCGCTCTCATTACACACTTTGTCTACGAAGCGGTTAATGAAGCGGACCACAGAGTTCGCCACGTCTGAGCTCTCCGCATCTTCAAAACCGCTCTCTGTGTCGTAGCTCTCCGCCATGCTGCCTGCGATGCTGTTAAAGACAAATAAAAGTGTTTCAAACGTTTATATCGACGGTCTCTCGGACCCTGCGCAGGTTTAACTTTAGACCCTGTACCTGTTTGTGACGTAGCTGTTGCTGACGCTCTCCACGTCTCCGAGCCCCGAGCTCCTGAGCAGCCGGTTCTTGCTGGTGTCGAGCGGCAGCAGCAGGTAGCTCATCCTGTTGGCGTAGTGAATGGCCTGGCTGAACACGGTGCTCTCCTCCTTCTGCACGCGCTCCGCCTGCATCTCCTTGCTGAGCGTCGGCCACAGACGGTTCTGCTCTGACGCCAGATCCAGGGCGCTGATTTCCCTCCCTGCGGCTGACCCGTCCTGCTGCTCCTGGAACGAATCAGAGCGAGTTTATTGATGATTGATCGTCTCAGGAAAACGCCGGGAGGATGATTTATGAGGCCGACAGCTGAAGACAGAGTGAGAGTCTCTCTAAAGGTGCTCACCGTGTTGTTGTGCTGCGCTCCGTCCTCCGTCTCCAGGTACAGAGCTCTGATGTGGTTCTGCACGTCACTGTAGAACATGGACTCCCAGAACTGCATGGTGGTCCACACCATGTGCTCCTGAACGCAGCTGTAGGCGAACTGAGTGATTCCTGCGCCCAGTTTCTGTCACAGAGAGAGAGAGACTTTGATCAGGATGTTGGAGGATTCTCGTTTACGCAGGAAATGATAAATATAGAAATGACTGATCTGATATTAACTCATTCAGTGCTATTGACAGATTTTGACAGATTTTTCCTCCCCAACATGCGACTAAGTTTGGGGTTGTTCTGAACGCAGAAAAGCCGACAAATACGTCATACCCATGTTACAATAACAAAAACAAGAACTCGCCAGTGAGAAGTGTGCCGTCAAGTGTGCCAGTTAGCTGAGTTGTTGAGAGTTTTTTCTCTAAAAGGAGTTCAGGAAAATGCTGAAGTCATTAGACAAGAGCCAACAGTCTCAGTGCGTCAGCTCCCGTGGTCGAGGTGCTACCGTCTCTGGATCCAGTGGAGATCCTGGTACCGGACTTGGTAACACTTTACAATAACCATAACCAATAACCACGGTAAATAGAACGTTTATATATGGTAAGCAGATAGTTTATTTATGTTTAATCATCGTTTATTAATAGCTTATAGACCATTAATAAACTGTAGATTTTACAGTTTTAAAAACCTAACCCTAACTTTACAATAACCATCTTAGTAATGTTTATAGATGTTTAAAAATCCAATATTGAACATTTACAAAGAACTGCTGACATATTTTAATCAAGATATTTTACAACCAAAATTTAAACCCTGTTTAAACCTTTAATAAATAGTCCATTAATAAATAATGAAAGTTATTAATCATAATTTCATTGCTTGTTAATGGTGAAGTAACTATTAACTTACATTAATAAACTATCTATTTGCCTTTTATAATTGGTCTATATGCTGTTTTTAAATGATGATTAAACATTAATAAACTATCTATTTACCGTTTTTAAATTATGCTTATTGTAAAGTGTCACCCCGGACGTTCACATCATCAGCCGACAATCAAAGGAACAATTTTCCAGCGTGTCGTTGTGCCGCCGGTGCTGGTACTGGTGAGTGAGACTGAGACGGAATTCAGCGACAGTCCCGGCGAAGAGGACATGAGCTGTCCGTGTGGTTTACGTGTTAGCATCAGGTTCTCGAGAGCCGTAACAAAGTGACCCATCAGATGAGGAGTGGTGTCTGAGAATGCCACCGGTGGAAGTTGTTTGAAGTGAAATGAAACAGACGGTCAGAGTCCTTTTTGAAAGTCTCTCCTTCGTAAAAATGTGTTTTTCCAGATCGGCAAAGATGAAATGACCACGATGCACTGAGCAGACAATAACTAAACACAGGAGCGGCTTAGAGACTAACTTCTTTTTCTGATGAAAGAAGAGACTCACATCTTTCTTTAGAGATATTGCACTTAATTCTAGTCTAAGCACGAGATATTCTCTGCATCCTGAAATTTCCACTGCGGTCAGTGTGGCACTGGTTAAAAACTGCCCAAATGAACCTGGCACTGACGGAGTTAAAGGCGGACTCACTCTGCAGAAGGCTGTGACCAGAGGAAGGAGGGCGGCTGCGATCCCGTGTTCATCCATATGTGAGCAATCCTGATCAGACACAGAATGTTACAGGATTCAGATCAAAGTTTCTTTTCTGATTTTACATTAAAAATCAAACGTTTGTCTGCAGCCTCTACCTGCAGGGTGCAGTTCATCATCCTGACGATGTAATCAAACTGCTGATCATCCAGCACGGCTCGGTTCTGCAGGACGTGCTGGTTCAGCTCCTGGGTCAAACAGATCCGGGCCGCTCGACCCTTCAGCGCCCGTAACACGGCCGGCATTAACTGAAAGAAGCAGAGCAGCTGCGTTAGTGACACAGTTTTACAGCTTTGATCCAGTCTGTCTGCAGGAACTTCTCCTCTCCTCGCTCTTCTACCTTCTTGGCCTCCAGCATCTTGTTCTCAAAGATGTACGTGATGCAGTTCCTGACCACCTCCAGCCTGCGGGCACTGTTGGCCATCACGCTGCCGTTTCTGTCCACCATGTCTCCTGTGGAGAGGGGAGAGGAAATGATTCATCACTGCAGCGGACACTCGACCCCATTAAACACACGCTGAGAGACCAGCTGTTGGAGTTTGAGGAGGACGGCGAACTCCAGGAGAAGTTTGTGTCTGAGCTTTTCTCATGACGGGGTTCGTGAGACTCAAACTTTTGCTGAATCACTGACGTTTTAAAGATTTAGTTTAATTATTTTCTGTCTCTTTACTCGAAAAAAATCAGATCCGAACCTTTAAATATTTAATTTAGTCATCAGAAGTTCAGCTCACCGAGTGGAGGTCCAGACGGCACCATGCCTTTCAGCTCCGCTTTGACCACAGGAGGCGCCGTCTTCAGTTTGGCAGCAGCGTGATCGATGAAGAGCTGCACCGCGACGTCGTCCAACGCGGGGAACTGAGTTTGATTCTGTGCGGGGGTCTGACTGTTCTCCGACGGCCGCTGGACTTTGTGCATCGCCACAGCGGGATACGGGTTCTCCTGCAGGGGGGAGGGAGAGACGGCGAGGGATTTATGGCGAGGAAAAATCCGAAACACAGCCGTACAAAATTAGAGTTCTGTGATTAAAAAGTAGGAATAAAACGCACGTTTTTGAAGAGCTGCTCAGCGAGCTCCTTGACGTGGTTCATCACTTTGTGTGGACACGCCTCCTCCTGTCGTATCCGCTCCCCCTGATTGGCTACGAGCTGTAGAACAAGGACAGAGACATCAGATACTTGAATCGAATCGGAGCTAACAGTTAATAATATTAGTGTGAATGGACTCACGTCGTCAAACAGGTCTGTGGCTCTGTAAGGAGGCCCTCTCTCCGACACGAAACCAGCGAACGCCATCCCGTCTAACACCTTCATGAGGAAGTCGTCCTCCGTCAGCGTCCTCTGACCCAAGAAAGCCGCCTGTGGACGTCACGTTTGAGTAAATTCAGGCTTTATAAACTTCAGCGGACACACAGCTGAGTCATTATGAGGTGTTTTAACATGAACAGACCTTGTGGAAGCGGATCACTGGTTCTGGGTGGATGCGGATGATGTGTAAACACCAGCGATAGCCCTGAAACAGCCGAGCGAACAGCCAGAGGAAAACTCCGCGGATCTCCTTATCCTGAAAAACAGCGAGCAGAGCAGCTGAAGGTAAATCAAGGAGAACTGAGTTTAAGATTTATCCCGAGATATCCGTCCCTAAACAGACTGAAGATCTCACCTGGATCTTTAGTGCAGAAGGTTGTGTGGAAGGAGGGGGAAAGGCATGATCAGCGATTTCCAGCTCTGGATCCAAAACCTACAAGAGACACAAAAAGAGCCTGAACTGATCCGTCGTTTATATCAGTATCTGATGGATAATCACAGATTCTTCCCAACTATCAGAATTTAAAGACAACCTGCTGATTTAACCCTCAGTTCCTGTTCATTTGAAGCTCCATCCAGCCTTCTTGCAGATAAGTGTTCATATAATAATAATAATTTTGTAACATTTTTTTTTTACCTTTTTCAACTTATATCTCCTAAACAACTTCAACCCTGACCATTAAAAAAATAATAAATACAAAATTCAATGTATCACCCTTTTTATGCCAGTTTTTGTGCACCATGTCGCTGTTATTTTTAATGGTAAAAACCACAAAATCTCCATATTTCTCATATAAAATGACCTAGATGATTTTTTTTTACATAAAAAGAGTCTGGGCTATGTCAATGATGATTAGTAAAATCGATTTTGTTGCATTTAAATTTTTTTTGTTGTGCCAATTTTTCGTATTTGAAGCTCCATCCAGCCGACTTTGTCCCCAAAACAGACATGCAGAAAAGTGTTCATAAAGTAATCAACTTTTTTTCAACTTTTTTTTGACTCAAATCTCTTAAACAAAAAAGTAATGAATAAAAAATTCGATGTTACTACCCTTTTTATGCCGGTTTTTGTGCGCTATGTCATATTTATTGATAAAGTGTGCGTTCTAAACACGCCATTTTCACCCTCTTTTCTCGAGCCTCGTCCTCTACCAAATCAAATCTTATTTTTCTTTATTTAATATGAGGAAAAATAAGAATTATCACTAAATTTAAAGCCCCAATCTTTAAAAATGTGACTGTCAGCTCAAAATTAAGATGATAAAAATGACAAATGTCCTCAAAACGGAGAGAGTAGGAACTGAGGGTTCAGGAGCTGCTTCACAAAGACTCAGATCAGTTTTTCAGCTTCTCAACAATCTCCCCAAGTGTCTTATTTCAGAAAAGGGGGTCAGGTCTCGGTCTGGGATCTAACTGGACTGGTTTTTATGTTTGTTTGGAGCCACGATCCTGAAGTGTGTCTGCTGTTTGAGGACACCAGCCTTTAACCCGGTGAACTTCAGCTGGACTGTTTTCCATCCGCACAGAGCGACTATCACCAAAGTCTCCAGGTCAGAGGATAAAAACACAGAAAATATGAAACATTACACAAGATTTCCCAAAATCATCGCCGCTGTTTGTTTATGAGATCGGTTTATTTTGATCCTTCGCCTCTTTGGCATGTAGAGGATGCTACTGTTGGAGGGTCGAAGGTTAAAACTCCAGATAAAGGACTCTGGAGTCAAACTTTGGAGATGAAAATAAACATCGCAACATCATAATTCTGGTGAATATTTTCGACACGTATCCGCCCATAAATCTGAGAACAGCCCTGATTCACTGTCTTTACGGAGAAGAAAGTGAGGAGTGCTCAAAGTCACCTTTTAATTGACTTTTTGTAAATAAAGGACATAAACAAAGATAAACTCAAGATAATAAAACAATTAAAAGGATATAATTAAGATAAAGAAGCGCCTCACAAGGGCGGGCTGTTTTAACAGATAAGCCGAAGAAACCAAGGAGGGGTAATACGATGGTCACGTAGGAGGAGACTTAACAACTGTCACTCAATCAAACAAGAAGAGGCGACGAGACTGAAGATTTCTGAGTTTTAAAAATCAGGAATCAGCCACAAAATAAAAGGTGACCATTTTGAGCTCATTTATCATCATTTTCAGACTCAAACTCCAAAGAAGATAATCTGAGATTCTCCAAATCTCACCTCGTCACACACTCGGATTGACGCCAAAACAAACATCCTCCCCTCGGTCTCCGTGACGCCACATTTAACATCAGTTTAATACTCCAACTCTGTTAAATTTCAACCATGAATACTCAAACGGCGGCCAAATGCAGTGATTCATCTTGTGAACAAAACATTCAAAGCCATAAAACCAGACGATCCAGGAAGAAGTCGATCAGCATTTTACTCAAAAGGAAGTTTCAGGGTTTCATCTGAATTGTTCCATCGTGAAGTTTACGACACGCATTTCAGCGCCGATCATCACTCTGCAGCCGACGTCCTTCTGCATCATCATCGCTGTGGATCGCTGCTAAACGTTACGTCAGAGATGCGAATCTCCATCGCCTGTTGTGGTATTTTGTGCAAGATTGCAAAAAGTACAGCGAAATGTGCAGCTAAAGAAGTCCGCAAAAGTTTATCAACTAAATAAAAAACTTAAAAGGAAGTGAATTCTTTAAAATGAGCGTCATAAATTCTTATAAAAAGTGTCGTTACATAACAGCAGCAGACTGTTTTTACCGTAACCTGATAAATCTGCAGAGTATTACATAAGTACGTTTTTATTTGTTTTCTGTGTGACGCGTTAAGTAAATTAATCATAAACTGGAGAACTTTTTCCTGCAACATGAACTGTAACTTATGTAACAGCAAACAGAGAATCATCTCACATGTGTCATGATGTATATCCAGACAAAGGTAAGAAGGAAAAGACGATCCTGTTTGTTTTCTGAAGATATCAATGAGGGAATAAGGAAGAAGGAAAATCTTTGATGAGACTTGAATAGTTTCTCAGAATGAGAGCAGGAGGATGAGATTCAGAGTGTGATATGAGCTCGATTATTTTTACGTGATTGATAAGACTTCATCAGTGCACGTGAGGGAGTTTATGATTGTTTCTGATTTCACTAAAGGATTTAACCCTTAGAGGGCGAGCTAAACTCTGACTGAAACCTTTGGGCGGTTCAGGCGATAAAGACTCAATCATGACGGATCAGAACCAAAAGCTGGAAATAATCTAAATGCGATTTAATATGCAGTTATTTTGTCGAGGTCCTCTTCTCGTGTATTTTCAACAAACACAAACAATAAATCAATCTGTTTTATCGAAAACAATATCAGATTATTTATACATAAATAGTTCTTTCTGGCAGTTATCACTTCACACACACACACACACACAGGCTATCTCTGCTCACACACACATGCACTCGCTGTCATATACGTCATGATTCTAATCTACGTATGGATGGCGAAAGATTCATTCAGCTGTGCTGCCTTCACCGTATTGACTGCGTTTTCCATCATTAAGCAGACGTGGTTTGAAGATGAATCGCTGGTGTCGCTGTCGCTTTTTCGTAAGTGTTGATAAAGGTTCGTAGTGTCACCTCCTGATGTAGCAACAGGAGCACAGCAGGTTCTGCTCTGCTCGCTCCCAAATCACGTGATCAGTCAAAACCGCAGCCTTTGCAGTTGGAAAATTGTGTTTTATCATATCGCCACCCTTTTAAAATAATGGCCTAAGTTATTTTTTGACGAAAATGAGTTTTTGGCCTAAATTATCTCGAGACAATTAAGGGATAATTTAGGCCAAAAACTCATTTTTGTCTAAAAATAACTAAGGCCATTTTTTCAATAGGGTGACAATATAACGATGTAATCGCAAATGCAATTCATCGTTCAGCCCAAGTCAAATGGCGAGTAAATCGGCTGCTAGCCTCAGATGTCCTCCATTTACAAAACTTTCAGATTGCTTTGTGACTTTACAACTGTGTAAAAAGTAACACCTTAAAAAGTCGTGTGTAACTTTGTGGAAAAGCAGCAAAACCAAAGAGTAACAGGCAGAGATGGAATAGAGTTTTAAGAGCTTCAGATCTACTGCGCAGATGTCCCAGACTGACATGATGAAACGCCTTCAATAAAAGTGCTTCAATGTGAATATTTATCAAACAAATAATCAGCTAGAGCCGTAAAATCAAGCCAAGGAAACACAGGAATGACTGTTAAAGCTCTTCAAACAAAACAAGCACCACTAAAAAAATGAAGGCATGTCATAAATGAGCAGGAAACAATCCTTGAAGAGATTCCTGGCATCTCAGCCCACCAGGGAAAACACCATCAGGGAATGTACTGCCAGGCAGAAACCACCCACAGGATGTTAATGAGACTTCAGGCAGGGGTGTGTTCAGTCAGAGCGGAGGCTGCAGCTCTTACCATGGACAGCGCAGTCTGGGTCTGCTGAAGGAGCGGCTCAGGCAGCAGCGAGATGTGGACACACTCGGGGATCGTCACGGTGCCGCCGTCCAGATCTGCGATGATCACGTCCAACTGAAAACGCACAAACAGACAAACAAAGTCACCTCCATCAGCAGCTTCTCGTAAAAGTCGCCCAAATGATAACCTTTGACCCCTGACCCTGACATGAGCTTGACAATAACAAACATGCGGCTCCAGACCTAAACAGAGTGTTTTCATAATCAGGACGTCTCCATCAGGACGGTTCATTACACTCTCATCAGACTTTAATAAGACAGCCCGGTAAATGATTCGCTTTGATCAGCAGGTCTCCACGGTGATTGTTGTCGTGTATGTTGGTATAATTCATGTTGGCAAAGCTTGTAAAGAGCAAGACGATGCTTTATTAAAAGAGAAATGAACCGTTGCTTGATGGGTCACTGAGGGTTTATATTAAACTCAGATCAACGTCAGCCTTCTGGATGTTTCCGAGTGAATAACAGGGTTTTATCATCAGGACTTTTTGGCATCATCTGTGTAATTTTAGAAGCTACTCCGGGTCCTTCAAAGGGTTAGTTCATAAAGCTGCAAAACAATACATCCTCCTTTTCTCCTCTCTCTGAGTTGATGCTGAGCTGCATGTAGACGGTGTTTTCATTTCACTGCAAAGATGGTAAAGATAACCTACAGCACTGAGATTTATTTATAACTCTTGATTTACTCTGAGTCTGAGGAGACAGGTGCAGCTCGTCAGACTGAGCCTTAAAGAACAGAAAAATTAGGATGGCATAGGGCTGGGCGATAAACCGGGAATTTACCGATACAGAAATTTACAACAATAACCAACGTTATTTTGCCCACGTCGTGGTTTTCTAAGAGCTGAATTTCTCCTTCTGTTCCACCAGGATCAAACTGAACCGGTCCTGAAAAACCTGCAGGTACGACCGCTCTCTTTGAATTCACCGATAAAACCTCACTGGAGAAAACCTCTCCGCTCTGACAAATGAAACACACTGCTTCAAAATGTCCAAAGAGTCTCAGCTCAAAATGTGACTTCTCACCAGCGCTGCAGTGATTTATGGAGAAGAAAGACTGAGCAGGTCATGTGACGGCAGAACTTTAGATGAAGACACGCCAAATTGGATCCTTTTTATACTGTTTTATGAATTAAAGACTTCTGAAAAAAAAAAAAAACATGAAATTTAACAGATTTTATGACCCAGTCGATTGGGGCTGGGCGATAAAACGAAAATTTACCGATACCGAAATTTATGATAATAACCAACTTCATTCTGCCGATATCGGTGTCAAAAAAATAAATAAATCAAAGTTGGTTTTGGAGGCTGGGCCGGACACTGAGGAATAGGGCTAGGCGATAAACCGAAAATTTACCGATACCGAAATAAACTACGATAATCGACATCATTTTGCCCATATCAGTAGATTCATTGTCAAAAAAATAAATAAATCAAAGTTGGTTTTAGAAGCTGGGCCTGACACTGAGGATTAGGGCTGGGCGATAAAACCATAAATTTACCGATAAAGAAATTTGCGACAATAACCGAAGTCATTTTGCCCATATCGGTATATTTGGTGTCACAAAAAAATAAATAAATAAAAGTTGTTTTTGGATGTGTGTAGGTAGGCTATGGTCTGATGTCCCTTAAAGACACTGTCCTCCACCAGACGTGACTCCACCCCATCCAGTCCATAACAAAGAGGGAAAGACAGGAGAGGAGATGGAGGACGGAGAGAAAGTTGTAGCGGCTGAAGTAGACGAAGTTAATATGGGAGGGGGTGAGCAGCTTGTGGAGTAGTTATCGTCCATTTATCATTTTCGAGGTGAACTAATCAATATTTTGTGATATTGATTTAAGGCCATATCGCCCAGCCCTATGTCGGCATATTCAATTACACAGTTTATACAGGAGTTGCACCGTTGAGACACAACTCACCAGTTCTTGCGTCTCTGATCGAAAGAATGAATTTACACCGATGATGAAGGGGGTGGGGGTGCTCAGGACCTCCAGGAGTTTTCCCGGCAGGATGGGGATGTAGGTGAAGCTGAAAAAGACACAAATCTGCCGTCAGTAAAAATGATTTTCTTCGAAGCCTGGATCAAACGTGTCCTGAGCTCAAACAGAGAAACCGAGGACTAAAACCAGACCTGTATTTGAGAGGGAACATGATGGCCAGCAGACCCCGGCATGCGTCCGTCAGTCTCTGGTAGCTGCTGGACAGAAACAGGATCTTATGTTCCGTCAGGGCGGCGCAGAAAAGATACAAGACGTTCACGATACCTGAAGAAAGAGCAGAGACAAGGCGTCACAGGAGGTCCAGGACCGGGACTAAAATCTGTAATCACACGTTCACATTTAAAGTCTAAAAACCAGGATTCACTCAAGGTCTCTTTCCTGAAAAACCTCAAAATTAAAGTTCAAATCAAAACACAAACTCTTGTGATGATCCGTACCAAGCTGTCTGAAGAGCTGGGCCACGCTGCAGCCGCTGACAGGAAGTGAGTCATCGATGGGAGTTTGGATGACTTGCCGGTCACCAGCGCCTAACGTAATAGTCCGCTACAGATTAGAAGAGAGGTGGAGAGAAAAGAGGGATTTTAGGTGAGGTGAGAAACGACAGAGAAGACGTGTTTGTGTCTCAGAAAATCAGGGTTGGACAGCGTGGTTTAATCACAGCGGTGCGTGTCCGGGGGGGAGCAGCGTGATCAGCAACAGAGAGATGAGAGAGATCCCAAAAGCTTAGCAGGTACATCACAAATCAAACACAAGCCATTCCAGCTGATTAAAACGAATGGAGCTTAGCGGGACTCCATGCCAACGACCTTACTAGGGACAACAACCAGGATAACATGTCGAAGAGCGAGAAATCCCCGCCACATGGCAGGTGTGGTGTGCAGGTTAGAGATTTATCAGGGTAAATCTGCGTGGATGATTCATGTCAGGCCGAGAAGCACGAGCAAAGATCTTTGGTTGATTCAAAGAGTCTTTCTTCATAAAATCATAAAAACGTTGATCTGTTCTCCGTCTGATAACCGTCCTCTTTTACAAACAGCCAGATCGATTTTGTAAAACTGTAGGTCTGCTGCGCTGCAGACAGAAGACAAAGCCAATAACTATTGATTTATGAGCGGTTTGAATAACAAGCCGAACCCAGAGGGGAGAGATGGATGATTTAGAGAGCGAAAATATAAATCAATGCAGGACGAGCTCTGTGATACAGCACGGCTACACGCTGAGGGACTGTTGTGCTGCAGAGACTTTAAGGGGTTATCTGCAGTTTAATCATCCTGGAGCACAAGATTCAGTTTATAAGACTACAGATCCAAGATTAAAGGGATATTCCGTTAAACACCCCTCGAGAGATGAATGTTGTATGAATGTATGAAGATGAATGTAGTAACGACCGCAGGATAGCAATACACAGCGGTCTGAGGAGCCATAAACTAACCTCAACCAAAACGCCACTCTATAGCCACAAATGATGCTCAGAACAGCACCTAACTTCATCAACAGGACATATAGGGTCACAGCCATAGTATTCACCACCTCTCTTCCAGTAGCTGCTTGTTTGTAGTGAGACCTCAGGCCAGTTCACTACGGACTAAAACGGAGTTTCGCAGCTCAAGGAAGAACATTTATGATCATTTCTTTATAATTTCCTTTAAGTAATAATCACCATATTAATCATTTTCTCTGCAGACGCGGTAGTTCTTCTGTCTTAGCGTCTCAGTCTGATTGTATTTCCATGAAGAAATGATCATAAATGTTCTTCCTTGAGCTGTGACACCCCGCTGTAGTCTGTAATGGACTGGCCTGAGGTCTCGCTACAAACAAGCGTCTGCTGGAAGAGAGTAGGTGAGTTGTGTTTAGTCTCTTTGCTAAAGAAATGAGTCAAAGTTAAAAAGATGTTTGGTGTCTAGTACTATGTCTGTGACCCTATATGTCCTGTTGACAACATTCATCTCTCGAGGGGGTGTCTAATTTTACGCCTGAATATCCCTTTAACACGTCCTGAGAAAGTTTATCTCCTCAAACTCGATGATTACAGCTCACAAAAACCAAAAACTCCACCGTCTCAAACATCAGAAGATTCAGAAGAGAGGAGTTTGTGTCTCTGCTGGGGTCTCACTGAAGTCCAGGGCTCTGATAGCTCTCATCTTCCTCTTCATAATCCTCCAGAGATCCTCTATGCGGTTCAGGTCAATCAGGCACAGCAAACCAGTTTCCAGCAGGCACCAGGTCCTGCTGGAAAAGGAAATCTGGATCTCCATGGAGCTTCTCAGCAGATGGAAGCATGATGGTCTCTAAAACCTCCTCGTAGACTTGAATCTGCCAAGACTCTGGACTGGATAAAACCAACAGCAGTCTGGAGATGGTGGATTTAAGATTTTAGTGAGCTGTTCATCAAGACCCAAACAAAAGAAAAGTCGGCACGATAAAAATCCATTTTCACGCCAGATGGACGAAACATGATTAGAGAATTGACTGTTTGGGGAGGAGCAGAAATCTGGGGTCTCTGCGGCTCCCATCCCGGAGTTCACGAGGCGAGAAAGTGCAAAATTATTTTTCATGCTCTCTGCAGAAACAGCAAGCGTCAGCAACCAGAGATGAGCTGTTAGCGACTCAATAATGTGACCAACATCTGATCAGCATGTGTGCTGAAAGTGGGAGCTCCGAGTTAAGAGGATGGATGTCTTTTTTTTAATAACCACGTGGATCATCATCATCATCATCATCGTCGTCTTTTAAACGATGGAATTAAAGATGTGTTCTTAGTTTCCCACAGGGGTCAGCTGTCGGTCACATATTGAGTCTGTATTCAAGCGTTTTGATTGGTTCTCCAGCCACAGAAAGTGTGCACGGATTAGCCGAAGAGAATCGGAGCAGAAAAGGAGGCTGAGAAAGCTTGGAGCTGATTGGTTGTAGTGGGAGGGGAGAATGAAGTCAGGCTGGCGTACCAAACTCTCCTCTCTCTCCTCCTGGCCCGGCTACACAAGCACCCACACCCACACACACACACACACACACACACACACACACACACACACGCACACGCACATAAACACAAACACACCCGCGGGATAAGACACAGGTTAGAAACAACTGAAACCCAAACTGGACAGCAGTGATGATGCAGCACGCCGAAAACAGGCAAGCCGCACAAACAATAACATGATGAAGATGGAGGCTGAGGGAAAAACATGGTCTGAGCGTCACAGATGTGCAAAACAAAGTCAGAGCGTCATTCTGCAACACAAGAACGGCAACGGATGGATAACATGAGATTTTAACCCTCAATTAAAGAGACAGAGAGAGAGAGAGAGAGGTACAAACAAATGTCGGGGTAGGGCTGGGCGATAAGAGAAAAAGTTTATCAGGATATATATATTCTTTATATCAGTTGATATTGATTTACACTACAGACCAAAAGTTTGGAAGCAAGATCAGATTTGTACAAAAAAAGATCAGTTTCATTAATATACTTTGCTTAGACTTTGCTTTCCTTAAAGTAACCTGCTCTGGCTTTAACAACAGCTTGGCATATACCAGGCATTCGTTCCACAAGTTTTCTAAGGTCTGTTCCAGGGATTTCATTCCAAGCTTTCTCAAGTTCATCAAAAAGAGACTGCTGATTCGTGGGACGCACTTTTCTGACCGATCGATCCAATTCATCCTGCACAAGCTCAATTGGAGAAAGGTCTGGAGACTGAGGGGGCCAAACCATCTTTTGAAGAACACCTTCCTCTTCTTTTTTGTCGAGGTAACCCTGACAGAGCTTGGCAGAGTGCTTAGGGTCATTGTCTTGCTGCAAAACAAACTTATGAGCCACAAGTCTGAGTCCAGATGGAACAGCATGGTGCTGGAGGATGGAGTGGTACTGTTCCTTCTTCATGATACCCTTTACTTCGAACAAATCTACTCTATCACCTGCAAAAGTAAGTGCAATTAAAGGAAAGTCGGACTGAGGTTTTCCAGCTGTCTGTGGTAATAAGCTCAGAATTGACGTGTATTTATTTTGTTTGTTCTTATCTTTGGGTGCAGTTGGTCTGGGGTCGAGTACAAGAGGCTTTTTAGATCCAGTTTGCACCCTTGGTAGGTGAAGAGAGGAAGGTGGCATGAAAATAATTTGAGTGGCGTGTTATTGTTTGTGATTGTGCGTGGTTTTGATGTCAGGGGGGAAACTGTTCCGAATGTTATCATTCTGGTTGTTTTAATAGTAAAATTAAATATTTAAGCACTGTTTTGTGTGAATTTGTTACATTGAAACATGATTTCTATTTTTGCTGTGGTTTTAGTTTCATGGAGACTGTACCAGTTGAACACAACGCTGTGGTTTATTGATACCGAGGGCTGTAACACCTCCACACCACCGCCGTTTTCATGCCAGTGTCGTCAACGATGTCGTCATTTCTGCCCATTTCTAGCACTCATTTTCTGCTTTTCGTTAAGTGCTATGGTTGCATGTAGCTGCTGCCTGCTACTCCACATTAGATTCAATGATTGGTTCAGCCTGGCACAGACTCGGAGTAACTCCCCTTTTCATTGGCTATTCGTATCGTCTACCAAAACATGGCAGAATGCAGACTATTGAAAAGCATGTTGACCATGTTTCACATCGATATTGAAGGAAATAAATTATTGTTTTATCGCCCAGCCCTATGTCGGTGTATCTGTCATTTAGTGTAGTCTTAATAAAAGAGCACAGTAAGTAAATACTACACAAATATGTACAAGCTTAGACAATTGACTCATATATATAAGACTGTTTTAGTCAGTATATCACAGAAAAATACATTTTGAAGAAGAAACTTAAGAGAGAAAAACTGAACTTTGTTGTAAAAGCAGAAAAAACATCAAGTTACTCTGGCGGGTCATGGACTATTTTCCAGTCTGAAGGAGGTAAATTTGTGATAACTGATGTAGTCACAGTGTTTAAGGGAAATAACTGGATAAAGACAGTTTGACAGGGGCTGAAACTGTCTGTCTAAACATCCTCGTCATCCTCCTTACATAATTGTCTAACCGTAACTCTCAGGTGAAAGGAAAGTTCCCTCAGCTGTTGTATTCTCATTTCCAAACCCTAATCTGCGGTTTGGCTCTCCTAACACCACATGATTGATCCAAAACTGTCACAATCTGATACTGGAAACAATGAAGTTCCTGTAATACAATCACGTTTTCACCCTCAAACCCTCCGACGCTCTGAGCCGATAAAAAAAAGAGGAGGAAGAGAGAAGCTCACAGGTTACGTGAAAACAACAAAAAACGCAAGTCTCATCATGTGAGCCGTAAAAGGTGGCAACAACCCCGAGGAGAATAACCTGCTTCACTTTCAGTCTGCAGCGGGGTTTTCTCTCCGGAGTTACTGTTAATGTCAGTCAGAGCTGTTGGCGCTGAGACAGGTGGTGTCGAGAAACAGGGATTTAAATTCCCCCCCGTCGCCGAAGCTTATCTACGAGGTGATATTTAAGTATTCCTGTAAAAGCTTGAATCACTGATAGACTTTAAGAGCAGCAAATAACCTTCCCCCAAAGTCAACAGAAGTCATCCACCCACACTTTCAAACAGGTCACGGAGCAGGGTTCACGTACAGACTCTGTCATGCAGCTTCGTTAAATTTGATCCCTAACCGTGAAGCGATCTCGCAGCTTCTCTTTACTAACCCATCAGCTCTCACATCAGGCCAACAGCCTGCAGGTCGCTTCACATCAGGGTTGTGTAAACTATTCAATAAATAACTAGAGTGTTGTAACATCCCGCAGGTCACCGTGTTCGCGTCAGACACCCAGAGAAAAAATGAGTTCAGTTCTTTCACAAGAGACACTTCAACAAACTGGAACTGTCCATTCTTTAGAGATAAATGTGGACCGTTTGCTCCAGCTGATAAAAAAGGACCTCAAGTCTTTTCTGTGACGCCCACTCAGCATGTCGACGGGACAGTCTGGCTTATAAATAAATACTGAAATCCTCGTCTGCCAGATTTTTGCTTCACAAAACCTCATCCTGCATAATTAGCGCAGTTCAGTCTGTCAGGCTTCCTGTTTTGAAAAGGTAAGTGTGATGTTAATATTGACAACTTTAACAACACTCGAAGGAAGTGGGCCACAAATATTTAGACTGGGAAACAGGAGGCGTCTGTAAATGTGAAGTTAGAAGTTTAGTCTAGACGCTCAGACTGAAAACACCTGAAAACCCTCCGAAGTTGTCCAGGTGAGCTGCATGTGTGAATGAAACAGCCCTTCGTAAAGTCTGATGAAGATGTGGGATGTGTGCACACACACGGTATCCTGCTGTCAAAGAGCATCTGTAGGCTAAGATGTCAGACCCCTTTTTTCAAAACATTTCAAATATTACTGATTTACCATAAATGATGCGTTTCATTTCAGCGCAGAAGTTTTGTCGACCTGTAAGGACCAAACAGGCTGAGACTGCTTTGTCCACAGGGGGCGCCAACTTCAACACAACTGACTGCTCCTCACAGGAACATTGACATTTCAGCATTTATACCTAAATGTGTAATCTGCATCAAATACCTACGCTTTAAGAAACTTTCCTACAAGCTCTCGTCTTTTTTAGTAATTGCTAAATGTGTGTTTTGATTAAAGAATTAACAAGTTTTTCTTAATTCTACTGTGCAAAGAACATATTTAGCAAGAAATATAAAATATTGGTGTATTTATGGGATCAATAACGTCACGCTAACAGACTTTTGTGACATATTTCCACAAATACACAAAAATAATCTTAAAGGGATATTCTGGCGTAAAATTAATTTAGGGTCAAACACACTGTAACACTGAGTTAGACACCCCATCAAGGGATGAATGTTGCCGACTGTTTGCTCCTCTAGTTATACCAATTTAAGTAACGATGCAATTATCATTTCTTTATCATTTCCTTTAAGTAATAATCACCATATTAATCATTTTTCTCTGCAGACGCGGTAGTTCTTCTGTCTTAGCGTCTCGGTCTGATTGTATTTCCATGAAGAAATAATCATAAATGTTCTTCCTTGAGCTGCGGCACCCCGCTGTAGTCCGTAATGGACTGGTCTGAGGTCGCGCAACAAACAAGCGGCTGCTGGAAGAGAGTAGGTGAGTTGTGTTTAGTCTCTTTGCTAAAGAAATGAGTCAAAGTTAAAAAGATGTTTGGTGTCTAGTGCTACCAAGTCGGCAACATTCATCTGTTGAGGGCGTATTCTAACTCGGTGTTACGGTGTTTTTGACCCAATATTAATTTTACAACGGAATATCCCTTTAATACAGGTTTTGCAGATGGTAAAAAATTATGTTTGTGCGAGTGTAACAGACGTACTAAGACAGCGTGTCTGATCACAGAGCTGATTTTAGTCCAGTCACGTTGTGGAGCTTTTGTCTCCTCTGTGTTCAGGCTGATGTTGAACAGACAGACTCTGTGGCACTCAGTGAGGCTGATAGAAGAGCCCTGTGTGATTTAACAGCTACAGGAATGTGTGTGTGTGTGTGTGTGTGTGTGTGTGTGTGTGTGTGTGTGTGTGTGTGTTAGTCTCTTTAAGTGGCCCGTGCTCCTCTTGAGTCTCAGGAACAGGACTGTTTGTGCTCGGGTGGGAAGAAACAGGACAAACTCATTTGTTAAAGCCTGGAGGATCAGCGTGCAGCAAAAGTACAGGTGTTTGTTTAGTTTAGAGGAGACAGACTGCATACATTATATTAGCTCTTTTCTGCAGCCCTACGATCAAACCAACGTCCTGCCCGTGATCCGCTCTGTGTTTGTGTTTTCCTGCGTGAGAGGTGAGCTGCACTCAGCTTGTGTTGTTGTGGTCTGTATGTGTGTTAATACTGATTAGATCTGGTCCTGTCATTCAGATGCTGCGCAGCCTGGTAGGAAGCCATCTGCCGTCCCATATGTTCACCTCGAAACTGAACTACGACCTGAACAGCAACCGCTTTGAACGTGTGTACATGAGAGAGTGCAGAAACAGAGCTGAGATAATCTGTTCTCAAACATTCAAAATAAAAAAAAAAACATAAACAAATCAAGCTGATGACAAGAGGGAAAAATCCGCATGAAATGAATCATATGATCCTGTGGAAACTGATCACAAAACACATGAAAAAACAGCCAGAGCGTCATCAATCACAGATGATCTGAAATGACCGCAGAAAAGAGCAAGAGAGAGAGAGAAGGAAAAAGGGAAGGAAGGAGGGAATAAAGGATAGAAGGAAGAAGGGACAGAAGGAAGAAGGGAGAAAGAAGAAAGAAATAAAGAAAAAAGAAAGAAACAAAGAAAAGAAAAAAGAAAGATACAAAAAAGAAAGAAAAAGAGATAATAAAAAAAGAGAAAAAAGAAAGAGAAGAGAAAGAAAAGAAATGAGATAAACTGACAGAAAAAACAAAGAAAAAAAGAAAGAATAAAAAAGAAAGAAAAAAGAAAGATAAAAACACTAAGAGAAAAAAAACAAAGAGAAAAGAAAGACAGAAAAGAGAAAAACAAAAAAGAAGGAAAAACAAAGAAAAGACAAAAAAGAAAAAAAAAAAAAAAAAGAGAAAAAAGAAAGAAAAAAATAGAAAAGAAAAATAGAAAAAAGAAGAAAAAAATCAAAGAAAGGAGAAAAAGAAAGATAACAAAAGAAAGAAAGAAAAGAAGAAAGAAAGAAAAAGAAAGATAGATATATAAAAGTAAGAAAAACAAAAAAGAAAAAACAGAAAATTGAAAAAAGAAAGAAAAAACAAAAAAGAGAAAAAAGAAAGAAAGAAAGAAAGAAAGATACAAAAAAGAAAGAAAAAGAGATAATAAAAAAAGAGAAAAAAGAAAGAAAGGAGAAAGAAAAGAAATGAGATAAACTGACAGAAAAAACAAAGAAAAAAAGAAAGAATAAAAAAGAAAGAAAAAAGAAAGATAAAAACACTAAGAGAAAAAAAACAAAGAGAAAAGAAAGACAGAAAAGAGAAAAACAAAAAAGAAGGAAAAACAAAGAAAAGACAAAAAAGAAAAAAAAACAAAAAAAGAGAAAAAAGAAAGAAAAAAATAGAAAAGAAAAATAGAAAAAAGAAGAAAAAAATCAAAGAAAGGAGAAAAAGAAAGATAACAAAAGAAAGAAAGAAAAGAAGAAAGAAAGAAAAAGAAAGATAGATATATAAAAGTAAGAAAAACAAAAAAGAAAAAACAGAAAATTGAAAAAAGAAAGAAAAAACAAAAAAGAGAAAAAAGAAAGAAAGAAAGAAAGAAAGAAAGAAAGAAAGAAAGAAAGAAAGAAAGAAAGAAAAGAGCACATTTCTCAAAGGAAAAGAAAACTGGCGTCTGCTTGATCAACAAAAACATCGAGCTGGTTGTTGATTGGTGAAGCTTGCAAAAACCATAAAAGTTACCTGGAGACAGGCCAGCAGCCAATCACAGGCCAGCACCTGAGGAACCTTTTCTAAACTACAAACTGGGGACTCATTTATCTGTAACACAGAGGAACCAGTGTACAGTAGAGCGCACACACATGACACACAACATCAGGAGGAAAGAAGGAAGGAGCGATCAACTCATGTGCAAATGAGAATATAGACACTTCCACTGCTTGTGCACCAAATATGATTCGACTCTTTGGATCAACTGCAGAAGAGAAATATAAGAAAGCAGACAGAAGTCACTATTTTCTGAATGTGACACAAAAACAGAGCTCTCTCAAATTATAAAGACATTAAACTCAAATAAAAAGTGATGAGAAAAAAAAGAAAAGATGCTGCTGCTCCATTTTCACATGCAGAAACACGGACAAACCCTGATGCCGTTTTTTCTCAGAGTTATTTCAGCTATTCTGTAAGTAAACAAAGACTAAAATAAGAGACAGAAGCGGGGTTCCAAGAGTCTCAAATATGAAAAGTTATGTAACAGAAACACAAACATGTTTGCGTGTTTATTTGGATACAAATAGAGGGATTATTGTCCTCTTTCAGAGCAAACATCACTTGCAAAATTTGATGGTTTAGTCTGATGATCGAGCGCTTTTGAATTCATTTCCTCTAGTGTGAACCCAACAGTAAAAATACACTTAAAAACAACTAAAAGTGCATATAAGAGGTCTTTTAATTCACCAATATGACTGTCTAGACTGCTCAAAGATGGTACAGCTAAAAATGATTTTGTTATGCAGAGTTTAAACACTCATTTTATTGACGTGCATGTGTTTATCTTGAAGGTGCATATTTCTAACATCACATTCAAACATCTGAGAGGATTTCAGGAACCCAAAATCTTTCAGAACTAAATCTGAGGCACTGATCTTCTTCTTCTTCTGCTCTGAATCCCAGACTTAAAAGAGTTCAGATCTGCTGTCAGGGCTCAGAAACCCAAAAACTACTCATCTGAGAAGATCCGGTCCACTCTTCTTCGAGTTTACCTGCTAAACTTTCCTGAAAATGTTCATTATCGTTCCTTTTTAAAGCTCCTGTGAGGAATTTTTGGTGTCTCAATATTACCTACGCCCTTTCTCCAAAGCACCAACTCATACTGCAACTACAGTCAAATATAAAACTTAATGTGAATCATAAAAATGTGAACAATTTTACTTTTCCTTCTGCATGATGTGACTCACTTTATTCCTCGCCTACTGTGCAGTTTTTAAAATGCTTTTAAAGCACCTCTGAGGAATTTTAGCTGGATGTGCAACACACTAAAAGTCAAACTGGTGCAAACCATCAGCGTAAAGACAGATTATATCTTTATAAGGTTATTTTTAGTGAATCATCGCTGCTGCATTGATGGTGTTAGATGATGATTAACGTCTCACGCTCTGCAGAAACAGCTTTTATGTAACTCTTTTTTACAACTCTTTAAAAAAACAGCTGATAAGAGTTTTTGCTGAATGTATCACAGGTCCAAATCAGCAAAAAGAACAATATTAGAGGTAGTTTTTGTCCACAGGGGGCGCCAAAGTCAACTCAAACACAAAGATCCTGACAGGAAAGAAAGAAAGAACTTTGATTTTGGAAATCGTACCCAAAGAATTGGCTGTTTTTTTAATCATTTAGCGGAGCAGAGTCTAATCTGTACTCTGCCACACTCTGTGTATATTAAATCTGCACAGAGCCTGCACAGATGTGACCCACGTGGAATGTGTTTGTGCTGCTTGCCAGTTAAATAACCATGATACTAGACGGCAGCGGTCTTTAACAGTAACTTACTTTTATTCTGTTGACGTCAAACACAAATATCTGAAATACGACTGAAGATAGTGAGACGAGCAGAGCGACCGTAACGCCGAGAAAGGAGGATGTAACATGCTTTGATAAAACAACATGTGATCTACTCTAGAGAGAGTCTATAAAGTGAAAGAAACTGTCCCACTGTGCAAAAAGAAGCAAAGAAATCACTCTCAGGTGTATCTGTGCAAAAAAGGTCAAGGGTCAGCAATTACCTGTGAGCCTCCAGCTATAGGGATGACACAGGTGAGGAGGTTCCCAATCACTGTTTCCAGGGGGGCAGAGAGGCCATCTACGTGGACGGTGTAGATCAGACCCAGGCAGTTCTGCTCAAACGAGAGAGACTCTGTCAGTGTCCCAAGTGTCTATTGATAGTGTAATTTCCAATATGTGTGTTTGTCGTACCCTGAACACTTCGGTGTAGTCCAGTCGAGACACCAGCACCAGGCTTTTAGGGGCAAAAACCTGAGCTGATTGGACGACCGCTGGTTCCTCATCCACCTCATCTGCCTCGCTGGCCTCTGCTTTCTGCAGCTGAGCGGAGAAATAACACCCAGAGCGACAGTCACATTTCCACTTCAGAGTCATGTTTGTTTTTAAAGCAGCGCTGCCTGAGGGCCAAAGGATCGAGGCCGTCCAATACTGGTTTCCAGCCTGGTCCCTTTTGTGCAGAGATTTCTCCAGTTTCCCTCCGTGTTTTATTTATATCATGAAACGTAGACGATGAAACTCTAGACTGGAAACCAGTGAGCGGGTCATGTTTCTGATAACTGACGGATCTATATCTCACCTGGCTCCGGTCCAGACCCTCCCAGAAGGTGAAGCAGGCACAGTAGTGACGCTCTGAGTTGATGTCAGTCAAAACCGCGACAAAGAAGGAGGCGGGCTGTCGCTCAGGAACCAGCTGCCAACCGCTGGGCTGACAGAACTACAGAGGAGAGGGAAGAGAGCTGAGAGTCAGACAGCAGTGTGCATGTGTTCTTACAACACATTAGGGCGAGATAGACCTGAGATAGACCCTCATTAACCCGTTTCCCACCTGATCTGATAAGAGATGAAAACACAACCAAAGCCCTGAACGTTTATTTTGTGTTCGTTTATCCTCTCACTGAGGAATCTATCCTCTGTGATATTTCAGTATTTACTGGAACAACACGGAGAGTAAATGAAACAATCAGTGATGCTATCGTTCCTGAGCAAACCACACAAAGTCCACATCAGACCAGTTTTTGGAGGAGATCATGGATTTATTTTTTGCACCTTTATTTATAATTTTGCTTTATATAATGGTGTTAAAGAGAGTACACTTTAGTATTTAAATATTTCTACAATCTGAGTAAGTAAATAAACCCTAAAATTAACTGCACTAGTTTTTCTTGGACACAAATTTAAAAAATGCACAAAAAACTTAAACTAAAACTGCAAAACAGAAGGATATCCAACACCTGAGGAGTTATTTTGACTCTGATTCGTCCAGTTTTCTTCGCATGTGCTATTTTTTATGAATTTTATGGTGGTGGTGATCGTTGTTACCCCCACTCTCTTGAAACAGATCCAGATTTGGACGACAAAGATCTGGATTTCTGCTTCTTCACTTGGACACTAATGTGAATTATGATAACTAGATAGATGTTCATTTAAAGAAAAAAGAAATTATATCACATTAACTGTTTTAGTTTTTGCTTCTAGCCCTGATTGAACTCAGCTGACGGTGAAGCTTTATTTACTTTTCTGCGGCACCATTTTTAAATGTGTGAGTTTGACCTGAAGACAGAGAGAGAGATTAAAAAGTGGTGCTGTTTAAATGGTCGGCCTTGTTCTGGATCCAGCATGCTTTGTGCTTCGTTCCTCCTCAGGTGCTTTTTGAGGGTAAATGCTTCTCAAGTGTGAAAGTTTCTTCACTTGTTTGTGTGAGAAAAGAAAGATAATTCGAGCCTGAAGGGAGTCGAAATACGCAAAACGACAAAAAGACAAATTTCGAGCTTTTTTAAAAGTCTAAACAAACGTGTGACAAATGCATCGATCCTTGTTATGTATGTGTTTTAACGCTTTAAGGTGTGTGAGTGTAGACTTACCAGCTCTATCCCTTGTGGGAACGGGCTGTCCTCCCAGTCTTTCTCAGGAAACCGCTGGAGAATTCGACCCTGACCCTCACCCTCCACTGTAGAGACACAGAGACAGAAGCAGAGGTCAGTCTGTGTTTTTCAGACTGTTTGTTACTCTAAATCAGTTCTTTTTCAATCATATTAACATGCCGACGTTTGTTTTTTCTTCTTCTTCTGGGGTCGTTTCATTTCTTCGGTGGCTCAGAACCAAAAATTCAACATTAAAATAAACACGCTACTTAACATGAGTGTTTTAAGACACTAAACCACAATGATGCAGAGTCACAGAGGAACGTTTGCTCCACTGACTCTGTGACCTGATGTTATCTGAACACATGCAGCTGAACTCTATCTGACAACCAGTGACCCTACAAGACCTACAAGATGCATTTTCAGGCTTAATAAACTCCTGCGTTAGAGATTTTCCAGGTTTTTCCAGACTGGGTTTAAAGCTTCACTCGTTCTTTATACAAAACTGTAACCCCATTTTTTTAATCTACCAGAAAAAGATGCAACAGTGCCGTAATCCTCCAAGATCAACATCTCGTTATAGTCAAACTTTAGGATGAAAATATGACAACATTTCTTCTTTAATTCATACAAAAGTGTTTTATTTGTGAGGTATGAAGTAAAAAGTCTTCTGGACAAAAAGTTAAGTTTTGTTTCAGTAGAGCCGAGGGAACTGAAGATACCGACGTAAACAAACAACAAAAATGGCGGACACCCTTAGTGAGGAACAAGGAGGCGTTTCTGAAACGATGGGAACTTGGCGTATGAAAGTATTTTTAATAATGGGACACATGTATCATTATCTGTTATTTCTGTATATAGCACATACAGAGTTTTTCTCTGGATGACAATAAATGATTGAAGGGAAGTAAAAACAACAGAGCCAGAGCAAAAATAACCATCATGACCGTATTTTCCTCAGGTGTTTATGAAATTGTGAGTTGAGTTTGTTTTTAAATCCATATTGAACAGCAATAAATACCAAACATTGGTCTGTGATTGTACCATGAGGTTTTGATGTCATTAAATCTCTGTGAAAAGAGGATTAATACACTGTGTTAGGGCTGGGCGATAAACCGAAAATTACAGATACCGAAATTCAATACAATAACCGACCCAAATTGATATATTCAGAGTCAATTTCATGTGTCACAATATTGTTGCACAAATATTAATGATTGCAACTTTTTTCAATATTGTCCACCCCTGCTCTGTAGTAACTTTATATTACATTGTTTACAGCGTCTTAAAAAAAACCCTCATTTTTCCGCTCCTGTCTCTTTGAGCGTTCTTTAAAGGAGCCCACTATTTTCAAAACTGCCAGCTCTCCAGAAGCCTCCTCTACTGTTGCCATGCTACAAAGTCGATGTCATAAGAACAGAACGTTCCTGGTGGTAAGTGTCACATTTGTTATGCTCTTTCTCAGGAGATTCAGATGCATGAGTACTAGGGCTGGGCGATAAACTGAAAATTTACTGATACTGAAATTTACGACAAATAACCGATATCATTTTGCCCATATCGGTATATTTGCTGTCAAATAAATCAATAAAAGTTGGTTTTGGATGTGTGTAGGTAAGCTATGGTCTCGTTTCCCTTTAAGATGCTGGGAAAGTTAGTAGAGTAGTTATTGTCAATTTATTGTTATCGAGGTGAACTGCTCAACATATCGTGACATTGATTTGAGGCCATATCGCTCAGCCCTACACTGAGTCATTGTGGCTCTTTTCACAGCACTCTTGTCCTTACTATGGCTTCTTTTAAAGGCACAAACAGCTACTCTGTAGCAGAGAATTAAAGGTTTTAATGTTAGATTAGATTAGATTAAAGTTTCCTTTATTTATCCCTCAGTGGGGAAATTAAAATTGTTTCCAGCAGCGGTACATTCACATACCAGGTACAAAAAACCCATAAACATATAAATAAAATATAAGAACTATGGTAAAAAAAGAAAGAGCAGTGCAAGAGTAAAAGAAAAATATAAAAGAGAAAAAGATCAGAGCCAATAAACTCATGATTTATACCCGAACAGAAACACAGAATAAAACACCAAGAGTTTAGTTTTCATGTTGACACGAGCTGCTGATTAATAAACTTCATATGCACTTATGTCAAATGTATTTTGAATGTTGTAATATTCGTTCTTCGGTCTTCAGTTGGACTATTTTTAACATTTCTCAAACTGTACCCAGCCAGGAAAAAAACACCACCGTTTCTCAGATGAAGGTGTGTCGTCTGACCAAAATGAAGCTCCTAAATGTAGAAAACACAGCCTTGGTGCACTGATGCAACATCTGCAGCTATCATTAACTACAAAACAAAAAGGTTTAGTCTAACTTCAGCAACTTATGACTCAGTGAAACTTTTCTAACGTGGAGATGAAACTCGAAACTTTGACGTCCATCCGTATCTGCCCGTTAAACACTGCTACTCTGTGTTAAACGTTTATTTGCTGCTGGTTAATGAGGCCACTTCCACTGCTGGCCCGGCCCGGCTCATCACATCAGCACAATGACACGACAAAGAGCGACTTATGTAACCAGCACAGGCCCGTCTTTCAGATGAGCTCCATCTGAAGCCCGGCTGGCTACTTAATGGCAGCATTCATCCACACAGAGAATACACTCATGCTCCCCACACAAAGGATGCAAATCTAGCAGAAAAACGCAACAAAACTAAATATTATCCCGCGCTGAATACCGAGACGCTTCTCCAGCATTTAGACCTGGACGGAGTGAACCGAACGCTGCCTCAGAGGAATAACAGAGCCTCTGGGCTTTCACCGAGGGAACTTAAACAGAGGCAGAGACACACAGAGACAATACACAAACAGAAAGTAGGCCAGCTCCCAAAACACACAGGGAAGCACTGAAGTCGTCGCCTCTCCCTCGTGAACTGGGGAGATGCAAAGGCTTGTGGGAGTGCTGCTGTGGGATCCTCTCATCCAAGACAAGGGGTTGATTTTCTGATTGTCGGAGAAAGACTGGACCTTCTACCTGAGCTCGGAAATACTCATCTAAAACTAAGAAAGGAAAAACATGAGGGTGTCTGCTCAGTCTGAAAGTCGTGTTTTTAAGTAACTGACACACGAACAGTGATGGAGACACAACTGAGGACACGCACACTCACACCACAACAGTGCCAAATATGTGAGATCATGTCGAGTAAAGTCTGTGTGCTGATGTGGATTTTATTTTCAAAATGGTCTGAGTATCAGATTTCAGATTTCTGAGACTGTGATCCCGATTTTGAGCTGACATAAAAACAAAGATGTTTGACGTTACGAGACAAAAACACTAAGGTCAGTATACTTCAACTATGATATGAACCTCAATACTGATATTTCAGCAAACTTGGCGTATCACCACATGGATATATATTCGTCTGCCCTGGAGGAGAGGATGAGAGGAAACAGAGCTAGGGCTGAAAAATATTTCCTTTGGCAACTGTGACTGTGATGCACACATGCACAAATGTCACATTTCAGGACGTGTCGTCTCAGTCATATGACCTGAAACATATCTGCTGTCACTTCTTTCTCATTTACTGTGACAAAACCGCAGAAAAGTCTGATGTCGCTGTGATAAAGTCGAGATAAAATCCGAGGACTGACTGCTGTTCATGCAGAGACGACAAACTTTTACACACTGCATTAAATCCCACTGACACTGGGCCGTTATGTTTTACACTGCACCCTGAAATAATGTAATACTGGTGTCGCTGTGTGTGGTTGTATATGATATTTGGCTTGTAATCACACAGCAGGAGCTCAGACACACACATACACACAACACTAGTTCACACTCCGGGCTCCAACACTACCTGACGACACTGCAGGTGAAAGGTAATAAACCTGGAGATGGTCGTGAGTAAGCACCTTGAACCTGCGTGTCACATGACTGTAAAATATAAACATGTCACAGATTCTCTAAAAACTAACTCTGGATTAGAGATGCACCGATCAGATATTTGGATTGATATCGGCTCCGATATTGACAAATGAACTGGATCAGAAATCTGATGAATGACGCCGATCACATAGAAACAAAATTCAGAAAGTATTTGAGAGCTTACACGTGTGGCTTTCAAGATAACTATCTTTTAATTTTTCGAACCTTCATCACATTATTGAAAATCTTGAACAAACAAATCAAATGAAATAAAGCGGCTGTATAAATAAAAGTAAAGACTCTGCACTGGAGAATAACAAACTGTTTACTTTCTGTAAAACAAGTGGAAGTCATGATAAAGTGTCCATCTTTACAAATGTAAATATAAAATAAAGTGAAGAGTATACAGCTACAAAAGCAGCACTAAAAACTACAGAAAACGCTGATAATGTGAGTCAAAGCTCTCAATATGAAGAAGCTGTTTAAGTCTCTGAATGAAGCTGAAGCTGCTCTCTGCCTCCGTCATTGTTTACTTTCCTCACGAAGCACGTTGCAAGATCCGAGCATGAATCCGATCGCTTTATTAAGTTTAATTGACTATCAGAGGCAGACGGGTGTGATGATTTGATTCGCCACGACTCACAACTACAGAATGCTATAAAATGACGTATCTGCGCTACCGGCTTGAAGGGTAGATAGGTGTGTAGAGCCAGGGACAAAGCCAGGGAAGAGCTGCAAATGTAGATCTAAAATATAGATCAGAACCGTTCAATGCCATGTGGTTCAGAGAGAGAGAAACATATCTGATTCACATCAACATAAAACCAAAACAGATCGTACTATAGCCGTCCTTGTCTCCAGTTTAAATGCAGCCTCTGTTTTGACATTTGAAGTCTTATGACTAACCCTATCCCCTGTTTTACTGGGGTGAATCATCTGGTGCTGTATGCCAGAGCTAATGCATGCTGGGACTTGATGTCACCTCCCCTCCTCCTCCTCCTCCTCCCTGAGAGAGAGGTTCATTAGAAACAGCCGCTCACATGTCGCCTGGTTCTGCCTTTTTCGTAGCAGCGTGTAGGGAGTGGAGGACGAGCTGCAGGTGTGTCAGGAACACCTAAACACACACACACACATACATTAAAAAAACACTCACAGCCAATGGTGAGGCAGGGTGGGGATTATTCAGCCAGTCAAAGCAGGACATCCTGCAGCAGAGGGAGGGGTCCATGAATGAGTCTAAAGCCAGGTCTCACCCTGGACTGGGCTGGTTCCTGCAGAGGTACACAAGAGTCTCCTCATCACCAGAGACTCACTTTAACCCTAATTTAATGACGTCGACAACCTGTCCAAGTCCACAAAAGGAATCCACGGAATGTAAACACGACTTTCAGACCTTCAATCGGCTTCACGAAGCAGCTATTACTAAGAGAAATGACAAGGTTGAGACGGGAGGGTGACTGTCGTCCGCTGGAAACAACGACGCACGACTTTTAAATCAGTCGACGTAAACAAAAGGAAACGAGAGAAAAAGACAAATATGCGTCTCTTTGTTCTTCCTGTAATTAAAGTCACAATGCGTCTCTCAGAGAAAGCCGAGTTGCTCAACAGTGGTTCAGTAAATTCTCACAGATTAACTGCAGCTGGAGTCCTGCCTGTTGTCTTTTCCTCTGGGCTCTAAATAAGTCACCAACAATACGCAGCGGTAACGCCAAGGACGGTCCAACCAGCCAAGAGAAAGCAGCTACGACTTTCGCTTCTTCTGGCAAACAAGCGAGAGTTTATCATGAGCTGCAAAATGACAAATATCACCATTTCTTTGTGATTCATCAGCCGATCTCTTCCATTAAAACCTCTAACAGCTTTTCCTTTTGTTGTCACGGAGACAAAGAGACAAAAATATGATAGAAAACAAATAAAAAACTGCTTATAATCAGATAAAATTGTTGTTATGAAAGACTGAGGGCCTTCCAGTGACATATTAACCTGGAGTAAAACCCTGTGCTTACAACCTGTCATTTTTATGGCCTTTTGGAGATAAATAACCTGTAACCACAAAGTGAAAGTAAACCATGCGGCTGTAACATGTTCTCCTGGGAGTAAAGCAGAGGTCAGAGACGGCGCCGAGAGTCTGTCAGTCAGACGAGGACAGGAGCGAAAACCTCACATCTGTCTTATTAAGTTTGGTTAAAGACAGCTGCGTCCTCCGGTGGAAACTGTCTCTCCAAGAGGACGAGTTGGACTCTCACATCGAGAGCGAAAACGAAATCGATGTTTTACGTTAAGAGGCGATCTCAATAACAAGCAGCATGACATCATTCATAAAAACTGCTGGTTTTCAAAGTCCGTCCTGATTAAAAGCTCAAAGTTCACACAGCTGATCCTAAATACTGATTGTGAAGTGAAACTAATCTGCAGCAAACAGGCGCCTCAGAGTTCCTGCTGGAAGTGAGTGTGAGAGACTGAAACTGTCACTGCACATCGACATCATTTCACATCCTACTGTATGTAAATGAGAGTCAGGTATGAAGAAACAGAGATGGTGACCAGAAGAGGTTCAATAACGGCCAAAATAATAAAAAAAGAAGAGTTTTAATCTGTTTTTAAACCGGTGACGATCAGGACCATCCAGTCTTGGTTTTGGTCTCTGGATCTTTTAATGATATCACCTCCTGTCGGTGATAAAATCCAAACCGACGTGGAAAGTTGTTCCTCTCAGAAGAAGCTGAAAAAGTGCAGATCGTCCTGTTTTTATGAGATTCATTACTTCAGCTGGAATGTGATTTTGGCTTTTCAGGATACTTGGATCAAACAACCCGCTATTAAATCTCATTTTTTCCAGCCTCTGCAGAAACACTGTTGCGTGTCACTGGATTGATCCGCTGTTTGTTGGCAGAGCGTGTACCGCCTGATTATATGCACTTACCAACTGGAAATAAACAAGTTTTGTTCTGTTTTAGAAAACTCAAGAGCTGTAGGAGCGACGGAGAACACCCGGAACAACACCACAGGACCAAACAGTCAACCTGGGACACACCTTTAGGGCTGGGCGATAAAACGATAATGATATTTATTAAAAATTATCGATATCAGACATGGTCAATACACTTTTCTACAGCTGGCATTCTGACATGTTTTGGTAGACTACACAAACAGCCAATAAAAAGGGGAGTTGCTCCGGGTCCGCTTCGCGCTGAACCAAGTAGCAAACAACTGCGTAGTAGCCAGCTGCAGCTACACGCAACTTTGGCCAAAACAAATTTTGCTGGACGATATATTGTCCCACAAATTATTGACGATAATCGATGTTATCGTCAGCATTATCCAGACCAAAATAACCACTTATGTAATGTTAAAACATCATAATAATGCAAGTAAACCCTCTCAAATGCAACAATTAAACCTTCATTTCTCAGTGGGACGTCCAGAACCAGGACTTTTAAATATCCCAAATAAATAAAACAAACAATAAACAAAAATGCTGTTTTTTTTCAACAATATTAAAGGCAGCATTTCTTTGGCAATATAGCGAACAACACTTTCTGTGAGCGAACACCGTTTTGCGCTGTTCTGACTGTACTTGCTTTGTCGACCGAACGCTTCATGTAGAGTTGACTGTCGGGCCGACGGGCTGACATCTTCGACAACACTTATACAAAAATGTCGGTGGTGTGGAGGTATTTCAGTTTTTTAAGGTTGGACATGAAGCAGAGTAATGTGTACTACAAATTATGTCGAGTACATGATTTAATGTAAGTGTAACAGGGAACATTTAAGATTGACAAGTGATTTTTTTCATATCATGATACATATCGATATCGACTGTTATGAAAAAAATATATCCTGATAAACTTTTTCACGTATCGCCCAGCAAAACACACCGTTAACATTTCCTCCTCCACAGAACCAAAATATGTCGGGCGGTTTCAACGACATGGTTTCTCAACATCGATGAAATCAATAATTTGCTTTATGAATCAATATACAGGAGTGTAATGAGGCCTTTTGCTGATCAATACAGGTGGATCATGGGAATTTAAATCCATACAGCGATGCAGTGAATGGTTTGTTACATCCCGTCAAATTAGTGACTATCATTGTCCTCAACTATCATGGAAATAAAGCAAATTAAGATAGGCTATGAGTTACCACGACAACAGCGACCCAAATTTCACCCCGCCTTCTTCGTGCCGCACCAACAGCTTTCCCGTCACATCCAGTTCAGTGACTCCGGCTGCAGGCTGTGTGTGAAGAAACCCCCCACACTCTCTGCAGAGATGCACCAGATGAATCAGATCAAATCAAACTTCATGACCTTGATTTTTTTTGTTCCAACCAGCTGCAGGTCGGCATCTGGAATCCAAGACATTTCCGTCCATGTTTTATTCAACAAAACGCGAATCTCATCTTTAATTGAGGACATCCTTCTCTCACAAGTAGGAATTAAAGAGGTCACACAAAATCAACGTTTAACACTTCATTTCACCGGGATCATGTGACCCCGCTGCTGTTTAACAATGACCTGATTTTGACATGCAGAAAGAATTCATCCTCCTCTTTCTATCTAAACTAATCAAGAGTAATTTCCTCGTTAACTTCTGTAACGCAGCCTGAGGTAAATAAATGCGTGAAAGGATCTGGCGCAAGTTCATCCTGGGTGTGTGTGTGTGTGTGTGAGAGCTGCAGGTGAAACGGTTCAGTGAGAAACGCTGCTCTTAAAGCAAGAAGTGAGGAGTATACAGGCGTGACTGCACAACAGAGCTGCTGGTTATTATGTCAGGCGAATGTTTCACGAGGAATGCGAAACGTGTGGCGTCTGTGATCTCACAGGGATGTGAAATCAACCCGTAAGCGTCACCTGTTGTGTAACAGCAGCAGCAGATTCTGGATTCGTCATCGCATCCTGTGAAACAACACCGTCCATGTTTCTGATCCTGATTCTCATGCAGCCTCCGACTTCTTCAGACAATTTCCTCCAGCGGCACACTATATCCTCAAATCTCAAACTCTGGACATGACCTGAAACTCCATCTGCAGCTCTCCCTCGGACAACAAAATAAAAATCTGTGTGCTTAACTGGTAATTCTGCTCCACCGTACAACCAGACTGTGTTTATGTGACATTTTGCACCCCTTGTATCCGCAGCTGCATGTTTTTACTCTGTGAGAAACACAATCTGCGAGTCTCAATCGGTGCATTCACGTCCTACAGTGCTGAGCAACCAAAGAGACTCCCTGAATGTGCAGACTGTGAACAGGCTTTTCAACCGCTGCTGGACTCTCTATTCAGCCAACAAAAGACCAATCTGGCTTCCCTCTTTCTCTAAAGTCATTCTGATTCATGCACACCGGTTCAGCCGGGCGATTTCTCATTAGTCTGGGGGTTGATTACAGGCTTTAAAGAAGTGCAGCTCTGCCTGCAGGGTTATTCAGTTCTTCTGTGGGTGATTGAAAAGTTTACAGGAAAATGTAAAGAAGACGCAGGATTGAAATCCTCCGAACGATTATCTAAACCAGTTTATTGGTTTGATTTCTGCTCACTTACAGACGGAGTTTTCTGCTCATTTCTCAGCCTAAATACTGTCCCTTTAAAATGTCAGGTGAACTGATCAATACATCGTGACATTGATTTGAGGCCATATCGCCCAGCCCTAATGGGTACACTGTTGACTATTGCAATCATAATTGGAAATGATGCTTAATGCTTTATATGACACCAGCTGATCTGTGGTACTTTAGGCTCGACACCCTGACCGGTCCGTCCCCCCATACAAACCCAGGTACAATACAGTGACCTTGAATCAAACTGATATCTTGACTGTATCAGATTTAGACTTTTTCAAAATGCTGATGATATCGCAGCAGTACCAGTGTGATTGTTTTTGCAGCCCCCCACTTAAAACACTCATTTTGAAGATGTAACTTTCTGCAGACTAACAGCTTCACCGATCAGAGCAGCAAAAACAAAGTAAGTCGGCTGCTCCTCCATTAACATAAACGTGCTAAAAACGCTGTTTTAGAGGCAGGTCTGTGAAGGATGAAAGACAGGAGCAGGGAGGAAATGTGGGTCACATGTTTAACGTGTGTGTGTGTGTGTGTGTGTGTGTCACAGCAATGACTCCTCACACAGATGACTACTCGCTGTGATGCTCTGTGACACAGAGTGGAAGCAGACCGGCCGGTCATGTGATCACTGAATGACAGCAGTCAGAGCTGAAATTAGTCTGTAGCCGTGTGTGTGTGTGTGTGTGTGTGTGTGTGTGTGTGTGTGTGTGTGTGTCATACTCGCGGTGCTGAACCAGGCCGCAGCTTCTCTTTTGCAGGCTTTCTAACCACAGTGACACGACATCAGGTCGTTGCCAGAGCAACAGCAGCAGTCAGGACAAAAGAGCTTTGAGCGCTGTTTGTTTCCATGTGTCTTTGTGTGTGTGTGTGTGTGTGTGTATATGAACAGAACGTGTGTGTGTGTGTGTGTGTGTGTGTAGGTCTACCACTATGGACAAAATAAAGTACGATTATTAACAGTCAAGTGAACTTCTGCATGAAGACACAAAGTTTTCCTGCTCGGGGTTAAAGTCGAGCTCTGCGATCTTCGCGGTTTTAAAAGTCTGTCTCAGTAAACACCCACTCGACAATTTTAAGAAGTGCAAGAGAGATGGCAAAAGTTCAGAGGTTGAGGGAGGCGTCGGCTGAAAGCTTAATGCGACACTTTCTCATACAAATGCTGTTTTTCAAATAATCTGAAACTGAAAATGAAGAACATACTCTTGGATCAATTTTCAATCAGCTGGAGATTAAGAACCAGACGTCTCATGGCGGTGTTATAAACTTCGTCAGGACTGAGTGACTCTGCTGCACTCTCCAGTAACACCTGACCATGTGAGCATACAGTCTTCACTCTGTCAGTAAGAACAAGTATGCAGGAAACTTTTCATTCTCTTGTTGTAGAATTTCCCGTTTTCTTGTTTGAGCCTCAGTCTTTACGGCTATATGTAAACAAACCCTGCTCTACTTCATATTCAACAGGGCTGTCCACGAATATTCTAAATTCAGATATATATTCAAATATATATAGATAAAAAAAAAAGAGATTCGAATGTGAAAACTAATACTCAAATATTAAATAAACAGCAGGAAAAAACTGAGTGGGAAAAAACGCAAGTGCACTGTAATGACGAGTCATCAGGGACAGGTCACAGGAGCCGCACCTGCAGCAAGACTCGACAAAAACCATCTGTGGCACATGCACACTTTTTTGTCTTGGTAACCCTGACAGAGCTCAGCAGAGAGCTTAGGGTCAAACAAACTTATGAGCCACAAGTCTGAGTCCAGATGGAGCAGCATGGTGCTGGAGGATGGAGTGGTGCTGTTCCTTCTTCATGATACCCTTTACTTCGAACAAATCTCCTACTCTATTACCTGTAAAACATCCACATCATCCCCTCACTTAACTATATTCCACTTATGATGCACCCAGCATCACTCTCAGCTCTAGACTATCATGGTTTTATTATTTAGTAATAAAATCCACATTAAAAACTTTCTAAAAAGAGAAAAAAAAACTTACATTACTCTGCTGGTGAAGTCTGAGCGGACATGTAGATGCTGCATGACTTTTCATAACAACAAAATCTGGACTGAATCAGGATAAAATCTCCTAAAACTTCATCACTGGTGTTCGGGTGCAAACGGTCAAAACTCTGACATCATTATGTTCAGGCTTTCCACCACACCCTCTGACAGAGATCTCCCACTGTCCACCCAGGTTTTTATTACACACAAACACACACACACATGTATTAAGATAAGACGGCTCTGGCACACTGGGTCTGATCCACTCTCCTGCAGGACAGCCCTGTTGAGTAATATGAAGAAGAGTGAGTCACTCTCTGATTGAAAGCAGCAGACCGAGGCCTCTCATTGTGTGAGAGGCCCCACAGAGGCGTTCAGCTCATCAATAAGTAACACTTGACATTTAGAGCTGTCTGAATTTGGTGTCCGATGACGGTGAAAAATTATAATCCTGCATAAACAAATGAACCGCTGTGTTCGAACCGAACGCCTCGGCGAAGCTGCCGTTTAGGAGCCAAATAAAGGGTGAAAAAAACGAGAAAAAACCTGCTCCATCTGGCAGCCGCCGTCGTCCTGGAGACAATGTGGGACATTTTCTTTGTGCAAAAGCTCTTCAGCAAACTCACATCCTTCCTGCTAAACTAATGCCCCCCTCTCTCCTGCAGCAGAGCCCCCAAAACAAATTAGAAAGGCTTTCCAGGAGAGGAAACTGCCCGAGGGAGCCACACAGCAGCTACAGGGACAAAAACGATCTCAGATTCAAAAGTCTGACTTCATTTGTAACTCAAATGAAAACGTCATACTCTGATGATTAATAACAGGAGACTGATCTCTTCTCACTTCATGCTTCTGCAGTTTCAGGTGATGTCTGCACATACGTACGTATGCTTCTGCCAACGCTGAAAGGACTCTGTTCAGTCTGTCTGACAGGAGTACGTAAAGACTCACTTCCTCTCCAAACAAAAGACACTGACGTCATGAAATGGACATCTAGATGTTCTCTCTAAACCTCACATCCTTGCTCGGTTACTTCCTACAGAGACATGCATGACAACAACATGTCTGACTGCTTGTTCCAAATAAAGACTCATAGTTTTGACTCATCTGTTTTGCACCATATGCAAATTTTGTGCAAAGGCTGTTGCAGCTGGTAGAAGCATGACCAGAGAGAGAAATGTGTTTCACTACGAGATGAGGAAGACCTCTACAGCCCAGACAGCCCTGCTGTATCAGGGCTTGACACAAAGTTTTTCACAAGGAGAACACGTGCTATTGTCCGACCTTAGTACTATTATTTGAGATCAATTTTAGGTCTTTTGGTCATATGACATGGAAGCTACTGAAGAAAATGTTAAAAAATTTGCCGTCAAATTTAACACAACTAATTTTTAGAGGACAAATTAGGGAAAGAAACGGGTCGTTCTAACCCCTAATTTCCACCACATCCAGAACAGCAGCGATTTTCAGCGATTTTGAAGTGAATTTCGTGGCTGATATTAGTTAGCAGGAATCGCAAGAACTGACAAGAACCCGCAGATTCATGTTCAATCGCGAGATAACGAGTTGTCTCCATAAAGACAGACACATAGACATATAAGCAGTAGATTGTGTCCTGACAGAGGAGGAAATCTACTTCCAGACTTCTAGAATCAGCATCTCCTCATCCATGGTGTCATCAGGGTGAAATGACGTCTAACACCCTTTCCCTTGTTCGAAACAATCCGCCCAAAAAAAACCAGAGTGTTTTATTTTGTGTCTGTGCCCGACTTCCTTTCCAGCACGGGTTAATCTGTGCTGAATTTATCCGCCATGCTCTGGCGTCTGGAAAAAATAGAACTCTTGCGATCAGCTGCATAGTCTGGCGATCCGGAGTGGAACGGAAAGAAGTCGGTTGAAATTGACACGTTAACTTTCAACCTTTTTTCGTAGCCGTTCCAGATGCGGTGGAAATTAGGGGTTATTGTCCAACCTTAGTACTATTACTTTAAATCAACTTTAGGTCTTTTGGTCACATGACATGGAAGCTATTGAAGGAAAACAGCCTTTTTCAAGAAAATTTACCGGTAATTTATTGACGGTCCCTTATTCAACACTTACTGTTGACATTGAGGGTGTCGAGTAGATTTAACCACGCTGCTGTTGTTATTCCTGGTTATGGAGAGTGAGAAGACACCGGTAGATCCTCAGTGAATGTCTGTCAAATATCCAACCTAAAACTAACTTCACCGCCGTATTTACAGGAAAAAACATTTGTTACCTCAACTGTTTTTTTTTATGCTCACATGTGACCCTAAATACATTTTACAATTCGCACACATCTATTTTTAGTCGCACTGTCGAGCCCTGCGTATGACGGAGAGACATGGTGGGGATCTATCACTGATGAAGCAGCATCCTGTGAAAAACACAGTGTCCATCTGGTGAGTTTATCCACATGCAGCCTCAGGCACGAGCGATCGACCTTGTTGCAGGTGTTTTACTTTGCTTCATCTGAGCAAATGCACATGTGGAGACAACAAGACAAGACAAGCTCAACAACAAGACATATAGTTCAGAAAAACTTTAGCAGCTGTAAATAAGTTTGATCAAATATTTAATCAACAAGATTTCAGCTCCGTTAAGAGTCCGACTTTCAAACAGCTGACTTTCTTACTGACCACAAAGGTGAGCTACATGTCCAGGAGCCATCTAGGCCGTATCGCCCAGCCCTAACAATAGCTGTTCGCCTGCGTACTCTCATTACTTGCTGGAGGTTCTGTGAGTACATTATCTATATGTGACAGGAAGTCAGAATCTGAGAGAGTATGCTCTTCTAGTGTGTGGTTAGCTTATTTTAAGACCTGCGTGTCTTCCTGTATCATCAGATTTCAGAAGAAGAGTGACAGGACTCATCGGTGAGTGTGCGCCACACGATGAAGAAGGCCTGCATGCTGACGCGACCCCGTCACAGATCAAGTTCAGTCTCGGAGCGTTAAGTGGAGGACGCCGAGCTGTCGGTAACAAACTGCTTTAAGACAAAGAGTGAGATCAGGAGGAGGATGGATCACATGGCGGGCTTTATCAACCTTCGCGATTCAAACACAATGAAACAGGATATAACGTACGCGCTCAATGTAAGCAGCTCCTCCAGAACAAGACGCACACAAACATTTCCGTGTGCTTCTAACCCCCCACATCACCGCGGCAGGAAACATGAGAGCTGTGGGCAAACGCACAATCACAACTTATCTTTGTCTTCACTCAGTAACACATTACATCCGCAGACACTCTTCTCTTCTCACATATCACTTCGACTGTATGGAAGTGCCAGATTCTATTTGGTTGTAAATTAACCCTTTCACTTCTTCTCCTTGAGTAACATAAATTATCCTCTCACACCGACCGGAAATTACATCTCATCACTCAGGCAACCGATGGCGAAAAAACCGACGTCTAATAACCAAACAGTCATCAGACAGAGTGACTGTGAAACAGCGGAAACAGGCGGTTCACTGAGGGCTGAATTTGAAATTTAATGTCAAAGTTTCGTCTTATTCTTCTCTTTATTTTCTGACACCAAGAAGAGTTAAAGGAAGCACAGACACGTGGCGCTGAAACAGGAGTAACTCTGCACAAAATTTACAACTTCCTATGAATCCAACGTTGTGGTGGCGGCCTACAAAAGCAAACGCGAACATCTGCAACGAGATCAATTATTTCCATATAACTGGTGTCAGACCAGACAGCTGACCGCACACACTCAGGACACAGCTTTTTATACAACACATATTTACAATGAGGGTCCCATTTTACAGGTGAAGAAGAGCAGGCCGATTTCTTTATAGAAATATTTCAATAACATGCATTTTAGTCTTAACTCCAGCAGCTTTCTGCATCGTTGTTTTTGAAGCACTTTGTCCTCAGTATGTTATGATTACCGCTAAAATGATAAACTGCGGTAAAATGTCTGACGGTTAGTACTACCATTACAAATTTTAATAACTGTTAAAACTGTGTCTGTGGAAAAGCTCACAGACTGCTCCGGACACAGACGCACCGCACGCATGTAACTTATAAACATGGCGGAGGGCAGTTCTGCCGACCGTGTTGCAGAGTCTGGGCGTATTTCGGCTTCTACAAAGGGTTGTGAGGGTTGTCAGGAACCAATGTGTCATCTGAGAGGATATTCAAAGATCACGACTCAAACCAGACAAAGTAAATCTGCAGACATTTTTACATTTTAATCTCAAGTAGTAGTATTTCAACAATACCGTGATAATTTTGGTCACAATAATCGTGATGTTACATTTTCATATCGTTACATCCCTAATCCTCAGCAGCATTTTCAGGAGAGGGAACAGTGAAATATATCTTGAAACTTTCATAAACGACATGCTTGGGTTTGAATTACTCAAGTTTCTGCAAAAAAATATCAGGACCATGAATACACAGAGATCTGGAATAATCCATGCAAATGAGTTTGACTGCGTTTTCATGCTGCGGCTGAGAAATATCAGGTGCAACGGAAAAACTCTGCTGCAATCAGGTATAAATGAAGCATCAGGTGTATAAATGAGTGTAGTTTCAATCCACAACCTGACCCCTCAGCATCATATAACACTCCTATTTCTACACACTGTACCTCTGAGACGTTGTTTTGGCTAACAGACTGTACTGCGGGTTTGACAGACCCCCTAAAATGAACCCCAGTTACACAATAACATGCATCACCTGCGGTTGCTCGTCATATTGTGACAACAATAGCGTTCCTTTTCACTTCTACTGTATAATTTACCCGCAGATCTTCATTAGTAAGACTGTTTGCTCACATTTAAGTGAAACATCTCATCAATCATCTGTTTTTAAACAGTCTGAAAACTTTTACACCATCAGCAGCATTTAACTCCCTCACACCTGACAAACACTGAATATTTATCTGCTACATGCTGTAATAAGAGTTTCCCATTCGCTGTTTCACTGCACAAGACGTAATAAGTGAGACTTAATCCGTTACAGTGCTGCTAAAGAGTCAAACAACATGTGTATTTAATCCCTCCCTGTGTATAATTAACCTTGTGCCGCTGCAGCCTTTAATTATGAGAGCATCCAGTTCAGACCTCGGCTGTATTCAAAGGAAAACTCCAAAATAGACGCAGTTGTACAGTTTGCATGATGCAGCATAAACTCATGAGGCACTGAATTACTGTCATTTTCAGTGAAAGTTGTTTTTTTTTGGTCTATAAATAGGAGTTAAATGTACAGGTTCAACAGACAGTGTGATGTAAAGCCCTAAAGCTTCAACAATAATCTTTAAACAACACAGACGTCCGTCTCTGGGGGAGGGGAGCAAAGACCTGCCATAAACACACTACAGTGATAAAGACATCAAACCAGGTCCGGACCAATAACAGACCTTTAATCTGCACATTTAAACCAATCACAGGCTAGATTAGAGAGAGCACAGTGTGAGTCTGGGCGGCAGATTTCCTTTTTTTTCTGAAGGACAGATTTGACCTGGAAACCGTCTTAATAAAGACGAGACTTAATCTTCCACCACCAGTCATCTTCTATCACCATCAGTGTCACCCGTGTGTTCATTCAGCTTCATTCTGCAGAGGAGATATAACAGCGGTATATAACAGAGAGCTGCAGATGGATGACAACCCCACCCAGACTCTGACTCTGTTTATGAAGAGGTCATAAAACCCTGATCAGGAACGTGTTCTCAGCCAATGAGCAGGTCAGGTTTGTATCAATAACTGAGATTTCATCATTATTGTAATATGAGCATGAGCAGTAAACAAGAGCAAAGGCTGATCAATACTTTCTGACTCCTCGCCTGTAGGACTTGAAGTTGGATTGTATTCAACTCATCTGTTTAAATCAATGTGTGTGTGCAATAGTGTTGGGCGGTATAAACCGTGTGACGGTATAAAAGTGTCTACCAGTATAAATTTTGCTTTACCATCTATACCAGAGAGAGAGAGAGAGAGCAGATGTCTGCTGCGTCTCTCTGAGTCAGTGTGTAGTTGTCTGCGCTCAATAACAGGAGAGCCAGAGTGCATCCGTTTGGGTGCGTTTCCGTATATTCCCTCTGGATGCACCGATCCGATATTTGGATCGGGTATCAGCTCCGATATTGACAAATTAACTGGACTGGATATCGGATGAATGATGCCGATCCAGTCTTTTTTTTCTTTTAAAACATGGAAGTCTTATTTCTTTTTGCTGTGTGTTAATGTGCAATCTGTTATTTCTTAGTAAATAATATAAAGTATATAAACTTTTTTTTTAACAAGGCTAATGTCAAGTCTGATGCTTTCACTCGCAGGGCTAGGAATACACTTCATTCATTCGACAGTAGGATTGGATCGGTATCAGATATCGGCCGATAAGCTCAGCCCAGGTATCGGTATAGGATTGTATCGGGAAAAAGCAGACAGCTTGGAAACAGCTTCACATGAGGAAGAGGAGGAGGAACTCGTTCCGAAAAAGGGCGCAAGTCGCCACATCGGTTGTCTGGAGATTCTTCAGATTTAGAAAATCCGACAATGATCAAAAAAACAAAACTATGCAAAGAGTGTCGTGTGTCTGTCTTTGCTGGAGGTGGAAACACCAGAAACCTCTTCCACCACCTCAAGATGAAACACGCCAAGCTCTATTATGAGAGACAAAAGATGCGTGACGCACCTGCTGCACCAAAAAACTAAAACTGCAGCAGCTCGTCTCATACAGAAGAGCTCGGCAGAGTCTTTCGCCAAAGGTATGATATATGATAAAACGATCGCCAGACTGGTATGACCTTTTATTCAAAAATTCAAGTTTAAAAATAAAAGAAAAATAAACAAATGAGACAGTTTGGTTATTTTTAAGCCATTAGTTGAGTTTACAGGGGGAAAAACATACCATGACATGAAATTACTCAGACTTTGTTCATACTGCCCAACACTAGTGTGCAATGATGTATTTTCACCGCAGCATCCGAGCGGCCCCACACAGCCAGCCCCTCTAATCCCAACAACCCCCCTATCTCCAAATCAAAAGTGGTCTGGACACGCTGGAATCGCCCCGCAGGGACCTGAACGATTGCTCCCTTGGGCGCCGAGAGGCTGACTGTGAGCAGCACTGACTCAGCCTTTGTCCTGAGAGGGGACGGAGACATTCTCCGAATTCCAGGGAAACCATCAAAGCGCCAAGGAGCAGGGCATCCCTAACACACACACACACACAGGCAGACATACACACACACACACACACTCTCTAAACATCTACTACCAAAATATTTATCTAGTCCTTCATTGACTCACTGAAAAATCACATTTTCAATCTCAAAATTCAAAATCGACACGTACACGTCTGCAAAAAAGAGTTAGTAGAAACAGAGGCCTAGCTAAACAACACCTGACAAACAACCATGCAACTGTTTTAAAGTGGACTAGAAACAATTTTCTAATATTTGAATAACCGTGAATTTGTGAGATGGAAAAAAAAAAGCTAAAACCAAAATAACCTCATCTGAAAATCATACTTTTCTTTGTTTTTACCAGTGTTTGGTTTGAATGCTCTCGTCCACACAGAGGCTGCAGCTTCTTTTCTAACTGTACTCAATACCAGAATATGAAATATAAATAAACAGCAGACAGAGAGGAAAATATCGAGCAGCAGTTATCTAAAATTCAAGTGTAGCACTGTGTGAACACACACGGCTGTAAAATGTCATTATATACGACGCTAATACTGTACAAATAGACCAAAAAGAGGACAGGAACCATTTACTTTTTTATCAACACCTGCAGCGCACACAGGGAGGTGTACTGAGAGAACGGCTGTCAGAGCACCCAAAAACTAGAATTACAGACCCAAATCATGTGCAACTTTATGACTGAAATTTCTATTATTAGTACACAAAAGCAGACTGCATTTACATGGAGCAAACTTCAGTTATTATGTAACATATACTGTGATAAATTTGTCTATTACCTTTTGCATTTTTCTGTGTTTTTGACCATTTTGATTGGAGATTGACTAATTAAACAGTCTGTCCCTGTAATTGGTCCTGATTAATTAATGGCATTTTGAAGTTATCCACATCGACCAACATCTGGACTTTATCAGCTGACTGAAATGAATAAATCGTGTCTGCAAACACGGCAGACAGGTTCATCGGTGAAGTCGCTGCTGCTGTCAACATCTCCTCACATGCTTCTTTTAAGAGACTGTTAAAGTTTACAGCTCACTGTCACTCTGATCCGTCATTTCTGTGTGTGAGACAACCAAAAAATTCAACTACAGGAGATGACGACATAAAATGTTTCCTAACTAAGTTGCCGGCCTAATCTGAATCCAAATCTTAATCTGGGGCAAAGAGCAGGCCCTTTGTGGCCCCTCCTGAGGGCGCCGGATCACACCCATGAAACAACCAACAACATGCACTCGACAAACCGACGAGTATAAAGTTTATCACAGGAGGAGAAGTGTCTGCTGACAGGAGAGGTCTGCAGGTCCTTTCAGCATCCCTACCCCCAGCACACACACTCACACACAGACGTACACTCACACACGCACACACACTTCTCTGTATCTGTGCGATAGGAATGAGGGAATGAGGGCAGGGTTGGGGCCCTGGGGCCATCATCTTCCTCATGAATAACAACATTCAGCACAGCAGACAGACTGTTGTAATGCAGCCACACACACACACACACACACACTCACACACACACACACACACAACTGTGCCCGGACTATTACTCCATCACAACAGTAATCTAAAGGAGGTTTCAACACGTCTGCAGTCTCCAACTGCTGCAAATGTTTCCTCTTCTTTTAAAGTCATGGTTGATGATTGGAGAGATTGGTAATTATTATGAACCTCGTTTCTATGGCGATCATGGTCCTATAGTGCGGTCTCCACAAAGCGAAGAGAAAAAAGAATGGAAAAAATCTGTTCACCCTATCAGCTGCAAGGCTGCAAAAACATTGACCAATGGGAGCCATCCGTCCCAGACAGCTCCTATTGGTCAATCTCCTGCTCTGCCTCTCCATCCAATCGCCTCGCTGTATTCGAAACACCCCTCTCCCGTTGTTCCGACTCGTCCCCTCCCACTCTCCCGGCCCTCCTCGGAGCTCTGAGCAGCTGAAAGTAGCGTAACAGCTTAGCTAAAAAATACCTCTGCTCGCCCCACCGCTAAAAGTGGGAAGAAAACACAAGCCAACAGAAGAAAAGGCGGAGTCAAAGAGGAAATGTGACCAAGAGAGGAATCTAAGTGGAATAAACATCAGGTCATCCTTGGAGCGGTGGAGAAAACAGACGCCGAGGAAGTTTTTTTTTTTGTTGAACAGGTCATCAGGTCATTTTATCGCCTTTTATCAACGTTTCACAGCCATAAGGAATAACCTAGCAGAGCTGGCATTTACCACCGCTCGTCACTAACAATCCGATATGATGAATCCTGTTTGAAGCTAGCGTAGGATCTTCTTGCTCTGCCAGAGGGGGTGTGTCGTGGGGAGGGGGATACAGGTTTAGGGGGGAGTTATCGTGGAGCACAGAGGGGAGAGGTTTGTGTGTGGGGGGGTGGGACGCTTTTTCAAATCTGCCTCAATGGCTCAGTTTTTTTCAACTGCTTCTCAGATCGTCAACCAGGACTTTAATTACATGAGTGTAAAAACATCACCCTCATCTTTCTTTACTAAACCAGATGTCTACCTGTTTTTTACGAGCTGCTGACACTTCATATTCGTGGATAGTTTTGGCGTTAAACTGCTGAAAAAGTTGAATCTGTATGAAAAAAATCCTCCGAGTAGAAAAATATCTGCTGCCTTCATCCCAAAAGTATTAGCATCTTGGCTGGCCATGAATGGGTCAAGCTTTGCTCACCATACCCATGCAGCCTGCAGGGGGGTAAACATCGCCATGGAAACGCAGCAAACACACAGAGACAGCCACAAACATTCAGGCTGAGATCTGAATGGCCGAGCAGCAGCGGAGAGAGAGAGAGCAGCTCCACGCCAACACACAGACACACAAGCATCAGTGCGCCGCAGCCATGACCCAGCGTCACTCTGTCCCCCTATGAAAGGCAGATTGTGACGGCTATTTCTGGAGGGCTGAAAGGCTGCAGGCCGGCGATGGAGCGATGGAGGAAGTGGCTGGCCACAGGCAGGCACTGCTGGCAGCGTCGCACACACACTCCTCTCTCCTCCGCTCGCTTCATGTTGCTCTCAATCTGAGGTTTCTGTTTCCCCTCTGAGCTTCACGCAGACACATATGAACCGAAGTCGACGCACCTGCGAGCTCCGCAGCAGCAGAAACAGTCTGAATCTGATTATATGAAACCTTTCAACTGAATATTCCCCACATTAGAGCAGCTTAGAGACCTGCAGGTTGAACAAGGCTGCAGAGCGCCATCCAGGAAACGCTTGGTCTGACTTGAACTTTTCAGGGTTGGCACTCGAACAGATGAACATCTGCTTCCATCATACCATCACTAAGATAGCAGCTACGCAGGTGTGCACCAACCAAACATGACATAACCTCCAGGAGTGAATAATGGACTCAGGTGGAGGCAGCAGTACGTTACAAATCACTTCCAGCCAAGACTTAAGAAGCGGCTCTGAGTTCAGATCTAACCTGACGTGAAATAACCCTCTCCACAGATAATTTATAGTTCATTACATCCTCCGAATCCTGCCTTTTAATCTGTTTCTGCTGAAATTGACCCAAACAGGCTCCACTCTGGGGTACCTCCGCTGTACGGACCTGAAAAAGACTATTTTACTCTGATTGACTAGAAATTAACAAGTCTCAGGTCTGCAAGAGTTTCATCCTGATGCATATTTGTAAAAAGGCGACATGCAAAAAATGATCAAGTCTGCCCTCGAGAAAAGAAAGAAACCTCTGAGTTTTTTTCTAATTGATGGAGGTTAGAAAGATCATTTCTGGTGCACATCAGGACCCTGTAAAATCTGGATGATTTGCTTTTGCCGAGCAGATTCATGTCCAGCTGGAAGGACTTAAAAGTGCAAAATCAAGTATGCACAAACTAGGGATCTGCAACTTCAAACTGCAGCATCCACTGGTCCCATACAGCATCTAAAACTTAACATGCAAAGTAAAACCTCCGGCATTGACAGAAACCCAGTGGGCACTGATAGAGGAGGCACTACTCCAGGTTTGCAACTACAGGTGACGTGATCCCTGTCCAAACACGCCACTTCATCCAGGTTTAAACTGCTCCTCTGCACTCGATTACAACATCGGTAGAAAGACATGCGAGTCCAGTGAAGTGTTTACTTTTGTCTGCTAATATTAGACTGTGTTTCTTTATTATTAATCAGCTGTAATCATTTATAATGGAAACAAACAAAAGCTGTGCAGCTCTTTTATCTGAGATACTATTAAAACACGTGTGATTTATGATCAACATGAGGCCTGCGGAGGGTCGGGTATGTCAGTGTTTGGTTTCCAAAGACACTGCTCTGTTAAAAGTGCTGATCCAGGATGTCATAACAGAGTCTGGAATAATCTGATGAGAGTTTTACAGATTTTTTGACATCTTAGAGAATGAATGAAACATCAGAAAAACGTGGTAAAATCTGTCCTCGGCTGACAGATTCACACAGTCAGAGCCTCACACATCACACGCTGTAAGTGACAAATTAACACATCCAGTTTCGAGAAGGGAACTGATACAAGCTCAAAACTCAGCAGCTACGATTCTGGTTTTCTTATGAACAGCACATCACCTGATTGTTTTTTCACTCCCGGTAAATTTTACAGACTGTTTGCAGAGTCACTGTTGTAAAATCATGAAAACAATGTGAGACAGTGAAGAGCAAACACTGAAATTTGTAGACAAAACAGCCCACATGCTCGCCGGTCTGCCCGCCCTGTGTGCGCCTCTTTGTGCCCTCGCTGGCCTCTGATGTTGTGAATGGCTCGAGCTTCACTGCAGGCTGCAGGGGTGTGTGCGGTTGTCACTCCGGCCTGAAAAAAAACAATCCTGCATTTTGTTTCAGGCTGTTGCAGCAATGACCAACCAGCGGCCTCAAACTGCACCGCCAGAGGCACACAGATGGAGCCACAATAGAGCCTGTATGCTAGCAGCATCTCTGTGTGTGTGTGTATGTGTGTCTCTGCTCCGTCTTGAATGAGACCGCCTCACACATTCGCGCACACGCCCCTTCTTTTGGTTTTCAGACAATCTGGATTCTCGCTCTAAACATAAGTCTCCCTCGGGTCCTCTTCCCAACTTCCTGTTTGGGCCTCGGACTGCGGATCCATTTAGCTACTCGGTCCTCACCGACGAGGCGGAGGAACCACTGTCAAAACACGGTGTGACATGCTGTATAGTTTCTCAAGAGACCCTCGAGAGGCAGACCACACCCAGTGGGCCACTATGGATTCTTCCTGAGCCACGAGCAGCCATCTTGGCTCTGAAGTCGAGCCGCTGATTTCAAGATTTTGCATCTAGATTGAGCACAAAGTGAGCAACCTTACACCTGAGAGACACACTGAGGCGGTGAATGCCCTCAGGTTGACAGGACTTTAAAAATGAACCAGGGAAAAAAAAAACCCTGAAAACATGGAGTCTGCTCTGCCTGCAGGACGTCCTGTTTGTAAACACCCACCAGGTTTCTGTCGGTGACGGCAGATGAGCCGCGATGATGTCAGCCCTGAAAACCTGTCAGTGCCCACGCTTGCAAAACATTCCTCTGACTGAGTGACAAACAGCAACCACTCGCTCACACTCCCATGCACACACACACACAAACACACACAGGATGCATGAAATATTTAGACACAAGAGGAAACTCTACTGTGCAGCAGAATTCCTGGTATTCTTATGATCGAGGAGCGCTGTTCATTCTTGGTTGTGGGTGTTTTCTTTACAGTCTTTAAAAAGGGGAAAGCACCACAACTGGAAACATTTAAATATAGCAGACATTTTTCATGCGCAAAACTTTAGTGATCTGAGGCTTTGGAGTCTGTACTCCACCCCACATCTTATCAGATACTGTAGGAAACACTGTTGATTAACTAGTAAGCAGGCTTCTCAAAGAAGCATCCATATATATCAGAATTAGAGCAGTATTACAGATCGGCCAGGCTGCAGACGGTAATAAAATATCTGGCGTCGCCTTCCAGGTAATAGGACAACATGCTGCAACATCTGCGGTTGGTCCTCTCAGCAGCTTTCCAGAGAAGAGTTTGATGCAAGACTGTAGCTAACAGATAAAACGTGTAGGTTTCAACATGACGTTAAAACTCATACTGTGTGAACAGGGTTTGACACTAACTCCTTTTCACAAGGAGCACACAAAGAACTTTAAGGGCAAAATGAAAATTGATCAAATGATGTTTGTCTGATTGTTCGACCTTAGTGCTATTATTTGAAATCAATTTTAGGTCTTTTGGTCACATGACATGGAAGCTATTGATGGAAAACAGCCTTTTCTGAGAACATCAACCGGTAATTTATTGACGGTCCCTTATTCAACACCGACGTTGACAGTGAGGGTGTCGAGTCGATTTAACCGCACTGCTGTTGTTATTCCTGGTTATGGAGTGAGAAGACACCGGTAGATCTGCAGTGAATGTCCGTCGAATATCCAACCTGAAACTAACTTCACCGCCGTATTTACATGAAAAAACATTTTACAATTCACACACATCTATTTCTAGTCACATATGCTAGTGAAACGATCACAATGTCGAGTCCTGAGCATAAAATATCTGGTGTCGCCTCCCTGGTAATAGGACAACATGCTGCAACATCTGCGGTTTCCAGAGAAGAGTTTGATGCAAAACTGTAACTTCGGTAGCTGCTAAAACCTGTAGGTTTCAACATGACGTTAAAACTCATACTGTGTGAATATATATTTTCTGTATTCTTGTAACTTCAGTACACACAGTTCAACATTTACCAACTCTGTTTACTTTACTTTTCTGTTTTCCCACAGAACCGGGTGACATTTCTTTGAACATATTCTTGTGCAACCAATCACACCTCACGAGCTTCAACTATGACATGATTCTATCTACTGCCTGATGAGCAAGAAACTTTAAAAAAAAGAAGCATGACACACCGGAGGAAAGACCACACCACTAAAAGGAGCTTTTGCAGTGAACTTGCAGAGCTGTGCACCCACACCAGCGCGCACACGCTGAAACGCTCCCACTGGCAAAGTCCACACATACGCAGGCTTAAGTGAGGCAGAGCGTGCCCATGTGTTTGGGGTTGGTGGTTTGAACATTGCTCCACTAAGAAACTTTCAAAATCAAGCTTACTGTTGCTGCTTTTTTTGCATCAAATCTTTCTGGAGAAGGTTGCAAACCAACTGCTGAGGATTTATTTAGGAAGTTGCTAACAACAGTAATGATGATAAAGATGATGTAAAATATTGCATCTACTGGAGATGTGTGCCTCCACCTAGAAACTTCAGTGAAGCTACAGTAAACAGTGAGGCAACAGTAGAGGGGCAACGCCAACAATCATCATCACCCTTAAGTGTTTGGTTTTACAAGCATGGGAGCCTTGATCCATTAAAGCCATTGTGGCTTTAATGTCTGGTTCCCAGATGCTTTTTACAGGCTCGCTCTGCCCTGCGTTGCATGCAGGCAGGAAGGAGTGTTTCTGCAGCGTTTGCAGTGTCCACGTTATAACATCCTGTATTCACCACCCCTTTTTACTCTGAAAGAAGAAAACACAAGATGCAATGAGGGCGATCAAAAACTATAGTGATACAAGTCACTGAGTTAAGAAGCTGCTTCTTTGCTTTTAGCTCCAGAGGACGCGTGATGTTACAATTTGCCTCCTCTGAATAAATCATGGGTAAAAATCCACTCTGAATAAAACACCACCACGTTACAAGCTGCATGCCTCTATTGGATATGCCGGTTGAATATTTCATGATTAAACGGGCCATTATACTGCACGGATCTAGGCCAAGGCTCAGGCCAAGGGGAGGGAGGGGGCGCCCAGATAACGGTCCAAACCCCGTCCCAGCAACACAAGGGGGAACAGAGCTCCGGTCCGAGGGGGCTCAGGGAGGGGCGGAGAGATCTGGGTTAATCCACACAAAACATAGACAAAGAACAATCAGAGACAACAGCATCGATTTCAGTTTAACCATCCAGATTAGAAGCAGAAATCAGCCCCGTGGTCAGATCACACTGTCCCAGGTTAACTGGTGTGGACCCTGCAGCCACAACACCCACAATGACACCCCTCCACTGAGAACCCCCTCTTTCATAAACCACATTAAATTCTTAAGTTTGTGGGAGGTAAGTGAGGAAGATGTGGCTGAAATTGTGAAACGCCTGAATAAATCCGTCTTAGGTCACAGCCGACCAAGCAGCCAGCCCCCCTTAGTGTTAGCCCGGCTAACGTTAGCCCTCAGCGGATAAACTTAGCCCAAGTTTGTTGTAAACACAGTGACACAATTTGTTATGCTAACGCTAAAACCTGGCTGTAGGTCAGGCATTGAAAATTAGTTAAATGTTCATTTTTTAACACCGTCAGTAACGCGGGACACCAACTGACATGACAGCATTTAAGCACCCTAATCCCGCGAGGCCTGCGCATCCCCAGCCCACAGTTGACAGCTTATTCCCAGTTGACAGCGCCTAGCTCGGGTGCGCTGGGGCTGAAGGCCCGGTGTTCTGACGAATACTGCTTCCTATCCAGAAATGCCGCTGACGCGCTCTGCGCAGGCGCGGTAGCAAAATTCATGGGGGCTTGTCAGCAGAAAGAGAATTATCAAATGAATAAATAGAGTTAAACCTGTCCGGGGATTTTATAAGTGAGTATCAAAATATGATCTTTATATTGTGAAGTGAGCAGTTAGAGATTTCTACTAATTCGGCGCAATAACGGTTATGAGTCCATCGAGACAGCAAATCTGAGTGAAAATATTAAACTACATTAACACAAGATGTTGAACCTATTTCAACACTTAACAGGCTTCGTGTGTTGCCTCAAAAGTAGGAAACAGAGCGATTTGATAGTCTTTACCGTCTATATAAGCGACGGTTGCATTTTTTCACCAAAGCAGCAGAACTCTCCGGAACACCGGCCCGTCCCCGCCTCCCTCCCCGCCTCCAGCTCATAATACGCCGTTAGTTAGCATCGCGGGCTAACTCCAGCACCTACCTCGCTTGTCGAGGTCGTAAGTGACCACTAAAAAGTAGTCGGCGAGCCTGGCCATCTCGGTTAGCTCACGGCGACAAGCCTTTCTCGTTAAATCCTCTTCTGTTTTTGTCGTCAATACTCCATTTACGTCCTGCCGGCGATAGACACATCACGGGCGACGGTAGCATCCTTCCAGCTGCACCCCGCCGCCATACTGTTAGTCTGCCGTGCCCTGACAGCCGAGAGCCGCGAGTCTGCGCAGTAAGGGACTTCAGGGAGGGGCTGCCCGACAGGAATGTCCCATGTGAGGAGCCAAACCAGCTCAGGGGCCAAAAGTCTGACCAAAACCTATAATAAACCCGACAGAACCGTCGCTAGACATGGGTGAAAGGTGGTGAAAATTCTAGAAACCCTTGACCTAAAAACGCCAACAGAAGAAAAAGAGACAAATATCATTCTAAATGTTTTTTGTCATACTTTAATGTGCTTTCTCAGGTTGGAAGGTGAATTTTTGTAAGGCTGTGATGTGGTTTATGCACGGTAAACCATATCAAAGGGACACAAACCTGACACAGAAAGGCCTTAGCTGGAATTTAAACCAGGAACCTTATTTCTGTGAAGCAGCGGCACTAACCACAGCAGCACTTTACAGCCCCCTTAGGAGTCTGAGTGGGAATTTAAAGGGATATTCCGGTGTGAAATTAAGTTAGAGTCAAACACACTGTAATACAGAGTTAGACACCCCCTCCAGAGATGAATGTTGCCGACCGCTAGCTTCTCTAGTTGTACCAACTTTAGCAACAACAACAGGATAGCAATACACAGCGGTCTGAGGAGCCATAAACAAACCTCAACCAAAAGTCCACTCTATAGCCACAAATACTGCTCAGAACAGCAACTAACTTCATCAACAGGACATACAGGGTCACAGACATAGTACTAGACACCAAACATCTTTTTAACTTTGACTCATTTCTTTAGCAAGGAGACGAAACACAACTCACCTACTCTCTTCCAGCAGCCTCTTGTTTGTAGCGAGACCTCCGGGCAAGTCCATCGACTACAATGGAGTTTCGCAGCTCTAGGAAGAACATTTATGATCATTTCTTGATCATTTCCTTTAAATAATAATCACCATATTAATCATTTTGCTCTGCAGACGCCGTAGTTCCTCTACCTTAGCGTCTCTGTCTGATTGCATTTCCATGAAGAAATGATCGTAAATGTTCTTCCTTGAGCTGTTTCACCCCGCTGTAGTCTGTAACAGACTGGCCTGAGATCTCGCTACAAACAAGTGGCTGCTGGAAGAGAGTAGGTGAGTTGTGTTTCGTCTCCTTGCTAAAGAAACTAGCAAGGTTAAAAAGATGTTTGGTGGCTAGTACTATGACTGGGACCTTATATGTCCTGTTGATGAAGTTAGGTGCTGTTCTGAGCATTATTTGTGGCTATAGAGTGGCGTTTTGGTTGAGCGCGTGGCTCTCTGTATTGCTATCTGTGGTCGTTACTAAAGTTGGTATAACTAGAGAAGCAAGCGGTCGGCAACATTCATCTTTCTCTCTTCTCTAACTTAATTTTACACCAGAATATCCCTTTAACTGTATTTTTCCTGTCTAAGCTAAGTCTTTGGTGAAAGGGGGAGCCATAACGCAGATGATGTAGCCACATTTAGCAGACAGGAATCTGTTGGAGGTCGACTTCTGGCCAAAACTAAAACTAGGCTGTGATTGAGTGTATATCCCTGACTTTTACAGAGCTTCAAACACACCACTATAGTCCTAAATCAAATTAGTTAATGGAATCTGCTTCAAGAAACATAAACGTGCCAGTGAGATAGATTTCCCCGAAATGCTTTGAGTTTGGGAAGTTGCCAAACAACTTCCCAAACTCAAATAACCCTCTCTTATCTGGAATAGTTACCCTCTGAAAATCTTTGTTGTGGTTGCAGCTTCTCAGAGAGGAACACTTCGATGGATTACCACAAAAATGTTGAACTTTAAACCTCACACTCTTGAATTCTGCTAAATTAGGCTGGAGAAAACCTTGACGTGACGCTGCGGTGTCACTATGAGCAACATGTCAGAGCGGTGCGAGGAAGGTCTGATGACGGCTCACATCCGTGTGGCCTGTCCTTGGCTGTCAGCACTGTAACAGCCTCCAGAGAATTCCAACACTTCCTGCGCTCTGACCTTTGACCTAAAGTGCTTATCACTCTCCGGCTGAAAACAATCCTAAGTATGAGATGTCACATTTTTCTTTAAGAGCTTTGTTTTTCCAACACTCAGTAATGACTCGTCCCTTTCTCTTCTCTCTCAGTTATCTGCTTTTTGCTCAACATGACTCCTGACAGCCTGAACGATGTAAACGGCAGATAACACATGTGAGTTTTTATTTTCAGAGGGTCACGCTGAGGTCAGGCTCCTACAGCTGGAGTGTGCTGTATCCTAACCTTGAACCACCAGAGCGAAAGGAAGAGAGAGAGAGGGCCTCAGTCTTTCTAACTCTCCCCTCAGGACATGACATGCTCAGAAAGGAGGCTCTTTGCTCACCAAACTTGACCTCTGCAGTTCCCACATGCTCGGTTACCGCTGAAGTTGCCTCTGAATGAACTAACTGTGTTTTGCATTTTGCGCATTTAGAGATCTTAACTTCTTACAGCCTGTTCAGGTCAAATTTGACCCGTTTTGACTTTTAACAGCAGTAAAAATACCCTAAACGTCATTCAAGTGGCCCAAAATACATGAAATTAATTCAAAAATATTTATGCGTATTTTTGTATCTATTTAGATGGATTTTAGATCTACCCGTGTGGGACAAGTGACAAGCAGTAAGAACAGTGTTCGATATAAAGTTTGTTCTTAAATAAATTATCAAATTTTATCGTTATGGCTTTTATATTCTTTTATTTTTTACATAATATTACATGACATTATCCTGTGTCATAGATATTCTTCTCCAAAATAAATATTTCACAACAAATGAGTGGTGTTAAAACTTACTCACTTCTGGAGTCCCTCAAGGCTTCATATTAGGACCTGAACTGTTTGCCTGTTGGCCTCATAATTTTCATACTGATGCAGAGGACACCCAGATATGTCTCCTGTTTGAATGTGCTAAACTCATAAAAGTATTGGATTTGATTTGATTTGATTTGAAGAATAATGACGGAAACAGAGAAATGATCAATCACATAAATGATGTAATGTTTAGATTGAAGGTATCTGTGTGTTAAAGAGCGGGATGACTGGGGTTCATTTATGGATGAGGAAATTGATCAGGGACAGGTATAATTACATCCCTCATGAAATTATTAAAAAATACCCCATACCAAGGGATTTTTTTCTCTTGTTTTTGTAAAACATTTAAGAGATAAATTAAAACCTGAGTTCTTGTTCTCTTCACACACGTCACTGTTCAGCTGGATTATACGTTTGCTTTCCCTGCATCGTCATCATATTTTTCAGCCTGCTCTAACAGCAGCAAGAATTTGTACATTTCTTAATATCCTGTCACCATCTAAGGTTTTTATCGTCACCTTTTATTTATTTTATTTCTAAGAATGAAAATGGAGAAATCAGGTTTCTGCCCCGTCAGTGATTCGGTCCTCCTCACTCATGCAGCCCAATCAGAGCTCATAGCCCCTCGCTGCAGGATGCAACGGACCATGTGACTTCCTGCAAACTAACCAGCAGACAGGAAGTGGTTTGAAGGCCTCCTGCACATCGCTGCTCTTCTTGGAGCAGCCGACTTCCCCTCAGCTCAGGTGAAGCATGAAATAAAGAACGCTTCATCAGGCACCGTTGGAGCTCACGAGATCAGATGACAATCAAAATACACAACACGTTTTGGTTTCAATTTATGGTAAATGAAAAACCAAATTCACCCTCAGATTTTGCAGTAATTGGAGCTTCTCTGTCTGCGCCTGTAGAGACTCTCAGGTTAAAGACTGTGTACAGTAAATAGAAGTCGATTCAGATTTGTAACAAAACTGTTTTTACTCATAACACTGAAAATAGATCACCTCTCTTACTGGGATAATGACAGTGTGAGGTATTTTACGTGTCTCTTGTGCCGTAAAATTAACAAATCCTGTATTTCATTGCAAAGAAATTAAGTTCAATTAGAGAGAAAACTGAGAAATCAAACTTATAAAAGTTGAAAAACATAAAAAAGTCTAACGAAGTTTAAGTCAAAGTGTCTCAACCTTTCTGACTAAAGTTCTAAATAGTTTAAATACGAAGTTTTCATTGACTTAAACTGAAAAAAAAATACAAAATAATCAGTCTGGACGTGTCTGCTTAAGTGTTCTTACATTTCTGTCAGTCTGCCCCAGGTCAGCTGTGACTATTAAGGTAGTTTACCACCACCAGGGTGTGACTGTGTGAGCGTATGAACGTATGAACGTATGAACGTATGAACGATGTATCCAATGTAAAGCACTTTGAGGGTCTCTGATAATGAGCTACATGAAATCTGATGGGTTATTATTTATTATTATGATAAAAAAAAAAAAAAACACACAACTTATCAGGAGATGTGACAATATCACAAAATATACTGTGTATTTCTATGAAACAATTTTTCCCTATATACACAATATTTCCTCATAATTATAGGACAGTCCTATAAGTACAACATATTCCTAAATGTACGGCATATTCTTGTAACGATAGATGGATAGATAGATAGATAGATAGATAGATAGATAGATAGATAGATAGATAGATAGATAGAGAGATAGATAGATAGATAGATAGATAGATAGATAGATAGATAGATAGATAGATAGATAGATCTGACTGTAGTTTTGATGTATGAATAAGTAACCAACATTTAAAGTCCAGAAAAAAACATCCATTATCTGTAGTCTTTGCTGAACAGCGACCTCTGTGGCCAAACACAGTTATTACACTCCAATATTTTCTGACGTTGTCTTCAGTAATTTGCAGCACAGGTGTCGTTGTTACCTGCTGTGTACCTGACTGAGATGGAATTATGTAACCGTGCCATATGAAGAGTTATTAAGTCTAATGAATAATTCTGTAAAATTTAAGAACACAAACCGAAATCTGTAGACGTTATTCAGACTTTTATCAAAACTCAAAGAGATTCCTGCTAAAAAAAGTCTGTCTGTTTGTTTTTATTGTTGCTGGGCTCCTGTTTTTGTCTCTATTTCATCTTTAATACCACTGATATTTTCCTGACACGGCTTGTCTGGGTGCAAGTTTGG